AGATTTGTCAGACTTTGATAAACGATTGTGAGATTTCTTTAGGTTTAACTTTTAACTTGGCAGTTAAATATGTGTCCGTGACGTTTTTTCCTGAGAGCCCTCTTAATGTGGGCACCCCAGCCTCGCTAGGATCCTCCCTCCATGCAAACAGCCCAATAGAGACTTTTGCTGTCTTTTTGAATGAACTGTTAAAACTCTTTTTTCCTTTTAATTAAATAATTGTTTATTCATTGCCAACAAGCAGCCTCGCGAAGACGCGAGGCTGCGAGGCGGTAGCCTAAGAGAAAGACCCTACAACATGGAACGGTGGAATGGTGAAATGGCGGAATGACGGAATGGCAGAATATCGCCCCAAATCCTAAAAGATGGAATGACGGAAAATCGCCCGCAATCCTAAAAGACGGAATGTAAACCTTAACATTGAAAAAAAAAAAAACAACATATAAATAAAAATATAGAATAGAATAGATGGTGTAGTAACTGGAAAATCGCTGAAAAATCGCAGGAGGAGGAGGAGCACTTAAAAAAAAAACAGTGTTTCACCTAAAAAATTATTGTTTGAAGGGTGGTCGCCACTTGCGGTCAAACGCCAAAAAAGGGAAAAAAACAAGGACTGACCTTTAAAAACTTACTGTAAAAATTTCTTAGTGTCTGAAAATGACGAGATATGAACTTGTGAGAGTAATTTTATTGATTTGATGCCCATTTGAAAGGAAAAAACTCGTCTATTTGAAAGAATTGCAACATAGTTACCTCCAACAGTTATAACTTCCCGTTGATAGGAAGTCATATTCCCAAAAATTTTCATTAAAGAATTAATGACAATAAAAGAGACAACAACACAGCTTGGACTCCTCTACTTAATTTTCATTTTAATTACTTAACACTTTTTTAGTTTAGGTTCAAATAAATGTGACTATTTCACCGCTTTTCTGATTGCTAACGCAAATTAAAATTCACGAGTTTTAGCGGCAATTAAATGCTCCCCTGCAATCTGTTCACTGCTAAGAATTATATAACAAATATGGGTCATGGTTCAGATTCTGAAATCACAGAGTCTTGCTTCATGCTAGGATATTAATCAATAATGAAAACATGAACTGATATTATTATTTTAAAACAGGAACCTGAAATATAAATATCAAAAGAAATTATCAGTATCAGAAGCGTTCTTACTAAGTTTTGTCTTCTAAGCTTGAAATCAATAAAATAGAATAAATTGTTTTCTATCATCTTCATTTTTTAAAATCTCAAAAATAACACAATTTCCCGCGCCGTCCACTCAATACAATTGTGATGTTATACTTCAGATTGAAGGTTATTGCTATTTTACAACGCGGCCTTGAATGCAATCTTCTGTATAGAGCATCTACGGACTATGCAAATGGTTTTCACGAGTACGTGGGCCGGCTGCAACGCAGGCTATACTTCAGAAGTACACAATTTTTTGCTGTCTTTCGCGAGTACGCTACTTTTAGACATCTTTTTCCGCGATTTTGCACACGAGGAAATGACGCAACGAATCACTCTACTGCAGTCACCACACGCCGAGGAGAAATAATGGCCTGGAGCGGCCGTAGCGAAATTAAACCAAAAACACTTTATTCAGTCTACAATGTCCCTGTAAATAACTTGCACGTGACTATTCCCTTAATTGGGCTGGAACTCTTCCACCTTGCATCTTAGACGCGCGCTTAGTGGTCGCGTAGTTGTATTTGCCGTTCTTATCTGAGCGAGCAAGTTCCCCAAGCGCGCACAGAAAGAGCTGCCTAAAAATAGCACACTCAGAAAAGACGTATCTCAAGGCCCATCACCATTGATCTAATCTTCTAGGATATTCTTTACTTCTGACTACAGGTAATGGACCATTCCTCCTATGACAGTTCCCCTCAGGGAATCGCAATGGTTCACCGCGCCCTTGACATCTTGAAGACGCGCGACGGTGCATACAACGTCGCATTCCTCGCTGGCTCGTTGGCTCGCAGTTTAACCTGTTACAAAGCTGTTTATTTTTCACACATTTTTTATATTTTCTTATGTTCCGTCTTTTAGGATTTGGGGCGATATTCCGCCATTCCGTCATTCCGTCATTCCACCATTCTATGTTATTAGGTCGCCCGAAAAAATCTCCATATCGATGTAACATAAAGTAATGTAAGGTAACAAAGAAAAAAGAACCAAAGAACAAAGAATGCATTGTTTTCGAGGGAACACGTGATACAGAACAGAGAATCCACTAGCCTTGTGCGCACTTGTGAGTCCTGTGTCCATCCTGTCTTCAACCATTCGTCGGGTGGATTTATTTGCATCATACGCGTATGGCTGCGCATTTGCCCGTTGGAATTTTTTATTGCCTGCCGCTAAGAAAAATAATCACGCCGCGAAATTTTTGTAAGTTTGCTCTAAGTTTGCTTATAAGACCCTTATAAGACCACAAAATTTTACGCAAAATGACATGTGCGCAACTTCGGACAAAAACACGAACTTTCATCTCTCAAAAAAATTGCTAGGTTGAGTCGGAATTTCAATTTTTTTATGCAGTGGAACAGTTTAGTTCACTATTATCAAAAGACACTTAGAGCAAGGAGCACACATACACCAACCCATGATCTGCCTTCCCCGCGCATGTCGTCGGAGAACTGCCGTGCGCTTCCCAGCCAACAGCGTGACCACATGTGTTGTGTGGAGGTGGCGCTTAAACGAGTGCTTTGTGTGACGTACCTTAGCAGTAGAGGGCCTATAAGTTCGTTAGTACGTAGTTTCTAATTTTCTGGGTTAGAGAAAATGCGACGGAGGCGAAGTATAAGGCTAAAATGTTATCATTGTCGCCTGTGTAATCTACAATATATTGGAAAAACTAAACGTCACCTCAAAGACCCTACTGGTAATTACATCCATACTGCAGTTTCAGAACACTTTCTTACCAGTAATTATTCCGACAATCATATGCTTTTGATTCCTATTGAAAAACGTAAAAATTGGCCTGATCCTTTCAGGAAAGCACGTGAAGCCCACTTTATCCATAAAGCTAAGACAATTGAGCCTCTGGGCATCGAAAAACGTGATGAACTGTAACTATATATAGTATATCTTTTATTTTTTTGTTATCTTGTCTTATTAAGTGGCCACACCATAACACGTCATATTGTGTAATTTCAGGTCATTATTTTACTTCATATATATTTCTGTAAATTCGTGATATCTCAATAAAACTGACGAAGACTGGTATTGGCCAGTCGAAATATCGCATCTTAACTCTATTTCACGTTGTTTGATCAGTCCCTGCAAATGTCTTCTTGACTGTAACGTTTTCAATTTTATTTATTTTGACTGACCAAGATCTTTTTGGATCCAACGTTGAGCAAGATTGTTCGCACAGGGTTTTTGCAGTGGTTTTTTTACCTTAACTAAACAAAAATAATTAATAAACAAAAGGAAACAACTGAAAGCAACAAAAAGGACTCATAACCTAACTCGTAACCTCCTAACCCTAACCCTAACCTTAACCTTAACCTTACCCTAACCCTACCCTAACCCTAACCCTAACTCGAGCTTTCCTTCCATGACTGCCACGAGAACTCTACTCCCAATGGTCATGGGACTTGCAGGACGTGAACATGGCGGGAAAGCAAAAACTTGTCGAGTCCTGGATCGGTATAAGGCATCCCCGGGTAACCCTACCTGTGAAATTTTCTCAGTTTTGTTTTTCAAAGAAATGTACAAAAAAGTGTGCTGCACGTGCAAAGTTGCTTTTTTCCTAATTAGGGACTGGTCATGATTGATGTAGAGGGGGCGGGGAGGGAAAAATATGTTGGAAAGATCAAAATTTCTGTGAGGCCCCCCCTGTAGACCATGTATATAGCAAGTGACCCCCTTCTTTATTCAATATTTACTTGATGACCACCCCACCACCCCATATCTCATCTTATATGCTCTACAAAAGTAATTATTGAAATGCATGTTATAGTACTCTCTTAAGAGTGAATATAAGATGCATGATAGCCTATAAATATAGGAAAAGTGATAGATTTTTGCAAATCGTGCCTTTATGGTGATTGGCCGTATTTACTAGAAGACGTCTTAGACGTCCAGGTGTATTGAACGTCCGACTAATAAGTGCGTCTCGTAGTGCGTCCCGTTTTTATACTAGGCGTCTTAAACGTCTGAGACGACTAATTCATCTGTTAAGTGCGTCGACCGGACGCAGGACGCACTTACTGTTAAGACGTTTTATTCGTCTGACGTTTGATGCGTATTTCGTTAAAAGAAAGTTCAGTCAAACCAAATATTAAAGCAGATAGGTCTGGATTCATAAGATGAAGTTCAGAGTGCAATTTCTGTCAAATACAAATGACTAAGTTGTACAAAACAGTGGTGCTTGAAATAATCAAAAAGCAACAGGATTAAGATAAAATTGTACAATTTAGCATGACTTTTAGCATGAATTATTTCATATACTTCACATCATGACTTTTTCACTTACTCACTACTATGTAACTGCTTTACCCATCTTGGCTAATAGACCCCTCTTAAAAAAAACCTCGCGATCAAACTGCTGATCCCCTAGACTTCTTTATAAAAAACGTTTAGCCTCCCCCCCTCTAGCCAATCTGAAATAGCCTTGATCCCCTTTTCTTTTTTACCCTCCCCGTCCCCTTTACAAAAATATTGACCGGTCCCTTAGACCTTGTTGTTTTTTCACCGTTCTCGTTACTTCGCCACTTAGCATTGCACGATTTTATATTTAGTTTGACGCAAACTGTAAATATTATCCAGAGCTTCGCTTTTAGCCGTGGCTAAATCTATAGATTAGATGCAGATGTTGCACAAAAGAATTATAAACTGAACAGCTGGATGCCCTAATCACGCTTGAAGCACGCACGGAATTGGCGCCATTAACCGCGGAGAGCTGGATTCTAGGAACCCGTGTTCATTTGAATATCAATAAACTCCGGAAGGCGAAATTTTTTTGTGACTTCACTTGTGCGATCTACTAGAAAAGGCTCGCTTTTTGTGCGCAAAACTGGGTCAGTTCGTTACCGAAATGGACAGAAGATGCCTTTTGCTTATTCCAGTTGTGTTTTTTACGTTTATTATGCCTGCGTTGGCCCTAGATAAGTGTAAAGAGGTAAGATTTTCGCATGAAGCGGAGTCGGCCGGTTTTTGGGTTGGGTGAATATTGATGATCTTTTGTGTTATTCCTTGATTTTAGACCTAAAAGTGTCTTTTTAACTTTTTATTGCAAACTTTATTGTGTTTTCTTTCTTTTTTATTCTTTGCTTTCAGGACCAACTCACGTACGAATTCACTGAATGTGATTCGGCAGAGGGCAGATGGCGCGTAGCAGTTCCAAAAGATCCGAACTCCTGCGAGGCGAGCGAAGTCCCCGTTCGCCAAAAGGAGTGTAGTAAGTGCAGTTTAATTACGTTTAATAGAAGTGTGGGTTGAGAATTTTTTACGTAAAATATGAATGGATTTCAGATATTGTCTGTATCGTTATCAGTTTTAATAGTACAAGTATAACCTGCAATCTATAAACTCGACATGTGAATTTACATAAAACTTTTTCAGACATTGTTTGTGTTTATGCTGGGTTTCATAGCCGTATTCTTGCCTAATCTGGCCGTCTGAAGTTTTCAGCCTTGATTCCTGGCTCAGTGTTTGTCATAAACAAAATTCTTGAACTATCTTCAACACGAACCGAGCCATCTATACCTCGTGTTATTTTATGTATTTACTTATGCTTGTACAAGCTTCATGTTTTCTTCTGCTTAATTCAATGCAAAGTAGGCATGGGAAAAGACGATGTCATGTGAATGCAACAAATGGTTTAAACCGTAGACCTAGTTAAAAATGGTGATACAATTGCATTAGTTGTAGTAGTTGATCGTTTAACTAAACTTGCCGGGTAGAGAAACAGAAGATACTTTCGAGAGTCTTTATCCAAGGAAATATAAGGGACTCTGAAGAATTTGTACATAAATTAACTTTACTTATGTCGTGGTTAGTTTAGGTTAGTTTGTACATCTTTGGGTGCGGTAGATTACCTACTGTATATGCCATTATTTTAAATTCAGTAGAATCTTTTATACCTTCCTCCTTCAACCCTCATTAATTTTGTACCGAGAATACGCATTGACATTGCTGAGTGATGGTGATGTTAAAGTAAGCTTAATACAGAATTAAATAATGAAAAAATAATATAGTTTTGATTGAATACAATGCAGTTTGTATTAATGTGTTGGAGACGTAAAGGGAAAGCTGAGAAAGTGTTTTCATCCTGTTGTGCTGATTCCTGAGTAGAAAATGTACAGTCCCATCAAAAATTTTAGTTTTAAAAGCATAATATTTGCCTGGAATAAAATACCCTTGAAAAGGAAATGCTCAGCAGTGAGGATGATATTACAGAGGAAACTAAAATAATTCTTGTAGCTTTTCTATGCTAGCGTGGGAATAGTCTTTGAAACAGTGGTGTGAATTGACACCGACATCAAACAGTTGTAATTATAATGTAAGAGACTGGGTTATTTAAGCAACAAACCACATTTTCAGTTGGTTTACTGGTGTAACAACCTATCTGGATGTTGCGTGAACATGAGAAAAGCATGTGAATCTTGAGCCAAAGGCAAGTGATTTACATGCTTTGAGAGTTTTTCTTTGCAAACTGTGGTGGTTTCTTCTGTTTACATTCACCAGTTAACACACAAAGCCCATCAAAGTGAAAATACAAATTTACAAATTAATGGTGGCATCACACCTGAGAAATTCACCTAGATGTAACTTCCTCCTCAAACTTTCTTCATACTTCTTTCTATCTAACTTCTATCTAACAAGAAACATCAATATTCAGAGAGCATCAATTTTTGCATCCTGGGTGCAAATGCAAATGTATACTGTTTGAAAAGCAGCATTCATGGACCTTGAATTATGTAAATACAAGTTACAACCCTTCAACTTACAACCATTTTAGTAACCATGATGCCTAAAATTTTGTACTGGCATCTCAATAAGGAAAATAGTTGCCAAGCTGGAAATAATAATATAGTAATATAGGAATACAGATTAGATAAATAGAAGACCAATATATTAATATTTTTACTACCTACTTTTCTGTTGAACAAAAAAACTCTAAGCTTCATGTTAATCACTTGCCTTTGCACTTAAATTAACTTTTTGTCTTTATTCTCTGTGGATGTCTTAATAAATAGGAAGACAGCATAATATGAAAGTTATACTCTTTATTATATCCATTTTGAAATCACTGGTGATCCATGCAATCTGATTGGCTCTCAATAGTGTAATTTATTCGTGAATCAAACTATCTTTTTCTTTAAATCACCTCTGTTTGAAATCGCATCATTCATGTTTTAAATCACTTCATTTCTGTTTTAAATCACACCATTTTTGCTGTATATTGCATCATTTCTGTTTCAGGTACAAAATGAGATGAAAAAGCCTTTTTGTTTCCGCTTTTCAACAAACTGGCTATTTGGTCAAATAAAATTAAGGCTGGTACTGACTGAATTCTGCGATTTCAAAATTGCTGTGATAAAATGTTAATTGAACTTCGTGTGGTACAATTTGGTCTGAAATAATACTTGTGATTTCAAATCGAACTCGTCTTGCGTGCTCGTGTAATTTTAAAATCATACATATGATTTCAGACCAAACTGTAATCCACTCAGTTCAATTACACCAGTATTCTCACAGCGATTCCTAAGAATTAAAGACACCATTTTAGATTATAACCAATCTGCTACAAATGAATCAATAGTATCATTGCTTACCACCAACAACGCTTGTGGCAAGTGCATTTACATGTTCCTCGATAAAAAGTCCTTCTGTGCTCTTCTTGCCGATGCTTATTTAAAGGAACAGGGATCAAAATAACGGACAGTAGGTCGCCGGTCATGATGACCAGCCAAATATTTTTTTGGCCGGACAAACCCGGATTTTGGCCGGTCAAATAATGAATACAATGATTTTTTTTTGCCTTATATGGAATATCAAATTACGCTGGCAGTAGATCATTGTACTGCATTGACGTTCAGGTTTTTAGTGGCAAGTCGGTGAAATTCATTCACAAGTTGTTGAGTTCCTTTCCGGGGTTTTCCCCTGCTTTCATGTCCCTTTATATCACAGGCAGCCCAAGCGCACTATTTGTGGGTTCGGGCTTCAGAGGTCATTTGGTGGGAATATAGTAGAATTATTAGTGTATTATCTGATGCCAAATAAATGCAAAAAGTCTTAAAGATATGAAGTCTTCTTGTTTGTCTATCGGTACTAGTAGCCTTTAAGATAACGAAAATCGATATTTCTTGCATTATTACATGTGATTCGGGCCCTTATTGATCGAATTTTATCACATGTATTCGAATCTACAACGCTAAGGGAAAAAAAATCATGATCACGCGAAACATTGATTCAAAAAGCTCCCTTACATTTCGTTCATAGCCACTCTGTGTCCTACGGCTGGTTTAAACACCGTTTAGTCGACTTTCTTTCCATCGAGTACTGAACACTATAAAAGAAGGGAAGGCTGGAGACCTTCCAATTGACCCTCGCCGCTCGAAGGCCAATAAATTCCAAACAAAGCGACCGATCTCCCTAAAATTGCCACCAGCCAGACCGAAGAGTGTACACCTACCCGCTCGACGCCAGCGCCAGGTTCTAAATTGGCTGCATGAGCTCGAGGATCGTTGCATTTCGCATCGATTCTGGCCAGCTTCGCTTCGCCATGATGCACAATCTTAACTGTTATCCTATGAGATTCAAATCTTGGAGCTTAGCGACGGCGTCAGATGGACAAAACGTCACTCTCGCGGGGGGAGGGTCGTCACTTTTGCCCTATCGCAAACCGACACCGTCCGGGGAGCCGGTGCGCTTAATTAGGCCGGAAACAGCTCACGCGTGTATGACACATGAAACCCAAAAACGTCCCAGACTGTCTTATCTCCGATTTGAGATTTAAATCTTGCCAATAACGGTTCCAAAATCAGTTCGTTGCAGTCCGTTGTTTGGGTCAGTAGTTCTGTTCAAGTTCAATATTTCCTTTCGTATTTTAACAATATTTCTTTTCAGAGCTACCCTAAAATATATTTTTCTTTTACACGTAGCTTGTTTGTTAGTAAAATCGCGTGTATTTCGGTTTCTGTGGTGATCGCGTGTATTTCGGTGCCTGTGTCTAGCGTTTGAAGAAAGTCTGTTGATAACGATGTTCTCAAAAGTAGCCAGACAAGAGGAGGATTTTCCTCCGAAGAAGAAAAAAAGAAATCTTTTGGCTATTCAGAAGAGTGGAAAATAATAAAGACAGTCTGGGACGTTTTTTAGGTTTCATGTGTCATACACATGTGAGCTGTTTCGGCCGAATTAAATGCACCGGCTCCCGAACGGTGTCGGTTTGCGATAGGGCAAAAGTGGCGACCCTCCCCCCGAGAGTGACGTTTTGTCCATCTGATGCCGTCGCTAAGCTCCAAGATTTGAATCTCGTAGGATAACAGTTAAGATTGCGCATCATGGCGAAGCGAAGCTGGTCAGAATCGATGCGAAATGCAACGATCATCAAGCTCATGCAGCCGAATTTAGAACCTGGCGCTCGTCGAACGGGTAGGTGTACACTCTTCGGTCTGGCTGGTGGCAATTTTAGGGAGATCGGTCGCTTTGTTTGGAATTTATTGGCCTTCGAGCGGCGAGGGTCAATTGGAAGGTCTCCAGCCTTCCCTTCTTTTATAGTGTTCAGTACTCGATGGAAAGAAAGTCGACTAAACGGCGTTTAAACCAGCCGTAGGACACAGAGTGGCTATGAACGAAATGTAAGGGAGCTTTTTGAATCAATATTTCGCGTGATCATGATTTTTTTTCCCTTAGCGTTGTAGATTCGAATACATGTGATAAAATTTGATCAATAAGGGCCCGAATCACATGTAATAATGCAAGAAATATCGATTTTCGTTATCTTAAAGGCTACTAGTACCGATAGACAAACAAGAAGACTTCATATCTTTAAGACTTTTTGCATTTATTTGGCATCAGATAATACACTAATAATTCTAGTATATTCCCACCAAATGACCTCTGAAGCCCGAACCCACAAATAGTGCGCTTGGGCTGCCTGTGTTTATATATACTTTGACTTTGAGTATCATCGTATGGCGGTGTCTCAAGTCTCCAAGTCCCATAGCTGCATGTCGGTGAAAGTTGATCTTTTTTGTTGCCCGGCAGGTGATCGAAAGTCTCCTCCACTAAATATTTTCGGCAAAGAAGTTGATTTGGCGAGAAATCCATTCCCCAAACAGCGTATTTATCATCAGAAGTCAATAAATATACAGCAGAGCTTTCGTTTGGGTCGTACATCGCACAACACTTTATCGCAAAGGGCTCATTATAAACATCTACAGAAATTTGCATACAGCTGTTTACAAGAAGGAAGATTTTAAGTGCTGAGATAGGCGGCGTTCCTTTTCGACTAGCTTAAATTTTTATCAGGCAATTCTGCAATCGAGTCCGCAAACGAGATTCATGGTCGACATAAGGAAATTGTATATAATTACTTGATGCGCTAAAATTTATTCCCGGAGAAACAGTACAGGACGTGGAGAATTGCGATAGATTAACAGGTGGTTTTCACAATCCTCTTACAAGTAGATGTGAAACGTTTGTGGGGGAAAAACTGTTAGCTATCCTTTAGTTTTCTAACAAATAACGTGTATGTTTTCCCAAAGAAGGTCACATTACTAATCACAGCAAAGCTGAAAGTACAGTATGACCTGCAGCATCATTGCGTTACTCAACAACTCAGTTTATTGTTGTTTTGCTTTGTTGCATTTCATTACATGACAACATTAAATTTAATGCGGCATTCGTTTTCTTAAAAGTTTTAGTGCAAAGCATGAAAAAAAAGGCAAAGAAAAAAGAAATGATTACAGTGCTTGTTGTAGAGCAAAACGCATTAAGCGGCAACTATATGGAAAGTATTTTAAAAAGTTTGCATGCAAAAAATGACCGGCAAGATGAGAGTTTGACCGGTCAAGTCCACGATCAGGCCGGACATTGTCCGTTGACCGGCCGTTATTTTGAGCCCTGAAGGAACAGAAACTGAATCCGAGTGATTTTTATACAATTCCCTTTCCTTTTTACCATTGAAAACAAGTTTTAAAGAGGTTTTCAATATAAGCTTTTACATAATATCATTCTTACCAATCAATGTCTTTGGAAAACGAAGATAAAAACTTCCGTTCAATGTGAGGACTGTAACTTTCCCACTGAAACTACAAACCATAAGTTGTATAAGTGTCCTGCAGTGAAAAGCTTTACGAATGAGGTCTTAAACTGGTGGAACTTCAAACACCCTGAAAACATAACATCCGGGGCTATGGAAATTCTTTGCAGTTACAAACCTGAATCAACACACATTCGCGCTGTCAGTCATTCTTCTAATTACAAGATGCTACATCCACCTTGCCAGAATCAAGTCTGAGACCCCAAGATTCAATGTTTTTGTTGTTCTTCTGGAAACTAAAATTTCACTTCAAAGAAAAACTGCTATTAAAACCGGAGACCTCAAAGACTAATAAGTGCCCCTCCTTGTGCATTTCTGATATGTGTTGTGACTTCTTGGATTAATGACTGGATTATGACTATTATGACTATTATGACTTGGATTATTGTTGTTGTTGATGTTGTTTTTGCTCTGTCTGTGTCATATGGCTAACTTCAATCATGGACAAATCATGCGTTTCACAAGTAACATTGTAAAAAGCAATGCCGTCATTTTACAAATCCATGTCCCCTGCCCCTTCTCCACCCAATACAATGTTGACAGATCAAAGGAATTGTGCCTTGACAGTTTCAACTGTGTCCGTAGGGTAGGGGTAGGGGGGGTAGGGATGTGCTGTTTTAGTAGCGTGTGAATACAATTTGGCGTGTGTTAAAAAGCTTTACAACAGTTACTGTCCCAACACTTTTGTCCATGATTGTTGCTTTACTATTGTATGTACCTTTCTTGCATTATAATTATGATAAACTTAATGTGTGGACAGGCAAATTATGGTACCAATCAACGACATAACTCGTTATAGACCAGCAGTTAGCAGTAAGAACCCCACTATTAATAAAAACATAACTACATGTATTCTGACACACACACAAAAAAGCTCTGTTAATATTATTGTTTGTAAATTGTGCTGAATGATTGATTTGGTTTTTGTAGCTTACACATGTGATCCAGGTCACTATGTAGATGTGGGAAGCAAAACTCTGGAGTGCAAAGTATGCCCCAAAGGAACTTACAGCGTTGGGGGCGGTGTCCGCTTCAGTAAATGGGATCAATTGCCTACTGGATTTGAAAGTCGTATTTCTGATGAACATTATGAAGGATATGGTTATGATGATGAATATTTCCATGAGACAAAAAGTGGCAACTGCTCTAAGTGAGTTTGTTTTTTAGGAGGATGAGGTGAATTGTGTGTTTACAGGGCCCAGGATTGCAACTCACTGGTTGCCAATTCAACTAAAAATTGAGTGCTTGTGGCTAAATTTTAGGACCTGGTCACCAATTACTGGCGAGTCACCTTAGGTTTTAATAAGATAAGCCCTTGACTTGCCTGCAAATGCAGATGGTTTTTTGGTTGTCGCTTTTCTCTGCATGAATAGTAATGTCTGCAATCCCAAGCCACCAAACAATAAACTGAGTTACTCCTCTTGCCCTCGTGAGCTGGTGTGTCTAGGATTTTGACAAGATTTTTCAACTAATTTTTTACTGTGAACTTCAAGACTGTAACGAGTTTTCCTGTCATGTTTTCCTGTCATGTAACAATGGTTCTTAATAATTTGCCTTTGGTTTCTTTGTAGAACAAAATAAGTTCTTAAGCTATGGATAAGATTTGTGACTTTGGTCAGACTAGCCAAATCCAAAAACTAAAGCTGACAAAAACTGGTGAAAATAAGAGACAAATGATAAAAATCTACACAATGATAGAATCGAAATGAATCTGTATGACATTTCATCAATCAGTTCCACAATTATCCAAATTTAACTAAAACTGACAAAAAGTTGTTTTGAATAAATAGTATCCAATCCTCACAAATCTTTTGAAAGTCTGGAACAATAGAGCTAAACAGTGATAGGCTAATAATGTCCTATGTCAAAGAATTAGTTTTGGAGCTTGGGGTCACAGATGTTGCTTTTCAGGTGAAGGGAAGCGACAACTGTGAATACATTGTACATCTGAGTTTTCAGGCTAGCCCTCGACTTGCATCTCTAATCATTGGTACAGTAATGCCTCTCCCAGTGGTTGAACAAAGTAGTACTATGCGTTGCCCAGCAACACAAATACAGCATGATTAAACTGATTTTATCTTATCTTACAACGATGTTGATGCACATTTTGTTGCTTATGATAAAATAATGCACATATGCAGCTCCTGGCTTCTGTCCCAACCCATTACTGAAATGGCCTACAAGTTTTAATAGTGCATGGCTCATAAGGGGGCCCCTGGCCAAACATCCTGTTTTGCCTTCCTCCTAATTTCTGATTGTGTATAATGATTAAATTAATATTGGTTATTTCAGAACTGGGTGGACACCACGAGGAGACAGTATTGCATCACCTGGAGATGAATGCACCTCAGAGTTGTCATATGCTGTCACTGTAAGTGTCACAGGGTTTTTATAACACCATTGATACAGTGTGCACCCTGTTAAAATTTAACAGGGCGCATACTGTATTTAATATAGCCTAGCATGTAGAAAGTCTGGTTGCGTTGTTTCTATCACACTATTATTGCAGTTTAAATTGTGATGAATTCCATTAACAGTACATGTTCAACTGAAGCCAGTATGCCAGCTACATCTTTTTTGGTTCCAATGCCTGCAACAGCACTCACTTTCACATTGTAGTCACACAGTTGTTGTTTAAGATATTCAATTCTTATATATTTTGAAAGTAAAAGGGAAAAAGACTATTATTTAGATCTCACTCTCAACTATTTTATTTTTTATTACGGGCGACAAAAGGAGCTTGTAATCCTAATCTCCAGGTTGCCATTACGCCTGTACAGGATGCATGTTATAGCCAGCTTTGATTGGATTTCCACTTCACTGCATTCCCATGAATGGAATGAACAGAGCGCAAACAGTGTTGGAGCAAAAGTGTTTTGACCTTTGATCATTTTTTGTTTCCAGAAGAAGTTAAACAACTAGAGAAACAAAGGAAAAAATCATACAATGTAACTAAAAGTTACATGAAAAAATTTGAAGGAAAAAAAACTATTAATTGTTAAGAAAATGCTTTTTTCATGAGAAGGACTCTTAAACGCCGACAAACGTCAACAAATAGCTAAAACTATAATTTCTATATGTTTGCATTTCTCAAAATCACGCGCATTTACAAGGCTAAAGCTTTTTGCTGACTTGCAAGGACCCATGTGTTATAAAGATCCCCCAAAAAAGGGATAAATCTCATAGTTTATTAGATATAATCGTGTAAAGTTTGCTTATCATTTTCACATAAATTATGACCTAAATTTGGAAACCAAGTTGAATTTCTTGCATTGGGTCTTTGCAATTTTGGTGAAACTCTGTTCAACGCAAGGCACTAATGCGCACTATACGTAGCTGAGAGATTTTCACGAGGAAATGCTGGCGACAGCAGAATTTTGACTCAGACCCTGCGTGCAAAGAAAGTAGTGTCCGATAGCCCAGGGCTAGTGGATTTTGCTATCAGGCTAATGAATTCTGTTGTTAACTTGCCCGACGGGCAAGTGAGGTCTTTTGATTAGTTCGAATGACAGAAGAACTATGAAATCAATTCTGCTGGTCAAAAAGCGTCTGGGGCTAGTTGAAATGACATCTGGGCTAGTAAATGCTAGCTTCGGCTTGCCCGAATGGCAAGCTGTAAGAATGACTTTCTTTGTACCCTGCAGACCCCAAAGAGGTGTGGCACTATAACCACGTGACATTTACTCTGATTGCCTAAAATTTTATGCTATATTGTAGATTGATCTATATGTTATCCATGCTATATGTTAGACTTACGATCAAAGTAAAGATGGGGTTACCAGAGAGCTTCAAAGTAGGATGGTACCCTTACAAAATAACTGTAGGGTCGAGTCACCTGAACTAAACTTAATGACTAAATTTAAGCTTAGCGTAAAGAAAATCAATGAAAACAAAGTAAAATAGCCAATTAAAAAATGCTACTTTTTTGCTTTGAGTTCAATAAGTGTAACTTAAACCCAAAAGCTGTACAGTCAAACCTTGATTATCCAGACTTGTTTCCCTGGTCCTGTTTTGTAATGAATATTAATAAGATGCGATCTTGAAAAGTTGAAACAATTAAAAGTACATTAATCCTTCCAAATGTGTGTTTAAAACACTGTTTTAATCTGTTTCGCTTTGAAAAAGCATGAGCAGCATGAGATGAACTATTATTGTGATGCATTCAGCTGAATTCTGATTGGCTTAATTCTTATGTTACCAAGGGAATGTCATGCTTGATTCTGTGTGAGTTATGGAAACACAAGACCAACAAATTGTAAACTCACAGTCATGTCTACGAAAAGAAAGTGGTCTGTTCTCTTGTCAAAGGACAAGCAAACGATTTTTTATGTTTGGAGAAAGGAGAAAAAGGGACAAATTTAGCACTTGAGTTTAAAATCAGCAAGCAGCAGATCTCAGATATATGTAAAAACCAAGAGAAGATCCTGAAATTCACGGACAAGTTCAAGATGAGCGAAGCATTCGATCCAAAGTCCCTGAAGGTTGCCAATGACGAGCAGGTTGATAAAGCTTTGTATGCCTGTGTTTTTCAGCAAAGACATACTGGAATGCCGATTTCAGGTCTGCTTCTGCAAGAGAAAGCAAAGCATTTCTCTGTGCAGTTAAACGCAGAGTCGGCCGAACGAGAAAGCTTTAAAGCATCAACTGGTTGGTCCTATGGACACTTGAAAAATTTAAAACTTTTTTATATGTCAATACAAAATAATACACAAACATACCAACTCTACATAAATGCAAGTAAGAGCTAATTAACTTTTATAGTTTTTTATTTATTTATTTTATATGTTTACATTATTGTCTCATTAATATTCTTGTTTCGATTATCCGGACTCTTGATTACTCAAGTGTCCATGAGTCCGGATAATCAAGGTTTGACTGTACAAAGTATTGATTTTGTCCTGAAAACAAAAGCAAACTGACTTTCCAGTTGCTACCAGCTTTACTGTTACTTTTTATCTATTTTTCTTTTATGGAAACCAGAACAATATGGCTTGGATTACCTAAAATGGCATTTTTTTACTTTGCATTGTTAAAATAATATTTTTATTTGTCTTCTAACAGCTTCAAAAGGATGGTCATGTGTCATTTGACTACTACTACACTGATGATACGTACACTGTGTTTCGTGTATTTGTGAGTTCTTCATTAATTAGTTACCTTTTACTTTTATCTCCCAAACTGGTGAAATGTGCAATTCTCTGTGTGTTTTTTTTATGCTGAAATCTTCAAGAGACTCTTAGTGTTTTTATCATGTGTATGGCAAATGGAATGATCCAAAAATTTTAATTATTTTGTCAAAGTCAACCCTGTCATTTAGTCCAAAATGAAGCACCAATTTTTTAAAGATGCATTTTAAAGTTGTGTTACTCTGTGGACATCTTTTTTACCCAAGAGACTAAAAATTAAACAGTTAATAAAGGCTGTGTTATTTTGAGTCTGCTTGCTTCCGTGTCTTGTACTTTATCGAGAGACTATTGAAACCAATATACTGTGCCTAAACTTCAAGGTAAAGTAATATAATAATATTGTTTTTTGTTTGTGACCTCACCTGTAGGTAAGAAATGAACAGTGTAAAGTTTCCAGCCTGAGTAAACATGATACATTCCCTCCAAGTTCCTCCAACAATGAATGGCTGACCACCAAGGTAGAAAGCTTTTTTCCAACTCATTTCAAATTTTCCAGTTACATGAATTCATTCTAAACGACCCAACACTTACACAGCTGATATGATTTCTGACAGATTAATTTGAAAGCTGGAAGAAATGTTATCATTTGGCAAGCAACAGCCATTACATATGATTATGAAGATCAAGACAGTAGGAGAGAACCTGTTTACATCAAGAGTATTGAAATACAAGGTTTGTTTGTATTTTATTACTGTATTGATAGTGAGTTTTGATCGTGGACTTTCCTCACCAGGTTCGCAATATTGGAGTTTTTTCATGCACATTTACAGTCGCATGATCAGGAATGAAGAAGATTTCAAGCTTTTTTAACAACTTAGCTTTGAGAAAGCGTCCTTCAACAGTCTTTTGACTCAAACAAGCATATTCTCAACCAGCTACTGAGTGCAGCTTAATGGAAGGAAAGCTTTCTGTAGGACTTTCTAGTCCTAGTTCAATATCCTTTAATGATTACGCAATCGTAAGAAATTGCACTCTTCGAAGCTTTTCAAAGATTTGCCACCAAATTGAAGGGAATTTGCATATGATAACCTTTGATTATAGAACCATGCTCAACCTGTAGTCAAGCATATCATTCTGATCACAGCGTAACTGAGCCATTAAACTAAACGTTACTGATCATTTTCTGGCGCTCTCTCTAACCGTAAAAGTTTTTAAAAAATCCTGCAAATGTAGAAGCTGAGGACTCGTAGATGTAGCCTTTATTGTAACAAATCAATGTAATTGCTGAGTCTTACAAATTACAACACAAGACATTCGGATTGCCTCTTGAACTATTGACTGACAAGAAACATAGCAACTTATATAAAGCATTCGTTGTATTACTGTTGATGTTTTTTTGCCTCTAAAGTTGGATTTTCACAAAAATTGATTTATAAACTGTTTTAATTAAAGAATTGAAAACTAACAAAAATAACTGAGCAACACTTTTCTTTTTATTTCATTCTATTATACCTGTATATACATTAGAGTATTATTTCATTTAACAGGGTGTTGGAGGAGGAGCCCAACCCCCCTCTACTTTTTTTTTTCACCAGTGGCTTGTCCTTCTTGGCTAGTGATTTATTTCACTCACTAGCCCATTGCCCAATATCCAAAAAAATTAGTGTCAAGCACTGATATTACTAAGCCTATGTTTTGATTAGGTGACAAAATTCCACTGAAAGTGACTAAATTGTAGGCTGCTGGCTTATTTTGACCAGGCTGCCAATTTAGTCCACCATGAAGTAAAAATCGGTTTCTTGTGATGTGAGATCGAACATAACTTGTGTGGTTCAGAGTACACTTAATTCAGTTCCATTTAAAAGCAAGTGGGCCATAATTGTTTTGATGTGAGTCTTGATTCTTGATTCCATAAAGAATTGAGTTCTGAGAATCAAGGAGCAGTCATCCAGAATTGTTTCTAAGAGGTATATAGATTCTCGTGACATAGAAAACAGAAATTTCATCCTTGAATGATTTCTTCAAAATTTACATTGACATAATTTGTAAAAAATGGATCGCAAACATGGCAGTGTGCCGCAAGTTGCTGTTTACTTTAAATCAAACTTTGTTGCATCCTTGTTGTAATCAAATTTTTAGCTGTGTGTATTTTGAGTTATAAAATGCATTTGGCACACACTTTCCTACTTTCCCTGATGTTTTCTAAACCTCCTGTGTGCTTCCATAGCTCACTGTATGTAAGCTAAGCATTAAACAGTTCTTAATTCTTGTCATTTCTCAGGGGTTTCATACACATCAGAGTGTACACCATGTGAAGCAGGATTTTACAATGACCAGGAAGCACAAGGAAGGTACTTATTATTCATTACTAAAAATGCAATGGTACTCTACAAGGAAATAATTGGTGCCAGGAACTGCTGATTCCATTTTGTTTTCACGGAAAGAACATATTTGTTATATCCAAAATTATGGTCAATTTGTAACTTTCATAACAAGTATAATAAATGAGTTTGAATGTCAACTTATATGTGTTATAAATTATTCTTGGATAATACAGCCAAGAAATATAACCGATAATCAAACTGTATGTGTACTTGTATCACATCATATCAAGATTTTATTTTATGTTGTTATTGTTGTAACAACTGTGTATCATGTTGTTAGTACTTTTTCCTGTTTGCTTAAAAACCAAAAAATACATCTTTCTTATTTGGTTTGTGGTATGTGGCTGTACTACAGTGTTTCTATGTTAAATTTTGTTGCAGCTGTAGGTAAAAGACTGTGTACCTGTCTGGACTTAAATCGCTTTCACACTGAAACACATGAAAAGAACACCTCTTTCTTTTGGAATTCTATTTTGTGAAGTGAATCAAAGCTAAAGCCTTCAACAACATTGTATTTCTGTTTAAAATTTTACTTGTTGTTAATATTAAAAATGAAACATTCATACATGTAATCAAAATGTGACAGTCAGAGTTACACAAATTCTGCTGTTAAGAAATGACGTCCTTTAGGCCATCTAAGCCATGTCTAACAATGAAATAAAATAGCTTTTTATAAGTTTGCCAGGAAAACCTTTTCCGCACAAATTAAAATGCATTTCAAGTCACAACTACACATATGTTTGGACTATAGATTTTAACTGAATGTCAGAATGTAGAAGGAGCTATAAACAGCTATCAAAAGTTAATGGTACCTTCTGTATTCTACATGTAAATAAATGCGAGAAAGTTATCCTGAAGAGATCTGCCAGTATTGTAACTTGTTTATAAAAATAATAGATGTTGAAAGCTTAATTTGCTCCAATGTTATCTTGCAGTTGTAAAATGTGCCCTGTTAACACATTCTCCGCTCCTGGGGCTTTAGAGTGCTCAAAGTGTAACGAGGTGACAGAATATGCAGGTAAAAGTTAATAACATGAATACATGTAGATAGAAAATTTTAAGCTTAGCAAGACCAGCAACACATGATTTCACAGTCATACAATAATTTCACAATTATTGGAAAATCATACAATGGTGACACATTGTCTTGTATAAAAATGCTGAATGATATGCAAATGAGCACAATTTGGTCTTTTCCTGGTTTGTGAATTTTTTCCCCACTGGTTTTAACTTGTTTATGAAAAATTGCTTATCAGTTTCTTTTTCCTCAGGCCGCGGTGCAAAGAACTGTTCTCAGAGAAAGCCATGTACGCAGCAGGATTACTATGATATTCGAACAGCTTGTGACGATCAGGGCAAGGTATGATCTGCTGGCCATCTGTCCAACATTGTTTAGTATTACTAAGTGAATTTGTTGTTGTTAGGTTAGATATGGACTTGAATGATAGCCAAGATTTAATAATAATAATAATAATGATAATTATTATCATTATTATTAATAGTGAGTTGCAATTGGTGCATTAGAAAACAGGTTATTTGCCTTGAGCAGCAAAGCCCATACCCTTAAGCACACAATAGTAGGCTCGATGGAGAGCATTATAGCAGAAGAATTTGGAGTTGGCACCTTAGTCATACACATGTTATGCTTCTGCAAGCAAAGTTTTTTTATAACTTGCATATAAGTTTAGAACTGCAAGTGCAATAATATTTTCAAAACAGTTTATACCAAGGCTGCTGCCTAATGGGCGCCCTGGTACCAGAGGCGCCTAAAATTTACCCTTGAAAATTACACGAAAATTCATAGGCCTCGATTCCAGAGAAATTACATCATTGCCAGAGATCAAAAAAGTGATTTACATGGCACGTCATTTCAATCATCGCTGAAAATAAATCCCATGCTCCTCACGAGACCATTTGCATACAATGAAAGTTTACAAAACCCTACCATCGTAGTTTTGCTAATTAAGATCCTTATTTTTTTACCACTCAGTAGTTTTCACCTGTTCCAAAGTAATAAACTGTTTCAAGCGATAGAATTTGTGGACCGACACGTTTCGGAAAAGCTCTAAATTTAATCTTTCCTAAGCTTTCTGTGCAAAACATGCAAGGCTTCAACCACGCAACGATTCTTAGTCCCAGTTTCCATAGTCTCTGCAAGGAACGCCTGGCACAATGACCCCCCATTTGTGTATAAAAGATGCCGAAAAACCCTGGGAGCACGCTTCCTGAAACCCTTACCCTATTTCAGACCAAAATCTGTGATTTTCCCCACCCTATTTCTGACCTGAAGCCCTAGAGCCCGGCGCATGACCGGAGCGCGTGACAAGCTGTTATGGGCAAACACCTGTGGTTGGTGTAAACATTAAAAGGGAAATGGTCCTATCGCCAAATGGTGAAGAAGTAGCTTTAGCATGGATAGCAGGCGCAAGAAAGAACGGCTGCACGAGAGGGAGACACGGAAGGGGAGAAGGAGTGCCTGCCCGAAAGGCCCACGAAAATCATCTGCTGCCCCCAATCTAATTACCTGGCAGCTGCTGTGTGATCTGTCAAAAATTTTGACAGAAAATGAATGACCTCGGTCTAAAAAAGCATGCCGTCAAAAAGTGTTGTATTTTTATCCTTGGTGTAAATACATCTGTCATAAAGAAAAGCTGGGTTATCTGACTATAGAGCGATGGAGCAATAAACCAATGGTCAACACACAGCTTTAAATCATTTTTAACCACAGGCACAATAAATGGGAAAGAACAAAGTCCAGATTGGGTATCTTTTAAAGAATGCGTGCTGAGTATTATAAAAAGCTATGTTAAATATTGTTCTCTGAGCTTACTTACTCACAACTGTACAGACATTGCTTTTACTGCACTAAGTGGCAGCCGTTTTTGGAGCAGACATGTCTTACTGAGGGGACCTAAACTTCAGAACTCAAACTGTACCGAGACGTTTTCTGCTGCAGTAACGAGACATAAACAACAGACCTCAGGTCACCTCCGAACGGCGAATGATACAGTATTGAAAGGTTTTTCAAAGTCATGCCCCTGGTAAATGTATCATTTCATCCATCCTGTCCAAGTTTTGATGGTATGCATTCCATCGACAACACAAGCTGCCAAGTTTTCCTGAGCAAAGAATATTTCCTCTGATCTTCATTGCAACGATTTGACAAATCTTTTGTCTCTCGCCACTTCTGCTAATGCATATCTGATGTCAATTCTTTCCATCGTGAATACTGTTTGAACACACCAACGTTTCTTTGAGATTACAGCCACATAGTCCCATTAAACTATATTGAAGTGACCTCTAAGACCTGAACTTTGATTATTCCATGGTTTCAGGAGCTGGTGGTGTAATATATGACCTTCATTACATTGTTCATGTATTATTGACTGACAGTTTTCTTGCCCAGCACGGTTACTTTTTCCTTTGGGAGCCTCTCAACCAATTGGAAATATCCGCACTCACAGAGTGCGAGTTGAAACGATTTTCATGGGCCTTCCGGGCAGGCGCTTCCTCTCCCTTCACCTGTCTTTCTCAGGCCCACAACTTCCAAGTGTCTGCTACGTAGGCAAAAGTAGCTTCTTCTAAAAAACGTACCCAATTCAAGACTAGAGTGCACAAACCATACCCTATTTCAGGCCAAAATGGCTCAAATTGATACGCTATTTCAGGCCAAAATGGTTGAAATTGATACCCTATTTCAGACCAAAACCGCTAAAAAACCATACCCTTTGGCACCGTCCCCCAGGTGAAAACGCATTGTGGATTATAAGTCTCGCTGCTTACACAAGCGAGACTAATATTAGCCAAAAACCAGTCCAAAAAGAGGAATTGGTGAAAAATGTGTTTTTTTTGCTGCTTGCCGGCCGTCACCAAAGGGTTAACAAAGTTACTGATCTTTTTTTCATTGGGCTCCTAGAAATGCGGCTCGGGCTCCCAAACAATTTTCTTAGGCAGCAGCCTTGTATACTGGCATTTTTTCTTTTCAAGACAAACATAATGCAGTTTCTGTCATTTCAAAAAAGTGACTGTCTATATTATGAAGTAACTAGTCTGAATTACCTGTTCATAGTATTAGTATTATTACATAACGTAATTACTTTAATTTACAATATATTTTTCTTGGGCATTTATTTTTATGTAAGATTAATTCTTTATCCAAGAGCCACAAGCCACACGTACAGCTGTGCTGTTCATGTCACCCTCTTTAATAAAGTTTGATTGAGTGACTTCATTGAGTGTTAATCCTACCTATCTTGGTTTGTTATTTAAAAACCTGCTTTGCTTACAAACCTGCTCCTAATGTAAATTTTACGGGGCAAACAGGAAGAAAGGAATATCAAATCATTCCAACAAATGCCTAAGCTTTTAGTATTAGTTTTGGGCCTGTACCTGTTCCCATTACTTGTTTATAACTTGTAAACAAAAACTCGCCTTCATTCACACATTTTCTGTTTCCTATGGTGTTTTAGACTGAAGTGAAATACATGTGGGTAGAACCAAAGATCTGCCGTGAAGATGTTGATGGTGCTATAAAACTTCCAGCATCAGGAGAAAAACAAGACTGCCCTCCTTGTAACCCTGGGATGCATCAAAATAGTACAGGAAATAATCAGTGTGTGTACTGTCCTGCCAATCATTTCAGTGATGGCAAAGTTGGTAAGTGTGACACAAGTGACATTTTCTGAGGAGGTTAAAAAATCATGGTTATTTAGGCGTCATTGAAAAAACGTAGAAAGAGATACAATGTAATATTGTCCTTTGATACTGTAAATTAAAGTCTTAAACACCCACAAATTTCCCATTAATTCACAAAGAATCCCTGGATATAATTATGGTATGCTTTAGTTAGTTGGTTATGTGAACGCTGTAGTACATACAGTCAATTTTTTACACAGTTTTATATAAATTTACGCAGAATTTGTTCACATGCAAATGTACATATTGATTGAATATTATAGTCATTTGTTAATTGCTTGAAGGAGTTGACTGTGTGACTGATAAATTGAAACTTGATGAAAGCTACATTTTCTTGAAATTTTAAAAGTCAGGCTTCAAAATTTCAAAACCACGTCCCTTTGTTAATTTTGTTGGTTACTCTAATCTACATCAATTTTTTTGAAATCCCTGTTTTGGGTTAATCATAGATTGTAAAGAGTGTGCAGTGTCTACTGAAGCTGTTTATGGTTATCACATGAGATGGTGGCATACCATTCCAGAGCCACTAAAAGCATCTTGCTTCTCTATGTCAGGTAAGTGAGTGAAAAATCCACTTTCTTGTTTTATGGCATCAATATCAATGAGATTAAGCACTGGTTATTATTTCTGAATCAAATTCAGCAGTTACTGGTACCTTACAAACCACAGGGCTCGGCGTTGCGACCTGTGGGGTCGTCAATCCGACCAGCTTTTACTCAGTGGCTTTTAAATTTTCACGCCTGGTTGCCAACCTGGCCACCAAGATAGGAGACTTTCTTCTTTGGGAAAACGTACACTAATGATAATTTGTTATCCTTTACAAAACTAACGGATAGCTAACGGTGTTTCTAACGTTTTGCCCAAAAGCTCTAATGCTTTGTCTAAATGTTTTAACAATTTGTCTAAATGCTTTAACGATTTCTTCCAACACTCTAACGGATTGTTCTTATGCTGTTTGTCTAACAGACTTCTCGCGAAATCAACTTCTTTGCCCGAAAACATTAGCAACGTTTCCTCTTTCTGGAGACTTTCGATCACGTGCTAGGCAATAGCGAAATAGATCAAGTTTCACCGATGTTCATTTCTGAACATGCAAATACATGGGACGCGAAACAAATTTTGCAGATTTTGTTCTTTAATAACTGAAATAAGTTTTTTTTGTGATTCCTAAAGTTTGTTATCTAAATGTGTATTCCATTGCTTGAATACCTGTTTGAGGATATTTACGCTTGAGTGCGCGTTCATTTTCCCAAACACCGGCTGGTAATCGAGCCTCAAGCAAAAACCGTTTGAAAGGAAGTTCAAAGGAAGTTTAAAGCATTCTTTTTCTGCTAAGGCTGAGTAAAAGATGTTAAGTTTATTGTATTCTATTCGTTCTTAAATATAATTTTTGGCGACTAGAATACTTGTTCTGGCAACCAAAAATTAAAACTTGGGGGCCAGCCAGCCCCAACATTTTTTTCTGAAAGTCGAGAACTGAACCGCTTACTGATGAACTCAAGCAAAACTGGCAACAGTGGAACAACAATTTGACTAATAAAAAAATGGCTGCCATTACTGTGACAAAAGAGTGAATCAAAACGCACTATGATCACATTTGAAGACTTCTTAGCTGATAACATCACTGCTTCACTGACAGACAACCAGTAACAATGCAACTTAATTGACCAATCAGGCTAAAACCAGAATTGAAAACTAGCAACTGACGAAATACAACTTACTTGACCATGAAGATGACTACCATACAGGTTGTTGATAGTTACTGTCAACTACAGTCCTTTTCAGGACTAGTATCTGCACTCACTCAGAGGGTGACTCACCTACTTATGTTATTTTTTCTGTTGCTATGATCATGGGCTTAAGGACACATAAATTTTGACTAAATAAAGGTTAAATTTTTGTGCAATAAAGTTAAGTTACTCACGTTGAAGTAGTCTTTTGTCATTTCTGGTCAATTGTCCCAGTATATTTCTTGTAGAAAAGCCTGGAAACATGCTTTGTTTTGATTTATAAGTCCATCAGCATTTGTAAAGTCTTGGTAACCGAGCATTCTCTTTGAATTCTTTGGCATGGGCGGCACTAAGTACATGATGTGCTTCTCCTAAAAACCCCCTGGGTACTCCCCTGGGTAGGAACCAAACTTGATCAATTTAACCTTTATTTAGTTGAAATCCATGTTTGCTATAGCCCATGCTATGATCCCGAAAAAAGAAATTGGTTTGAGGAACAAGTGTTCTGTGGTTTTCAAAACCAAGAGCTGTGAGAAATCAAGTTTGGACTGTACTGGTGTTAAGCTGCATTCGCTTGTCAAATCCTACAAACGGCCCAAATTTATTTAGCACTTAAATGGTAGTGTTTTATTTAAGCATATGAATGACTTAAGGCATCAATGTTTTTCTGAGGTTATTAAAAAATGTTCTGAATGGTGATGGGATTATGATCAAAATGTTACATATCCATTTGGATGTTAAACATTATTATACTGTGGTATAATACAATTTTATAATAATTTGGATGATAACAAAATACTTTCCCCTTTGTCAGACTATCATGCAGTCTTTGTGATTCATTATCTCTTGTATTTGTCTTTAGACCGTGGATGTACATCAAAGCAGGGTTGGCAGCCACGTAAGAACTTTCTTGACAGTGGTATCAACCAGGCAGATGATGTGTACATGTCATTGCGTCTTTCTGTGAAGGGATTTGGCGGCTCTGAGCGCTTAAATGACCCCCGCCAAGGCCAGCATGGACTTGTTACCTTTGACTTTGAGATGATCTGTAATGGAGATTGTACCTTTAAATTCAAAGAAGTAAATTTTGTTAATATTCTTTTGTTAATTGTGATAGCCACATAATTTACTCCTCATTCATAATGCTGTCTATGTTATGTTGACCTATCATGCTACTTATCATGTTACTTTTCAACAGTCTTTGAAAGTGCAGTAACATTTAAAATTGACAATTGTGTGTTATGGGCTGCACAAATTTTAATTTTCAATGCTTAAAAACGTTGGAGGGAAAAAATTACAAGAGAACAGCCCTTTAACTTGTCATGTACCGATATTTTGTGCTTCAAATTATTGTGGTATTTCCCAGCATGCAAATATTGATGTTCTCTTTTTCTTAAGTCTGAGACCATGTCATATCTTGCTTTATAAAAAACTAAGATAGTACGTGCACTCTGATTGGCTGAGAGGAGTGTTTGCATGAGAGCATGGAAACATGGTTGTGACGTCAAGATGTTTTGCTTTTCGCGTGCTTATCAGGCAACCACGAATTTGAAACAGTTTTTGAGTTGAAAACTCAACAAGCTACTTTATTTACCCATTCCTTTGTCAGCTGAAACTTGGAAAATCTTTACAAAAAAGCTGTGTAATTTTTTTCTTTTGCTTAAGCTGACATTTTAAGTGAGAAAATTCTGTATTTTGGAAAGCATCTTTTTGCAAAACAAAATACTTTGCGACTCGTAAGAATTTTTCTTTTAATCAGTGGCATAATAAAGAGTTTTGCGTTTTTTCTCGGGAAATTTATTTTATAAAAGCAATAGAAGACTTTTTTCCTGTGTTTGCATAGCCTGATATAAACACTCGAGGGGGTCTTGGCTTTGCATAACTGTCGCAAATTCTCCCAACCCGTCTTGTGTTTATATCAGGCTATGCAAATGCAGAAAACGTTTTCTATATCAAAATGCATGTTGAGTGCCCTAGATCTGTTCTAGTTGAGGCATACTGAAAGGCAGTAGATTTTCAGCTACTACCCTATACACAGGTAATGTAGGAAACTTGATATGATCTTATAAACTCTACACATGCTCATTAATTTTGCTTTGTATTTATTTGAAGAAGCCACTTTATAAAGGAACATCAGAGATTCAGACGTGGACAGGAACTAATGGTCGACAAAAATACAGGTGATACATTGATAGATGTCTGCATGAACCAATTTTCAACTTACTTTGGATTTAGAGATAGCTGAGTTTAAGATACATATGTTTATCACTTAACTTTCTTCAAAGTTGTTAAGTCTTTACTCTTAGTAACAATCACTCACATTTCCCTTCAACCTACAAACTTAGTAATTGAGGAGAGATTCCAGGTATTGGTAAAAGTTTAAGTGTAAATTAACTTTGTTTTTTACCTGCCAGTAAAAGTGAAATGAATAAAAGATGTTTGAGGTACCAATAGGAAGTAATTTGTAGGAGAGTGTTGCAGCAGTAAAACTTATAGAATGATGAAAGTGAGTCTTAGTCTATGAATCTGTTGACCAAAGCTGATCACTGAATGCTGAGTGATAGAGGACCACATCTTGTGCCTGTTAGAAGTCAAAGTATGCACAATCCAGAGTCTGATTTTGTGCTTCTGATACAGCAGGAGTATCAGGCTGTGGATTATCACGTTTTACTGTGGAATAAATTTTAAACAACTAATAAACTTACTACATTACTTTTCTCTCACAGTTACATCATTTCATCACAAAGGAGCACAGAATTTTCATGGACATTCCAGAAGCACAGTTCCTACTCTTTTGATGACAGTGAATCAAGTACATACACCAATGACCGGTATGAACTCCACAGTCATTTTTTACTGTTTTCAAACCATTATTACTGTTGGGATTTCTATGTGTTGGTGCATGAATGCAGTTAGTACAATAACTTATTACATGTTGGTGGTGCTAGCAGAAGCAGTGGCAGTAGAGGCAGTGGTGGTCATTAGAGGTAGTGGTGGTGGTGGTGGTGGTAGTAGTAATGGCAGTAGTTGTGGTGGTAGTGGTGGTGGTATTTGTAGTGGCACTAGCTGCTGCAGCAGCAGCAGGAGCAAATATGAATGAGACATTTCCTCTGAATTTTTAGTACAACACATGGAGGAAAATAATAGTGAGAGTGATATCATGACAAAATGTTGATCATCTTGGTTAAGTCACCTCTTCATTTTGGTTTGTTTGTTGTGTTTCAGAGTTAAGATCTTCTCCATTACAGTTAATAATACCGTTGATGGGGGTGCGGACCACTGCCGTGAGTGCCCAGTTTCATCAGAAGAAAAAGGGTATGTACAGAAAGCTTTAAAAAGTTAGACATGATGAGTAAGTTCATCAGCAAGTCTGAATGTTGAACAAAGATGTTATCAGTTTCAACATTTTTGACATTCACCTCGTTTGCGTGTATCTAACAGTACACCTAAATAAGTGGAAAAGTTGGAAAAGGGTACAAGTGTTATAGAACCGCTGCCTGGTTAGTTCAGTTGGATAAGCGCCGGTCTGCCGAGCGGGAGGCTGCTGGTTCAAGTCCCGGCTGGACCAACACTCAGGGTCTTTAAATAACTGAGAAGAAAGTGCTGCCTTTGTAAAGACATCTGCAAACGGTTAGACTTTCTAGTCTTCTCAGATAAGGACGATAAACTGTCTCACAACCCTTGCATATATAAATTCTGTGGGACGTTAAAGAACCCACACACTGTTCGTAAAAAGTAGGGGACGTAGTCCCCGGTGTGGTGGTCTATCTCTCATGGGAGGAGGGACTGTTACAGGCCAGCAGTAATTGGCGTCATGCTGTTGCGGTGACCCTGCCAATAATTGGCGAATCTAATAAAATAAAATATTTATTTGCTTTCATATTTATTTTCCACTGGTCTCATACATTGCATGAATTTAAGATTTGAGAATAACTTCCTATAGCAAGTCAAGTTACTGTTTCAGGGTCATCTTCCTTTTCACTTTGCAGTTGCATCAGTTGTCCTGAGGGAAATTATGTTGACACGGAGAAGCATGCTTGTGTACCTTGCCCCAAAGGTAACTCCTTTTCAAAACAAATCAGGTTACGAACTTAGGCCTTTTATGACATTTTCCAGCTACCAGCTGGCAAAAATAGTTTAAACTATATCCAGCTGGTAATTCTTCACAGTTTTCAAATCAAGCCGTTGTTTTTAGTGCAAATGTAGTAATATAGTGCTTCTAAGCACTCAGCAGGGCAAAACGTTAGTACATAATAAACTAGTGAGACATGGAAGTTTAGAATAGTCGTTTTCTTCATTCAACAAATCTACGCATTTTTGCAAGCTTCTAACGTGTTCAATTTTTCAGCTTCTAACACTTTTTAACTTTGTGTTCAGGTACTTACTTGAATACTAGCAATCCTTATGGTCGGGACTCGTGCATTAAATGTGGTCCAGGATTAAAAAGGTAGACAGGCTTTATTAAAGTTTCCGAGAGTATAGGGAACATTTTGTAGTTTGAGTATCAGCGAAGTTCATGCTTACTTTTCTCTCCTTCCAAAGTGGTGTTTGTGTTTCCTAATTTGGCTGTCATGTGTGCCCATAAAAGTCTAGATTGCATAGGAGTATCTGTCCTATCCTTTCAGTACTTAGTAGAGCTGTTGACAATTACACACGTCAGAAAGACATCTAGGGCAAGACAGGGAACCAGAGACACCAGGGACTTGCTTTAACTAATGTACAAACAAAAGGAGATATTTAAATGCTTCCTAGACCCCCTATTGCCTAATCTGAAATACTTGTGGTATGTGCCTTAATTATCTACACATAGTTCTTCAGTTCATAGTGTCAAGCCACTGAAAGGATAACGCACATATGCAATGAAAATACGTCTAGCAGTGATGCTGCTAGAGATGTAACCTGTAACACGTGTAACACCTGTTATAGCTGAGGGTATTAAGGGTAATGAACATGAATAGCTGTTGTAGCAAATATTATAAGCACGCTTTGTGTGTTTTAGCAGCTGAAAAATTACACACAACAGCTGCTTCAAGATCTTACTGTCAACCTTGGTGTTAGTTGCACCATCTTATTCAGGCTTTGGAGAACAACTGAACATATTTTACGAGTCTCTGGCAAAACAGGCGCAAAAGAATTAACTATAGTAATATATTTGAGGGGAAATTTATATCAAATAACCTTGTTGTTATTATTTGAATTTCTCGATTTTCATTTTTCATGCTGTTTTTTTTTCTTAATTATGTTTCAGTGAAGAGGGATCAACAATGTGCCATTCTGATTGTATTTACTTTTCCAATAAGCATGGACGATTTTTCAACTTCTCTGGTCTTAATGGGTAAGGAATTCCTTAGGAACAAGTGCGGTTATTTAACTAATTTTAATTAGTTAGTTAATTAGTTGGTTTTTTAGTTTAAAAAACCTGGTTATTCAGGGTGGATGAAAGACTGTCTGGAGAAAGTAAAGTCTGCGCTAAGTTTGCACTGAACAGCATGTCAGGTTAGAGTTCCTTTGGTGAAGGTGTTAATTTTCAGTAGCCCTACATCACATCGTAGGGTTAATTCTAGAATTGACTTTGCAAGATTTCCGTGGTTTGAAAAATTATGTGGCACGAAATTTGTGTAAGGGCCTGTTTACATGGAGGTGGGGGACCCCAGGTAGGTGAGGTAAAATATGGCGGGTCACCCCACCTATCATGTAAACGTGATCAAATCAAAATGAGAGATTATATGGACAGACGGGTTACCCCACCTAAGCGGGTTACCTCACCTACCTGGGGTCCCCACCTCCATGCAAACAGGCCTTAAGTGTAGCCAATGGCACACTTAAGTAAAATGAAATAATATAGAGAATTCAATTTTCAATTGCGTTATATTTGGCCAGGTACGTGGACTTGGTGAGAAATCAGAGATGACGTCTGATAACGTTGTGAAAGAATGACTGTTAAAATTTCGGCAACTCAAATGAGAATTTTGAACGGCAAATGTACTGGCATCAGTTGCTTTTGTCAAATTATTATAGCATAATTAGATACAGTTACCCAACAAATTTAAATTTTTGCATGTGCATGAAATGTATATGGCGCGGAGGACGCGCGGAAAGGCTCTCTTGAAAAATGGGTCATAGGGCCCTCGATGAGCCCATTTTATAATGACTCGAAGAGGCTTTTCAAAAACATATTTAAATAGACATTATCTTCTAAGATGATCTTCACTGGAAAATGCAAAGAGTTGAGTAAGCGTATTTTAGAAATGTAATTATTATTGTTTGCACGTTTTACTTATTGATGTGCGATCACTTATCAGAGCTCACAGCATTGCCAGCAGCCCGTCTTTCACCAGTCGTGGTTTTCGATATTACCACCTCTTCAACATGAGTCTGTGTGGTCATCCTTATCAAATGGCACGCTGTCACAGCAACATCAGTCTTTCCTCTGGAAAGGAGGTGAGTAAGGGTTTGTTTTTGCATGTCTTCATTCGGGCATCTCAGTAATACGGACACCGCTTTGTTATGAACAGTTCTTGGTCCCAAAGTTATTAAACTTCATACAATCCTTACCTCTTTTAGCTATACTTGCAACAGGTATTGGTAACGAAAATGCTCCTTTACCATGGTAGGGTAGGTAAAGGCGCACACGAGACAAAGGCCCAAACGGCCAGAGCTTATCCCTGTTTCATTATTATGAAGCACCTAGGAGTATTGCTACTGCCCCCTGGACGAGATGCTAGTCCATCGCAGGGTTACCCCCAGCAGTATGTCGCCGGTGCCCATTTATACACCTGAGTGAAGAGAGCCAAAGTGGAGTAAAGTTCCTTGTCTAAGGAAACAACGCTACCGGCGCGGCTTGAACCCCGCACCTCCAGCTCCGGTGTTGGAGGTGTTAACCACTCTGCCACACATCCTTTACCATGACCAATCTCAAAGGTGCCAACTGTATGTAATAGTGCTTTTTCCTTTGTTAATGTTTTACCCTAGCTTAAATCCTAGTCTGAACAACTCGCCTCTTTGGGTCTATAGACACTGGTCTTTGTGCTCCAAGAGCAATCAATTATACTATATATCTCTGTCCTTAATTTCATTGAGACATTAAGCACAATGTTGAATTCACAGTCTTGACATTGTAGAATTCCTTATAACATATCCTCAAAACGTGTTCATGTGTCGTGGATTTTAAAGAATTCGTTCATTCATTGAAACACTCTTTTATCCTTTTATCAACTTCACCTCTAATTTTCCCAATTTACTGTCCATGCATCTCCCACCCATTTTCTCTCTGATTCTGTTCGTGTCTGGCAGTGCTCTCGCGGATTTTAAAAGGTACCATTTTGTGACCCAAAACTCTTTTTCTACAATTTTTTGTTTTTGTTTAAGTTTTTTTTATATAGCAGTCAAGACAGTCAATACTTGTTCAAAACTGTGTAGCAGACTTTCTTTGTCTAATCTATGTAAATTGGTATGGTTATATGTTTCTTTTAGGAGTACTTCAATCTAACCTCTCCTGCTTGCCGCATGACTGTTGTCCCTGATCCTCATGTCATCACTACTCAGACAATGAGGTTAGTCTAATGTGTTGAATATGTCTCAGGCATCTTTACAGTCAAGTCTTTAACTGACCTAGTTTGACCAACAAGTGGAGAGAAACCAATACAGTGAACCATGAGATTAAGTGAACAACTAACCGGGTTCAGTAATAGTGGTGGCTAGCCTGACTTTCATCCGATTACTGTACTTCGGGTCGTTATTACTCCCTCAGTAACTGAGGGAGTAATACCCACTCGAAGTAATCGCATGAAATTCAGGCTAAGTGGTGGTTGCATTCCAAAGAAAAAAAATCGGGTTTACAGTATTTACTCGATCAGTTACGTCAATAGATACTTCGCCTTTAAAACAACAATAACAAGACGCTGAGGGAGTGTATACTTACCTGGGCGTCGTTGTATAAGGCATATGTGAAGTTTTTTTGTGTGTGTTTGTGTGTTAAGGGTGTGTGAGTAGTGCAATAGGGTTGTTTATTGTAAAGGGTTTGTGAAAATGTGTTAAGTGAAGGGCGTGGAGCCATGGTTGACGTGGTTTGGTATGGCGATGGCTGTTGAATACATGTATATCAAGTCTGCATAAGATGTACCGGCACGCAGTTTGTACTTGGTGTTGGAGTTGACCACATTCCTTGTTCGTAAGTGAGAAAATTCGGCTTATAAATGTAACAGGGTCCGAAATTACGCCTTCCTGGTCGCCAATGCGACTAAAAATTTAGTCCTGGCGACCAGAATTTAATAGCTGATCGCCAGCTAGCGACTTGTAAAGTTGGTTGTTATTGTGGACTTTAAGGTTCGGAGAAACTGATTAAGAATTGAAACCTCGAAGCTATTTGACAACAGGTGTCTTACTTTTTGTCCTGGTGATATTTTTTAACTAAAAGTGGAACGAATCTTCCTGTAATAATCAGAATAATACCTCCACAACAGCTACGATCAATACGAGTTGAACGTTTCCAAGCCGCTATGTTGTTTTCAGCTGAAATACGGTAAGTACGTTACGTACTTTGTGGACTGGTATGAGTAATGTGGCACAGTTGTGGCCTGGTACTGTCACAGTGATATGGGCATCGCGGCTTGACTCGTGTTTATGTTTCGTGTTTCGTGGTAGTTATCGGAAGAAAATAGAGTTTTGATATGATCAGTGCAGTTATGGGCAGACAGCTTTCTGTTCCTACGTTCTAGGTCTGACAGCTCTATATCTCCAACAAGTAATTTGTGGAAAAAGTAAGACTTCACTCGTACACGTACGGTTGCTTTCTGGTATCGGGAGCGAAAGTATTGCAATTTTTGAGCATAAAAACGTCCATACTATGCATTTTTTATTCGTGTTTAAACTTTTATTTGAAAAATAGAGAGGGGAAATTTTTGGCGGCCACAATTTGCCCTCTGGCGACCAAAACTTTATACTTGATCGCCAGTTGGCGCCTGTATTAAAAAGTTAATTTCGGACCCTGTGTTATCATCCCACAGTATAAAATTTCGTTCGCAGTTTGCACGTGAAGATATTGAACGAAGGGATAATTAAGCACTTCATGACTCATTAGCTATAAACTACACTAACGGGAGAAAGATGGTTTTCTGTTAATATTATACTTATATGAAAATGACATGTACTTTCAGCCTTGCTGAGCATTTTCTTGGTATATATGAAGATGTTCGTGATAACACAACCGATGAGACATCCGTGTTTGGTGAGAATGGAGGTAAGTTGTGTGAAAATCCCTAAAAATATGTTTGATAATCGAGGGATAAAATTTTTTGTACAATAAGCATTCAAAAATATAGACTACTTTTAAACCTTTACACAGTAGTCATCAAGTCTAGGTTTTAAGGTAACTTGGTCATCGAAAACGGATTCAAATGCCCATCATTATAGCAGAAACGGCAACAGCGTCGTGAGAACTCAGGGTATACCCAAACCACGAAATGCGGGAAAAACATCTGCCGTTGCCGTCGCGTCGCAACGTGAGAATTCGTATTTTGTCATTATTGTTACAAAACGTGAGCACTAAACTTTAGTTTTGCTTCGGTGTTTTTTGCAAAATTCTTATAAATTTGGTATCGGACAACTTAGATCGGATGAAAAGTAATGAAGTACTTTGAAAACTTTTCTGGCCTGAAAATCATTTATAAAATCATATATAAATCTCTATAGTATAGAGATTTACGCATATTTAGTTGCGTGAATGAAGACTGAAGCGATGCCGGTTAAGCTATTTTGTCTGAAAAGTGAAGCTGCTCCGAGAGCTCTTTCTTGTTCAAAAAATCATTGTCCGATCTATTGTCTCTTCTGAAGTTTCAAATCAGAATTCAGACTTGCGTTTGTTTATGTAATATCATTAGAAAAATTCTTCGCTGTCCACTACTCGCTCGCAATGACTTTTATTTGCAGGTAAAACTTGTTGATTGCCTATTTCGTTGTTTTGCACACTGGGGTTTTGCAAACTGTTCTGTCAATCATTTGAGTGGGAGCTGTGTGAATGCAAATCACCATGCAACGCGCTTGCGTAGCTTGGCCCGCAAAAATAAAACTGAGAATGACTCTAGACTGCTCAATAATAACGAAAAAAATCGCGATAGTAAGTGGAATTTTTATCGAGGGAAGGAGCCAGACATTGCTTTATTTTCCAAGTGGGGTCGACATTCTTAAGAAAGATCGTAAGAAACTGAATCTTCGAACAAAACTAGCCGATTATTACCCGAAACAGGACGATCACCGGCAACAAACCTTGAAACACAGAAACAAACAAAACCGATCAAAATCCACAAATCACAAACCGTGACCTTTTGAACTCGTTCCAGTAAACGTGTGTTTCCTAAGAGATCCGCTAAGATGATTGACGGAACAGAAAAACCCAAAATCCTTTCGAAGTTTGCAAAACGCGCAGCCCGATACAACTCATCAACTTGAATAAATTCTTTTTTACCTCTAGGTCCAGTAACTAATACATCTACAGTTTTCCTCTTCAAGTTACATAGCAGCAGGTAAAAAAACACACTTTTAATCCACAACTTGTGTTTATCATACGCACCAAACTTTCTAGTGATTTACTGAGTGCAGAGTGAATCCCCACAGGATGTTGCTGCCTGTGACACCCAACGTTTTCAAGTGTTTACTCTTACTCCAAAAAGTAACTTGAGTAACTTTTAAACCCAGAAAAATATCGGTCAATTGCTAGTCTTCAAGTGAAACACAAAGTGTTTTTAATTTTGCTAGAAAACAGTATTCTCCATAGATGAGGGTTTTTGGGGTTTTTCAAAATTAAAAACCTTTTCAATACGTTAGTCGATAAAATAAGTTATTGGCTTTTTACCACCCGCAATGCCAGTGGTATCTTAGTTATTTTGTTACAAATGTACTTAGTGCTAACTTTCATTGCTAACTAAGGCCTTGTCCAGCGAGTATCCGGAAATTTTTAGACACGGGTCTGTAATTTTGTAAATATATCCTTCTCGCTAGATTTATATGAACATATTACCAGTAGTGGTGAATATGGTTTAAATTCCAGTCGTTTCTTAAAAATACAATTCATTTAACTTCGAGTCGGGTGGTCAATAATTAATGCCGTCAATTATCCAGGAATTTCCAGTTTCGAATTAATTTCTTCATACCACTCAGTTTAGTTTTTAGTTTTCACCTAACATCCGTAACTAATTGAAAGGGGATAGACCAAAGACATTTGTTGCTCTTACAACTATTGTCGTAATCGTTCATCGGTGAAGTTAGTATGATTTAGTCTAGCTTGCGTAAGCAGCGAGACTCATAATCTTCAACGTGTTTTCCTCGTATTTAGGACACAAATGGGGGGTCATTGTGCCAGTTGTCCTTGCGGAGACCGTGGAAACAGGGACTAAGAATTGTTGCGTGATTGAAGCCACACATGTTTTGCGAAGAAAGCTTAGGACAGATTAAATTTAGAGCTTTTCCGAAACTTGTCGGTCCACGAATTCTATCGCGTGAAAGCGTCCATTACTTCGGAACTAGTGAACACTACTGAGTGGACGGGAAAAAAAATAAGAATCTTAATTAGCAAAACTGCGATGGTCGGGTGTTGTAAACTTTCATTGTATGCAAATGGTCTTGTAATGGGCATGCGGTTTATTTTAGGCGACGATTGAAATGATGACCATGTAAATCACTTTTTTGATCTCTGGCAGTGATGTAATTTCTCTGGAATCGAGGCCCTTGAATCTTCGTATATTTATACACGCGTATATCCTCCGACCTCAGACGTATTTCCGGTCGTTGCTAACACACGGACTAAATCAACTCAGAAACAAATAAAAAGTATCGACGTCGATAAAGTAGGAAGTTAAAAACCTTTAGCGAGTAAATCCTGTTTCCTGTAGAATTAATGTCCTCCTCATTTCTGGATCTAATCTCCAAGCAAGCATGACTGACCGCCGCTGTATGAGCGTTCTTGTTCGATTTGCAACTGTGCTTAAAACCATAATTATTAAAAGTGATTGTTAATGTGTTTTTAGACCCACTTCAGCCTGCCACCAAGGTCGCTCAGTCTGGGTGACCGTACTCTGCGATGTGACTGCTGGAAAGGTACTTGCTTTGTCCTTTATTTCTTTATCATGTTTCCATTTGATCGCCGTGATCAAGGCAATCAATTAATTGAAACCAAACTTAAGCTTGACGTACAGTTCCCTGCCCTTGAATGCTTTCTGTTAGAGTGATTTTAATTGAAAAGTGAAACTGATACTAACAAATAGTGGAAAATAGTGAGACCTAAACAAAAGAAGACAACAGAATTAGTGCGTAATAGTGCGTAATATTCATCTACCTATTTCACCGTTCAAGTAAAATCTCTCTAAAGTTTAGACAGTTTTGTAGTACTAAATCTTCTTTAAGCAGATATGATACTAAGATAGTGAATAAAAAAAAACTGCGGGGAGGAATTGGAAATTTGAGAGATAAAGTTCTAAGATTTTAACTTTTTGTCGTTAGAAAGGTCTTTAGGTGTCTGTCAGAGTTCCTGCCAACTTCGAATGCTATTTTAGCTTTAAGGTGGTAAAATGCTTCTTACTTTGCACAGTGAATTCTTATCTCTAAAAGCAACCTTTTTGTAGGTTTTGGCTCAACATTTTTAGTTGTTTTTGTTGTTGTTGTTTTGTCACATTTATTATCAGGAAGTCACACTTTAAATTTATCTGTCTTGACTGAATGGATTTTCACTTTGCATTGCTCATACTAAACAAATTAGATATGTCGAGACAAAACATAGCTATTTGTCAGTAGGGAGCATATATATTTACCCCAACCGAATGCAGAGGTATTTTGCGAACCGAAAACGGTAATTGTTTTATCATTCAACCAGTATGATTGTTTTGTTTTGTAATTTATTGGAAAACGTGGTGTCGCTATGCTCCCTCAAGACAGGAACCCAACTACTCACGAGAAAAGCAACGTACATTCTGTCTCCCCTGCGCATGCGCAGACCGTTTTCTGCTGGCAGTTGTTTGCAGGTGACATGATTATCTCCAGACCAATAAAAACCTAGTAACAAAATTAATTTGACTATTAACATTTGTTGTCTTTTGTTGTAGGGTGTGCTTCAGCTGCCAGCCAAATGTCCCGATGGAACCTGTGACGGTTGTAGGTAATGAGTTATGAATGACTGTTACAGCTAACCAACATACTGGAAACAGTTCTTAAGTTAACTTCCTTAACGGGCAATGATCAATTCAATTTTTCTGTTCATATTGATAACCGTTATTACAATAGCACATTTATTGTGATTATCCAAACAACTACTATTTGAAACAAGGGCAAGCAACGTAAGAAAACAATTTTATCTATTTTTTTTCCTTCTTAGATTTGAAATGTTGTGGCGAACAAAATTTGCTTGTCCAGTCTGTTCTGTGTTTGATTTTAGTGGTGTTACATCATCTTGCGAGGTACGTACGTGCAAAAGTTTTAATTCTTTAAAGAGAAATAGGGTAACAGCTGGGTTAGTCTCTATCCCCATGCTCCATCCTTTGTACTTTGAACCGCAAAATGCACTTGTGTGTAAGTCGGGATGATCGTTAGTTCAAGTCTCAAATTGCCAAATAACTGTTCAACTTTTGGGGCCTCAACGTTACAATACTGTTGCTAAAAGCGATATGGGGCTTTGCCCCACCTCCACAACTGTCAGTTTCTTGTGAAAAAAAAGGGAACCTGGACCGTGTACATGTGATCATCATCGAGGATGATAGAATTAAGTGCTAATGGTATTTAGAGCACGCACCTGGCAGGCCAAGGTTGGAAATTGAGATGCGATGTATATCCTTTCATTGCTTTCGTATCACTGACGCAGAGCGTGAAGTCAGTAACGACTTTACCTCATAGACATGATGTTTGTTGGATCTGAAACTTGGTTTCCCTCGCCAATTGCGGTCCCCGGAATTTCATCATATTAAAACGTAAGAAGAACGAAAGATTAGGCGATGCTTGTTCATGTTTATGCTCGATGGTCTTTTGTCGAGGTTCTCGTACCAGACGTCATTGTAACGTGCTGCTACTACGGCAAAGAGCACTTCTAATTGGGCCTGATTTAAAGTGCTCTATTGCCGTTGTGCCTTCCATGCTTTCAAAACATTGAAATCATTTTTTATTTTTTATTTTTTTTTACTTTTTGGATTTTTGTAGCGTTTGATGTTTATCCAACCTCCCCAAAGCGGACAAATCCTTTAAAATCACAATTACTCCTAGTCCGCTTATGGGAGGCTAGACGTTTCATTAATAAATATGACTACCAACGACCTATTGTTCCATCTATGATATTAATGATAACAGGGATCTTAAGCAAAGACGTTTTTTGAGCAACGACTGTCAACCAAAAATGGACGGTTTACATCCTTTAGCAGTGGTTTTGTTCAAATTCTCAGGCGAGTCGTTTCTATTGAAGTAAATTAAAGAAACGTAGCCATACAAATTTAATAGGATAGCGTTAAGGCGTAATAATAAAAGGGAAAAGTAGACATTTCCGGTCGGCGTGTTTTACTTAAAAACGGCTTTGCTTAAGCTCCCTAATGAGACCTCGCTAGGAACACTTTTTACGTGGCCACACAGTATACTTAGGATATGGTTCTTTTATTGGCTGTAGCTTTTATAGGTACATACAGTAGGTAGTCTTAAATGGTATTGTGTGAACACCCCCCACCCCCCACCCCCCCTTTCAAATCTCCTTCATTGTACCTACCAGTGAGGTACTTACTTGTGAAATGAAATTTTTGTTGTTTCAGAGTGGGAAAAAGATTACAAAATATATGTGGAACAACCCCAGGTAAGAAGTGATTCTCAATATTAAAGGAAACTGAGTATTATGTGAGAAATTATTCAGGCCAAGGGAGGAAGTTGTTTTCTGCCTAAGCCTGACGGTTAACACGGAAACTAATTAATACACTTCACTAGAAGACACAGAACCGCCTAGGCAAACTTTGAGTGTGGAATTCCCCAGGAAAGCGCTCTGGGACCATTCCTGTTTCTTATTTATATCGACGACTTACCCAACGGGTTTGATAAGTTAAGCTTGTAAATGTGTCCTGATGATGCCAACTTACTCGTCTCGGCGAGCAACCTTAAAACCTTCGAAGCTCTAGTAAACTTAAAAAGAGTGAAACGATGATGTGACGCAAAAAAATAGACAAAAAATACGGCAAAAGCTATTTTTATTAGGTGACTTAAACATTTTTACAGGCCAACGTATTCGTGCGTAAATTAACAAGATTTCTGCGCATAAAAACGGTACGCCCTATACTACTCTCAGCCAGTCCGTTTCCGGTATTTCCAATAGTATTCTCACTAAAAAGACTTGCAGCAAACACATGTTTGTGTTAACCTTTCAGACTTTGTCGTGATGGAGTGACCCTTCCTGGCGATGTAGAAGAGCACTGCAGTATTTTTGAACAGTCAGTTGGCTCAGCGATGAAGGACTTTAAGGTAGAAGCCTGCCTACGCCCTGTCAGTATGTTTAGAGGCATTGTGGTACTGTTATCGCCGGTTTGAACCCTAGCAGTGCCTTCAGTTTGATTCCTCAAACAAAGGACATGGTGTTTGTTTTCATCCAGATTAGTTCTCTTATGAGAACTAAAATAATAAATACATAATGTGGCATTACAAACCCATTTTATCAACAACCTCCAATGCCACTCAAAAAGTTAACACTTTTCAAAATTGTTTCGCCCTTTTTTACGATTGACCTTGTGTGTATTTAATGTGTTTTTGTAGATTGGAATCGCTGTGGTGGCAGGTCTTGTTGTTCTTATGATTTGCACTATGTTTGGCTTGTGGTATAAGAACAGAAAGTAAGTATCATCATCATGTTTATGTTTATATGACAGTTACGTACTCCAGTTAGTCTATATTTTGTATCTACTGTCCCTTTTACACCGCTTAAAGCATTTTTCCCTCAACACATGAGAAAACTTTTTCAGCTGATGAGAAATGCGGTAGGACACAACAAACATAGAAATTTACCATTGTTGCAGAGTATCGACCTAATATAGAATTACCATTGTTGCGGAGTATCGACCTAATATAGAATTACCATTGTTGCGGAGTATCGACCTAATATAGAATTACCATTGTTGCGGAGTATCGACCTAATATAGAATTACCATTGTTGCAGAGTATCGACCTAATATAGAATTACCATTGTTGCAGAGTATCGACCTAATATAGAATTACCATTGTTGCAGAGTATCGATCTAATATAGAATTACCATTGTTGCAGAGTATCGACCTAATATAGAATTACCATTTTTGCGGTGTATCGACCTAATATAGAATTACCATTGTTGCAGAGTATCGACCTAATATAGAATTACCATTGTTGCAGAGTATCGACCTAATATAGAATTACCATTGTTGCAGAGTATCGATCAAATATAGAATTACCATTGTTGCAGAGTATCGACCTAATATAGAATTACCATTGTTGCGGAGTATCGATCTAATATAGAATTACCATTGTTGCGGAGTATCAACCCAATAAGACTCTCAGGCTTTGTTCACCCGGTACTGGACCAATTGTCGAGCGGTTGAAAATTCGTGTATCTATGTTTTCCGTTCACTCGGAACCTTCCTAACCGTACTAAAGTTTAGACGCCTAGCCTTTCAAAAATTTAAACGCCAAGGTTGAAGTCCTAATTTTTATTTATCCGGTTCGGTCTACATTTTCCTACGACAAAGTCATGGTTGCACGGATGCTCTATTTTGGATTTGGACAGTCTTAAAACCAGTGAAAATTCAACTTGGTTTTGCATCTTCGTGTGAACAGAGCGAAAATATTGAATAGTTCCGTGTGAACGAAGTGTTCGGTCAAATTTTTCAGCCAGTCGAAAATTCGCCCGGTGCCGTGCGAGCGTAGCCTGACCTTTTCATCTTTTTGCCCTCATTACAGTGCTATTACAATAGCCCTTATGCATGTTTACGTCACACAAGCAAATTTCACCACCAAGCCTCGTTTTGAAATTAAAAATAAGCGAAGTTTCACAGAAATGAATTCCCAAGGCAGTAGAGTTGAAAAGAATACCCACGCACAAAAAGTGCAAATGCAAAAAATTTTGTTCACAAACGAGGCTTGTTGGTGGAATTTACTCGTCTGACGTAATCATGCATAGGGGCTATTAAGGTAATTCCCTTGTAACGGTTACCTACACTGTCTAGACAGCCATATTATAGGACTTTGAAAACTGCATACAAATGGCTTAGAGTTTATGATGTTTGAGTCAATTGCTTATTTATAAGTATTTAAACGGAGGCTTCGCTTTTAGCCCTGGCCAAATCTATATATTAGGACATTGAAAACTGCAATAAAAATATGGGGTCATCCTGCTTGTTTTCACCCTTCGTGCTCGTAATTGTAAGTGGTTTTCCTAATTAAGCGCGAAATGTTCGAAAATTCTTATCATGTAGCAAAACCTTTAATCTTACCAAAATCTAAAGCTTGTTTGTTATTCTGAGCTATATTTTTTAGTAAAGTGGCTTCAAGTTACTCGGTATTGTAAAAAGTGTAGAAAAATAGACAGTTTTAACATTATCTTATACTTCTTTGTGGCTCTAAATTTGGAGATTCATGTCATTCTTATCTAAATAATACGGCTTCCACAATCCAGATTTTTTCTCCTTAAGATATGTTTTTCGTGTAGACGTTACGAGTAAAAAAACACCAATAAAAATGGGGTCACCCTTTTCGTATTATCGCAAAAAGGCAACAAAGGGACGATTTCGGCTTCAAATAATCATTCTGCGCGGAGAGGCTGGGGCGAGTTGGGAAGAGTTATCATAATCCTTTTTGAAACCATTTGGACCGCAAAAGGGACCTTTGTTGCCTCTCTTTGGGCGACCGGTAGAAATCACCCCCTCCTTTGATGTCTTTGTGTTGTGCACTATGGGTGACAGTGCAAAAGATAAATTCATCAAAGTGTAAACAAGGGGTTGAATTTTATTGTCCTTGTTATCAAATGCCCTTGGATCCCGAGCTTAGTGCTTTACAAGTTGAGTTAAAGATGTTTGCTCTACCTGTTTAGTACACAATTAATAGCCAGGATATCGTTGACATAGAATTGTCGTTTATTGAATTATTGAATTATCGTTATTGTTTATTTCAAGGTTGACGTACAAGTATCACCGTTTGGTTCACAATAGCGGTGATAAACCAGGCGAACTACCTCGGGTAGAGAGGTGTGTGGTGGAGGACGGTGAAGAAGATGATGAAGAGGTAAACATGGTCGATTTTTTATCAGTTGTGAATTGCGTTCAATAATAGAGATTTAGAGTGACGTTAACGGCAAACAGATAACTTCAGATTTAATTTGAGAATTTCTTAAAATAGAAAACGTGCAGCTGAAAACAATCTAAAACAGTTTTTATAGACAAAAATAACGCGAAGCTAGTAATTGTGGGGTAAAAGTGATGAACATTAAAGAACAAGTTATGGAAAAACTTGGTCACGTCGTACAAATTCACGTTTCCCGTTTGCCATAAACGCGACTCTAAATCTCTCATTTTTTCAAACAGAACTTATTTTGACTGCCTTGTGCCTCAACCCAGGGTATAACGGTGGTCACTTCAAATTCATTTCAAAATTACTAAAATCTTAACAAACAAACTGATGTACCGAAGAGATCACGAAAACAGAATAAAATAGCTTTCCAAGACTGCTTGGTTATCAATAGATCTTTTTTACCTTGTATGTTTTGTTTTCTCATGTCAAACTTCGTCTGTCAATTGTTATCCACGTGCATAAGTATACATAATGTATGAAAATGCAAAAGGAAACTTCCATGGAGAACGTCCCGTGGTCTGAATTGGGAAAACAAAATGTAAAAGCTGAAAAGGTTTATAATAGCAACGCACTACGGATGGAAGTTAACAGGAAACTGACAAACACCGACAAAATAAATCAGTTATCTTACAAATCGACGCATTACCGACGAGACCTGCGGGCCCCACTTGCTGCTATTATCTTTACTACATATATTTGTTTTCATTTGGATTGGAGATCTTTTTTCCAGTGACTGCCAGCTCACTTTTTGGTCCTTTTAAGTCGCAGGAAAGTTGTTGTCTCGATTTTTGCAAAAGTGTATCAAGGCGAACGAGTTGTCATTCGCTCATCCAGTATTAAAAAGAGCTGGACATAAAGCGATTGACGTGTCAGCTTTTATTCTTGTTAAGATACGGTTTTTCTCACCGGACGAAATCGCTATCAGTGACCGTAGTTAATGTATGAAAACCGTTTACAAACCGAGTTTCACAATAACTGAGACGCTATTGAGTGTAAAATGCACCCTTCCTTCAGACTACTTCAACGATGCATTTAACACAAACGGCGCTGAGTTTAGGTCAGCAACTTCCAGCAGCTTACAAACGACCTCGTGACGAACGTAAATACTAAAACACGCAATAGACCAAGTTAACAAAATCCTCCAACCTAACAGTACATTGGCGGATATTATAATGATAAAAACGCATTCAAAATAGCGTCGCATCCGCAGTAATAAGCTTAATATTTTCTTAACTGAAAGACGACCACTTGGATTTGAATGGTTTTTTTTGTCCCTATTGGTGAATTACGCACAGGTTACGGAAACGTCAGGCGCTATCACAGTCTCATGTGTCGACGCGTCGACATTTGAACAAGTAAACCAAATTCTATCCTTTTTTCCACGCTCAGGTTCATTTTAAAGCAGGAAAGGACCGCGGAAGGAAAATTCTGAAGAAAATCAAGGACATGGCTAGTGGTGGAAAAAAGAAGGTAATCAGCTTATCACATTTTTCAGGAAGTGCGTTTGGTTCCTTTTCTGCTTGTCTTTTTTACTCGAAACTATGCTTAATTCAGACGTACTTAAGTGTTTAAATTGGAAACAAACGAACGGGGGAGGGGTATTTCTAAGTTAAGTATTGGTATTAAAGGGTTTTAAGAAACCCGGGGTAAGAAAAGATACGTTTTCTGTCGTCCATTTTCCCGTTGGAGGTCCCTTGTGTTTAGTGTGTTTGTTTTCTCCTAGGAGAAAGTGACATTTGATGACGATGATGATGAATATTTTGAGTCGGTGCATCTTGAGCCCGGAAAGGAAGCGCTGTCAGACGATTTCTAAATCACAAACCCACTTTGAGCAGCTACACAGTTGATCTTCTTCAGACCTGTTCTACTGCAGTCGCTGACGAAATGCAAGCTGTTGCTCTCACAACACTATTAGATATACATAGTAACCTCTCGGTCAATGCATTATGCTGCTTAACTGACCTTTAATGTTCTCTGCAGTACCTTTAGTTTGGTCATTTAATTTCTCTGTTTTGAGGGTCTGGCTGCAAACTGTAAGAGGAAGGTGAGGAGACGTTTTTTTGCTGATTCAACCAATAGTTTCCTGCTGTTCTTGTTGTAATTCCGTTCCAGCCATTACTGTTTAGAGAAATTAACATTTCAGTCTGGGATCGTCAAAGTTTCCAACCGTCAATAGCACTGCTGGTTGACGACATTTTGTCTAGCTCTGACACCCAGTTTCAGCTCTAGAGTAACAAATCGTCAAAAGGTAATGTGCTAACCATCGAATATATTTTTAGCGAGAAAATAAACGTCCATTAACATATTCCGAGCTGAGAAAACATTTTAAAGTAGAGATAGCTCAATACCCTTAGCAGGGTGCAAAGAAAGTCAACAGCCCCATTCGGGCAATCAAGTCATTTCAACTAGCCGCAAAACCTTTTTTGATTAGCTTGATTACCATCCTTCTGTAATTTGAATTTCCCCAAAAAAATTCACTTGCCCGTCGGACATTGAGAACAGAAACTAGCCCGCTCAAAATCCACTCAGTGTCACGCTGCACCTTATAGCTCTAATACATTTCGTTCCAGTGTCATGTAATAGCCGTCCACTTAGACTTAGTGGACTGCAGATTTGGTAGGTCGTGACCAATTTATTGACCTTGTTACAGTTACGTGTATCCTTAGGATATGAGTGGTGGCGAGTCTGGGCTGATCGATAGAAACCTGAAATAACTATATATTTGAAAGGGTCGTTCCAAACAGCACCCTTCGTTAAGCCTCACTTTATCCAAAAACTGTAGATTAGAGACGTTAGGAAAAAATAAGGACCTTAAGATCCAACGACGCGACAGCAACGGGAACGTCACTTAAGAAGTAAATTTGGTTTCTTTCAACCTTTAAAGCAATTATTCCTACACACTTCTTTACGTTCTCCATAAAACGCGAAATGACGCATTTTGTGATGCACGTGTAAAGTTATTGTTTTGCTTATTAAACGTGTTATTTTTTTTACGTTCTCGTTCCCGTCGCGGTGTTGGATCTTTAGGTCCCTAATAGTAACTGCAAGGATGACTCCACTGGAAAAAAAGAAGAGTTCGCTCTTTATGTTAAATACTGTCGAACCACAATGAAGCAGCCACCCAAGGGGAGGGCACAATTCGCTTATAAATACTGCCAACGAAATCTTTTTCTCTTAATATTGCGTAGCGTTTAAAACGAGTAATAAACGGGGAAGACTAATGGGTATTTTAATTGCACCACTGCGTCTTTAAATTATTAGCGTTGTCCTTTAATTTCTGAAATAAAATGTACACCACTATTATTTGTATCATTCATGGAGGTAAAATCCTTCGTTTGTGTGAAAATAAAATATTAACTAGAGGAATACTGCCTGGCTTTCCTATAATACTTCGCTCTTCTGGTTTAGTTTATAACCAAATCGGAACGTTGTTGCCCAAGTGATGCGCTTGAATCTACACCTTTTACCCTTCATTACAAGGAAATGAATTTTAGTAGTATAGTCCTGGTGAAAGTGTGAACACTTTTGACCGGGACTTTTCTACTTAAAACCCGGAAGTCCAAATGTCTAGAGATTGGCAATTACTTTTTTGTCTATTTGTACCCTTATCGCGCGTTCTATCACGCGCTTGTTATCCCAATTGTTCCTATCTGAACACTTTTTCCGCTACGTTAGAAAACCCCGAATTTTGCAGAAGGGTTTCAATTGAAGATTTCCGAAAGATTGATCGCTGTTGTTGTGTAATGGTGTCTGAACAATCGATGGAAGAGTTCCTCAAGATGTTGGCTACATGGAATGGGCACGGAACCTCGGCCTCTTCAAAACGTACAAAGCATTTAAAACTGGCCACCGGTCGAGAGAAAGTCTAAAAGTATTTTGGAGAAACCAATACCTGAGAAAACTAATCTCAGCCTTTTGAAACCTCTTTTTGCCAAAGGAATGTTTTCCAGTTACAAAAACAGTATTAAGATAAGATTATGAAATGAACGTAAAGGGGAAATCAAAGAATTCGTGGAAGCGTACGATAAAATCACGAGAAACAAAATGAATTCATAGAGCGCATGACGAAGAATTAAACAGATATTGTGGTATACAAACGAAACTTAAGACAACAGCTGAAAATAAACTTTTTGAAAAGTGCATTGAATTCCAAAAATAATGGTCCAGAGGTTTGTTATTTAAGACTATTTAGGCATTGGAACTGTTTGCTGTTGTCTGTTGCAGCGAATTTCAACGATGGACATGGATTGAAACTTGAAAAAGCGGGGCCAAAGCATCATGAACTTTTTCAAGTTTTCATGCTATGCTATCGAAATCATCCAAAAAATAATACATGTAGTGAGTTTACGCAACAGGACGGCAGGAAGAAGAGGACGGCAAAATGTTTGTGTGTGACAAACGTGACAGGGCTATAAGTTACATGTTGTGTCGTGATCTTCACTCAGCATTAATGTTTTCTGGTTTTTACAAAAAGATCTGTCTAAAGGAAAGTGATGGTTGGCGAAAAGTTATTTCAAACAAATTTGTTGTCACGGATGTCACACAAGGTTTGCCGTCTTCTTTCCTCTCCCGTCCTGTTGGGTAAGTTCACTAATATCAAGCTAAGTGCTCCTTGCTTAATAGACCTTTTTACCGGTACGGCGGCCATATTGAATTAATTCGATTTAAGGAGTATTATAAGATGCCCAGGGGGCATAAGCGCATTTCGTTTGTATTTTCGAGCGCTTTTCGGGACATTTTTTCTTAAAGTTTTCTTTGAATAAGATTGTAATGGGAAAAAAGATCCTTGCGCTGTGTTTGGATGTAATAATGTCGCCTTTTCTAGTTTAATATTAGAAATATGGTCTTTCACTGTATATTTCTCCGGAAAAAGGCGAGCATTACTACATCCAAACACAGCACAAGGATCTTTTTTCCCATTACAATCTTATTCTGCGAAAACGCCACTGCTCGAAAAGAGTAGGGTACGTAGACCCCAGTGGTGTGGCGAACCTCTCTTGACAGGTTGTGGGATTGGTTAGGGATGGCAACTTGCATGGAACCTATAAGTCCCGTTCGTGCCCATTCCCTTTGGGCCGTGACCTTTGTCCAGAAAAGCTAGTAGACCTAAAAACTAAAAACTAAGACTACTCAGAAATCCTAGACTGGCTATGATTTCTTCTCCTACATAACCCTTTTGAAAAAAGTACCGTTTTTAACTGACGAATACTGAGTTGTATTGCGTGTACGAGAAGAAGGAAGCGTAGGATTTCTTAGAACTCCTGGTTTGAAGTATTGAAGTAACATTCAATCAAAGAATTACGGTCAGAATTCCCTGATGTCACAAGAAAGTACGAAATCATTATGCTCGTTCCACGTGACGGACATAAAATGAAACAGAAATGAAATTTATTTCTGAAAGAAATAAATAGTTTTATGCTTAATGTGACTGATCAATGTGTCATTTACCCAGCTACCAGCGAGGGGGCGTTCCTGCCATCCTGAACATCATGTGTATGTTTATAAGACATGAAAGCGAGGCACAAAGCCTCTCTCCTCACTACAACAAGAAAGTTGGAAAACATTTTTCCATCCCTGCAGTTCCCTTCCCTTTTGCTCCACTTTCATCTCCCGGATGGCGGGTGTGCCCTCACCTTTGCTGGGATAATCTTCTTGAGTATCCCGATTTTCCTAGCTTGATATGCTTAAAGGAAATAAACGGCCACTATGTGGCCAAATTGATCCCAAACCGGAATTGTCATTATTTGGTATCCCAACTAATAGAGCTCACCCAAGGAGAAACTCCGCCAAAAGCAGTACCCGACTTAATAATTACTATCCAATGGGACATGAAGCATAAAACAGATAACAACCATTTTGATCATCAACGCCATTTTGTTCATTTTCTTTGAGCCAGCAATCGTGGTCAGCAGATATATGACATGCGCATTGTTCAAGACAGTCAAAAACTTGGTTTTCAAAAAAAAGCCTGAGTTGGAAAAAAAATCTGAGTTAAAAAAAAAAAACCCTGAGTTTTGAAAAAAATCTGAGTTTAAAAAAAAGCTGAGTTTTGAAAAAACGGGCTGAGTTTTAAAAAAAAAACCTTGAGTTTTGAAAAAAATCTGAGTTAAAAAAAAACCGTGAGTTTTGAAAAAACGGGCTGAGTTTTAAAAAATGTTTAAAATAAAAAAAATTGGGCTTTAACAAAGGAAAAAATTATAGGTATGAAAATAAAACCCCAAACCTGAACTAATACGTTTTACCATTCAAATTTCCCAAAATAAATAGCTGGGGTTTTATGTCCCTTATGGGCCACCGTACTACATTTCCGCTCGAGGAATAATTGTTTAGTAAAATCCAACTAGTTGGTCAAAAATATGGAGAATAAACAATTTTAGCTAGTTAAAAGCTAGACTTTAATCATTTTTTGCCGCCAAAAAGCCTGCGCTTTTCGCTACTGGGGAGCTGTAACATATAGCCTAAGTAGCCCCTAGTGGTAGCTCAACCAATCAGAACGCAGCATTGATAATACAGTCGACTCTAGGTATATTATAATTACCCTATTTAAAGTACTTACTTCTTCGGCCTCGCCGCTGACCGATAACAAAACCGACCAGAATATGGCGGACACAAATGCATTGCACTGTGGTGACTGTGGTGATATGTTATCTTTTTTTAACTATTTAGTTTGTACTACTGTAAAAGAAATTGAGGGAGTGAATCAAAGTAGAATTAGTTTATCTTCGTTAAAGTTGAACAAGAAACGTGCAAGTGGAGATTTAATTCTTCCTGGTTTTGTTCGTGCCTGTTGTGTATCAGATCAGCAAAGCAGCAGAGAAAATGTAAGAACTAGATAAATGGAAAACGGTTTATACTTTATTTATAGTAAAAGCTTTTTTCTTTTAGACTATTTTTTGGTAACTTTGAGGAGAGGTGGAGGAGCCCAGTTCCCCCCTCCTTTGGAGATGGTAAAGAAAAAATATTTTCTGTTGTCTATTAGAACCCATCAAACTCATTACTTACGTTACAAAGGTAACTTTAGCTTAAGATTAAATTTTTTCAAGCACATGCTGACCTCTTTGTAAACTTTGCAACACTTATGTAAGGATAGAAAGCTGGTTGTCCATTTGAGTTAATTTACAGCTGATGTCATGATGACTATGTTGATTGACAAGAAGAAAAGGGTTTCTCTTCGCTGGAAACTAAACTGTATTTTTATGGAAATTCTTCCAAAAGAAATTGTATTTTTTTGTCAACGAACATGGTAACCTTGTCACATGCATGCAAACCAAGAATATTAAAATAAAAAAGGCTGAAAAAGGCTCATAGGCTCATATTACAAGAAAAAAGTTGATGCATTTTTATAATATTGAAAAGGATAATAGTTTTATACATGTACACTGCATGCATTTCTACCCATTTTAGAATTTCAGAAAATCTTCATGATTTTCTGAGTAGTTATAGATATATTTATGTGTTTGGACAGTGATTTGTTATTTTTGATATCATTATTACTATGGACGATTATTTTTATTCCTATTGTTGTAATTTTGTAACCTGACAACAAAAAGTGCTGGTTTTCATTGTTGCATTTTAAAAGAACCCTTCAGATAGGTTAATATGTACCACATAAAATTCTCTAAGAAATTCAATGTAGAATAAATAATTTTTGTGTGGTATATATTACTGTTGTTTTTACTCTGCATGCATGATACTAATCAATTTGTACCTATTGAATGCTTTTAGGACCATTTTCAAAGACTTTGTCAGGAGATTACCAGTCACTTGTCCAGACTTCAGTTTTTTGAAACCTGTTGTGTGACTTCAAGTGTAGGCCATCTCTTGTTGAAGCTAAACAGATCTCTTGTCAGTGGGACAGTAATTTACAATGTGCTGAATAAAGTGGATTTTACTTTTACTGAGTCACCTGAAAAACAGAAACTGGCTTTGTTGCTGAATCCATCTTTATTGTGGAGTTTTAATAGTGAGGAACAAGAAAATTTAAGTCTTGATCAGTTAAGAACAGCCCTTGTTACTGAACACAGCAAAGAACTTTTACAAGTTACTGGGTAAGTGATGTCTTTGTCTGTTGTTAGCTTGTGTACTAAAATGCATATTCAGCTGTTCGCTATGGTCTGTGGGGATGGCCTGGGGGCACCTTCTTTTTTGGCTAAAATGTGTAGTTGCTGCCGAACAGGGTATGGTTTTTGCAGTCTTGAGTCTTAATGTCTTGAACAGGTTCCCTTCTAGACCAGAAGCCTTGAATTTGGTGTGAATGTTAGCAGTGCATGGTCTACATGCCTGGAGTACCAACATTTTTTAAATGTATTTCAATAATGTCAGTTATGAAAAAAAGTTTTTGTGTGGGCGAAATGAAAAAAAAAAAAGCAGAAATGTCAGTTTTCCCAAATGGGGTCACAAAATACACAGATTTTGGCTTGCATGTACATGGGGTAGTAAAATGCTCAAATTTTACCCTAAAGAGGGTCAAAGTTTGAAAGGAGTTTGGGGGTTCATCTCTAAAAAAACATTTTGTTTACTATCAGTACTAGTGGTCAGTGAAGGCTCAGTTCAGGGGATGGGAATGGGGTCAGTGTTTTGTTGAAACCCAGGGTTGTCTTGAACACAGTTTTCTTGATGTGAACAGGAAGCAATACACTACCAAAAACTATGTGTAAAATTCATTTGCAACTCATATCTTATCCCATATAGTCATCTCTCATCATGCTTACCCCACCCCCAGATAATATGGGCAGCAACTAAACCCCTGGCAAAACCAAATTATAGAACTTGACTGAAGTAAACTTACACTACCAAGGACAATGGTTATTGAGGACATTAACTGACCTTCCTGACAGTGTTTGCAATAAAACAAATTGACACTGATCATTTCTTTAAGTTGCATTAACAAATATTACATGTAAGTCATACTTCTAGGAGATTTTTGGAAAGATCCTCGTGAGGGAAATTTGCATCACTGGACCCCCAACCCCCTAGAACATCACACTGACCATCTGCAAATGTGGGGATGAAAATTTTCTAGATCTCGATGATTCGTGGTATGTCTACTGAATTTCTTTTCATGTGTATATGTATTTCTAATATTGCAGAATGCCTGTCAAATTAATACCATTTGAGTGCCAAGCCAATATACACCCTGATCTTCAAGCCAGCAAGCTGCAATTATGTCACATTTTTGTTCCATCATGCATGTCAAGGAAAGCTGACGCAATGGTGCCAGATATTGAAATTGTTAGGAAAGTTGAAGAACTTGTTAATATCTTACAAAGTCTGAAGTTTAGCAAACAAGTTGAATCAATCAAATCAAGTACTGAACCAGCTTCACATTCTTGCAACAATGAAGTCGCAGTAGGGAAGTATAATTGTGACTCTATGAGATATGAATGCTCCACCAGAAACTTTGTTTGTGACATCAAAGATTTTCATAGTGATATGCAAAAGCATTCAGGTGAGTATTTCACATATCAAGTGCACCTTTTGGGCCTTCACACCTAAGACTCCTGCAAATGAAGGGGCTACTTTGTGCAGTCTGCTGGAGTCAAACCTACAATCTTGGACAAAACTGTTGAGAAAATTGCATATTTGGGGGGCATTTTTTCTAAACTTCGTAGCCGACCGATTCTTCCCTCCCCCCCTATCCCTGGAAGCAGTGTTGTTGGGCCTTCAAAAGAAAGCCGGATCCCTAAGCATTTGCATGAAGCAACTTTGAATTGGGGGAGGGGGTATTCTTTACGCAAAGCTGTTGATTTGGAAATAGTTTTGTTGCGTTAGGTAGTGTGCATTAATGAAAACATTTTCTCAAGTAGTTTTGTCCAGGATTGTATTTGACCAGAAAAGTCGATTTTGAGCATTTACCGTGGGCACATAAATCTGTTCTTTATATAATTCATACATTTCACAGAAAAGTAGATAATTAATGGGAAATAAGTGACAACAGAGGAGTTGATGACAAGAAAATCAACTTGTCTGTCTTTCTTGATTCAAGTAGCCAGTCGTGAATGTTTGCGAATTTCATTTTCCATGCAGGGTTTTTACGCGTGCTTTGAGTGTAGAGGAGCAGGCATACATTACGTTTTTGGCGGATGAGAAGGACGTCTCCGTCAAGGAGATTACCCACAAAACGGGAATTTCACCTGCTACGATTCGACCAACAAATAACACATGAAAGTTTTGCTGAATTTTCAGAGCGCGTGACCCATACTTTGAACAATTTTCCCATTGCCGAAATAGATAAAACAATCAAAGTCAATGAACAAGCGCTTGCCATTAATAACAGCATCAAATGGAGAGAGGATTAAATATTAACAAAACTTGTATTTTTACTCTCCCAATTTGAAAGCTTACTTTTTGACATTGTAGCGATGTCCAGTGCAAAAAATCACACTATGAAATCTAGAAATGTCATGCGCAGTAACGTGACAAGATGTACTATCGTGTGACCTGTAAGAGTGCATGTTTTGCCCTAGGGCTATTTATAGCTACATATGACTGGAAGAAATTATGAGATAAATTCATCATTTGTAAAGCAAGAGATAGTAAAATTGCCACAGTTGTCTTCTAATCTCTTTCTCTCCACAATATCCAAGATTCGGAACGATTAACAGGACATTTTTAAGGTGCTACAAAAATTAGCAACGGTTAACAACGGTTAACAAGGACATTTCATAAGAATTCAGAAGGTCATTTAATTTTAAAAACGAAATGGTGTTAACCGTTTCAATGCTTTGTTAATCATAATATTATTCTATCCATGGAATTATCATAAAAAGTTAACTGACTTGTAGCAAACGAGATTTCTGTAACCCTCATAGTTTAGCCAATTTTAAGATCTGAGAAGCAGTTTCCACGTGACGGGATACGTTTCCATATTGGCTTCACTATACGTCACTAAATAAATCACTAAATAAACACTACGAACTTCTTTTCTTCTAAGAAAACCATCATCCAAGTCTTGTTCTGACTCTTCTGAAAACTATAAATCACTTTCCACACTTTCCAAGCCTGCCAGGTTTGAACAACACGAAAACATGTCACGATGATCACTCGTTATACGGCTACTACAAAATCTTACTGTTTTAAGAGGGTGCAGCAAAAAAGGTATATGAGGTTGTACTTTTCTATGAGAAGATGGTGTGCCGTGAAACTTTGTGCTCAAAACAGCTTCTGTAAAGTGCTTTTTATTGGTAGGTTTCCGTTTTGTCCATGTTAATATTCTTGCTAAAAAACACGAATCACTTTATATACAATCTTGGACAAAACTGTTAAGAAAATTGCATATTTGGGGGGCATTTTTTCTGAACTTCGTAGCCGACCGATTCTTCCCTCCCCCCCTCCCCCTGGAAGCAGTGTTGTTGGGCCTTCAAAAGAAAGCCGGATCCCTAAGCATTTGCATGAAGCAACTTTGAATTGGGGGAGGGGGTATTCTTTACGCAAAGCTGTTGATTTGGAAATAGTTTTGTTGCGTTAGGTAGTGTGCATTAATGAAAACATTTTCTCAAGTAGTTTTGTCCAGGATTGTAGCTCTACAGACACCTGCTTATTATGGACGTTTTCTATGTCCATGGGGAAAACAATTCCCCGGGGATATCTAAGCAAACTAACAACCAATAAAATAGGACACACCATTTGTTTGGCATGAAGAGAGATTTATCTCTAAATTCAAGCCGCCTAATATAGACACCCCTCAATGTACACAACAGACACTTCTTTTTTGCACAGTCAATAGATTCTTATAGAAAGTTAACCTTGCTAATGTGGACAACAGCGGTGTGCTATAATTACCTTTTCCTTTTTTAAGTAAGGTTCCCGGAATGATGGCTTTGTGAAAGTTAGGGATGTTTAATTTGATGATGAGCACTAGCACTATTTTGTTCAAATACGGGACAATGTATTCTTGACTTACATAGAATGACCAGCTTAATACAGATGTTACAGGTCAAAATTGTTTTCATGTTAAATTTGATTTAACCTAGGTTGATTCTCAATTCCTTTGTCTCCTAACCCTAATTAAGAGACAAAGGAATGGAGAATCAACCAAGGTTAAAACAATTTAACCTGAAATTCAATTTGACCTGTAACACACACACCCCTTTAATATGGACACTTTCTATGGCCCCTGCCGTCAGTATTCATGTTAACAGGGTTTGACTGCAGTACTGTTATCATTGTCATCATTATAATATTATTAGTATCATTAGCAAAAGCGTTAGTTAATACATCATCAACAACATTTTACGACTGTCTAAATTTCAGTCTTTGTGATGGGTCTGCAAGAAATCTCCTATTCCCCCCACCCCCTTTACTTGCACAAGTGACACACTGTTCTGTGTTTAGAGAATCTAGCCTTTCCATGATGTATGATGTAGCGTGCTACAGCTGTTTCACAGCTTATGTATGCCAATGAATAGCTTGTTTATGCTACTTCAGCTATGTCTGTGTAGTAATAGAATGAGAGCCATAAATTCAACATGGTTTTTAAGTCGGTCAGCATTAGATCCCATTGGCCGTAGCCCCTTTCTCCCTTCATGAATTATACAAGGTATCGAAACATAGGTAGAACTGTTTTCTGCTTTTATATCACTCTTAGGTGATATGTCAAGGAGTAAATGTTCATGAAAGTGCAAGTCTCTTCAATTTGAAAGAAAAAAGAAATCGTTATGAATAGCTGTAGGATGCGAACCCGCAACACAGAAGATCCAGTATACCATGCTAACCACTAAACCACTGAGGATTTGATGGATGGAAGGGAAATAATTTAAACACATAATTATAGCATCAACCCCAACCCAAAAAAGAACTTAACCAAGTTTCCAAAACAGTGCTTAACCCTAATCAGTAAAGGCAATGCTTAACCACTACCACCACTTTAAGGAAAACTACACTGTGTAAATTTCATGAGGTGTCTGAAGGGGCCATGGTTGAGGGGATCTAATGTTAACCTTTTAAGTCACTCATAAACAATTATGTGTTTTTGTCTTGTATTAAGTGACATCACCCTTGGTGCGATAGGCAACCTTTGCCAAGTATGAATATAGAAATAGAAATCTTTTTTCTCTTGTAAGGCCGGTTTCAAACGTCGTGCTACTGCCATGTGAACTCAACTGATCGAATTAAATTCAACTTTATCACGGGAGTAGCTCGACTTGGTTTCAAACGTCGTGCTACCGCTGTGCCGAACTCAATTCATGAACTATAAATACATTAGAATATATTTAGAAGTTTGCTAAACCGTTTCTTTATTTTTTTGTTTTGTTTTTGGCAACAGCCATTCCATTTGACTGTCATTGTGTGAATTAAATTCGACGTCTGAAACCAAGTCATGCTAATGTCGTGCTGCAGTCAAGCTACAGTTGAGCCAGCTTAGCACGGCAGTAGCACGACGTTTGAAACAGGCTTAAGCTAAAATGAGCTGTAATTTTTACTCATTTCTTATACACAGTTTCTCTGTCATGTTCATTGCTAAAGGAGGTAGCAAAGCTGGAACTTGTTGGAAAAAGTGTAGGTTAAATGATGAGTGGTAATATTTATTAAGAAGGATGAACTTGCTAATTTACTTCTACAATCAATAATGCTCAAAATTAATGAAAATAAATTATTTAACATGTTTAAAGCTACTACTAACCAGGAGAATGTAACAAACAGCTCAAAGCATTACTTTTAAGCAGATTTTGTCTTAAGTATAACATCATAAATGGTTTTAAAGGGAAGAATGAAGCTTTGATTTAAAATAAGTATGCTAAGGTTGCTTTGGGCATTGGAAATTGGGCACTAGGAAGCTATTGTTTCAAATCATTGCATTCTTCAGTATGCCCAAATGCCCAATTGCCAATTGCAAATGCCTAAAACAGCCTTTATTGAATCAGCTATATCTTCATTGAACTTTCAGTTGTTGTTGCGATGATATCATTTTGTAGAGAGCCTAATAGTTGATATTGTTCTTGCTGTGGCCTTAATGTCGTATAGAAAGTTATTGCAACTTGTTTGTTGTCACACCCCCATCCTCCATAACTTTCATGCTTATTGCGGTTCTTTCTCATTATGACAGGCTGTTAGTGCAGACATACTGCTTCACATTACAAGCTGTCGAAGAGCATTTACCCAACAGCAGGTCAGCGCTGTGTGGCAGAGGGTCTCTGAATCTCCTCTGGTAAACAAACAGGTACCATACAGACTGTACATGTAGCTACATTGTATAGACAGTGAGCAACATTTGTTTTGTATCTTACAAAAGGCTTGTCCCACACTAAGCTACAAAGAGATTTTAAGCCTTTGTTCACAATGAAGACAATTTTTTTTTGATAGAGATATGATGGTGGATTTTAAGCTTGGTGAATACATTAGAATTTTTTTCAATCTGTCACACAGGTCGCTCAGTGGCACTGTTGAACTGCCTCTAACAGCCATCTCTCTAAAACAGCCACTGTTTTTGTTGCAATGGACAAATAATCCATACATTGACCTTTGTTTAAATTAAAACCTCTCTAGAACCTAGAGCACCTATTTCGAGGATCAATTTGTGGTATTTATTTAATATTTATTTATTTATCTATTACTGCTTTCCATGTTATCCAATAGATGAAAAAGGAAAATTAGAAGTTACCTTTTCCTTTGCATACAATGACTATCTTTTGCTGAACAGCCAACATTAAAACTAGTGTAACAGTCAAGTTCTTCTGAGGTTTAACCTTACTTTTGCATCTATTAATGGCCTTTAGTTCTGGATTTATGCAATAAGTAAAGACTTTGTTCCTTTTTTATTTGATGTTGCTCCATTGTTGTAGAGTTCACTTAATCCATAGTTTACATTACAGAAGTGCTCAGTATTTAAATTTTTAAATTTAAATTTTTACTCAATTTGCAGTTCCTTGTCAGTCATGGACTTGTTACAGTAAACAGCAATGGAGAAAAACTTCAAGTTCCTTTTGGTGCAATGGATCTTCTCAAGTGAGAGAATTCTTCACTTAAAGTGGCTTTCTCTACTTATATAGTATTGATTACACCTTTCCACAGAAGTGAAATCTATAATGTCTGATGTGGGTCGAAAACCCCTGATGATCATTAGCAATTATTTTCTTCTTATCTAAAGCATTTGTTGCAGAACCTTCTGATGTTCTATAGTGATCAAAATGTGCAATCACTTTGTAAGGTGTCCTGAGGCCCACGTTGCATAAAATATTTTAAGATTATGTTTCATTTGTTTTATTGTTCCAAAACTATGGATTGTTGTTCAGAACAATAAAGCTCTCTTCTCTCAAGAATTTTCTTTAAGCAGGTGGGTCCTGTACCAGGTTTTTTAGTGGCTGCTGGGAACTCTTAGCCAGCTTTCAAAACAATACTTTGCAACCCAACTGAAATGCTCTAGACTATAAAAGTTAGAACTGAAGTCATCCAGTGCTATGAGCTGGTTATACCTTGTAAGCCTTGTTGAAAGTGAATTACTTTGTTTTTGTAGAGTGCGTGAAAAGCAGCTCATGGAGTCCTATGTTTTGAAATATGGCAACAAAGTTGAAGGTACATGTGAGTTCCAGAAACATAGAACAGGTTGAATTGCATGACATGAATCTTGGGAGGCAGTAGTAGAGTGTGTCACACACTATCTTGTTTTTTAGTGGTAAGCCCATCATACAGAGGCTGACATCACAACATCACAGAATGTACAGTAACTCTATTTCCTTTTCCATGAAATTAAAGAACTAATCGTGTCTGTCTTCTGAGCCAAGGGGAACCACTCAACTTGGGTGTAGACCCACCCCCTAAGGACTGTTTTGGACAACATCAGGGTTTAAAAACTTGAAGTTTTTTTTAATGTTAGTCATTACACTTTGTGATCACTGTGCATTTCTCACGGTTATAGGGTAAACGTAACATATTATTATTGACAAGTTTGGTTTTCGTTTGTACGTAGTACTTATCAGATTTCAACTGGGCTGCAATCTAGTAATGTCACTAAAAGCTGTTTGTGATTTTTAGTTAGCAGTCATATCAAAACATGCCCTGGATTGTTATGTTACTTATTGCAGAGACAGATTTCTCTCCACACCTTAACTGTGATCACTACAATTGGCTGCAATTGTGTATATTGTATAGCCTTGTATGAAAATGTTGTATCCACTTAGAGTTCAGTAAATTAAAAACATTGTGGGAACCTTGATCTCTTTTCCTATAAACTGAAGTATACATCTAAGTAGAAAAATGTGTGGGACCATCTTAGCACAGCAGCAAATTTAATGCTGTATTTTTAAAAGAAATAAGCCTTCAATGTTCCGTGTTTTGTATTTTAGGACATGCTTGGGAATCTTCAATTCATCAGATGGCAGTTGCGGCTGTTAAGCTTGAGATTCTATCAATAGCTCCAAATAGTGAAGTAAGTTGCATAACCTCTTAACACTGTTCTGCTTTAAACTTGAGTTATTGAGTGTTATTGATATAACTGTCAAATTGCCAAGTTGGTATAAGTTTAGACCCTATATCCTGCATGTGCAGTGTATGTTCTCCATACTGATCTCCTTGCATTTCCTAAAAGAACTAGTGAAAAACTGAAGAGAATTTGATAAAGGATGTAATATTTTGATGTAAACAATGTCCAGTTGCTCAGTACTGGAGGCTGAGATTCATTCATTTTGTTGCACCCTTACATTAATTTTATCCATAGATCTCACCATAACACTCTCCCTTAATAAGTTTAGTACAAGAAGGTATTGCTCTATAACATTTATAAGCCTCTTTATTTCATATTTACAGGTCAAAATTGATGTGTCTGAATCTTCAAGAGAATTTAGACAAGCCACTTTTGTTATGTATAACTGTGCCAGGCTGGCTAAACTGTTCGAAAACTTTGAGAAAAATGTCCTTAAAGGTGAGAACAAACAAAACAGTCATAGATGGAAAACACATGTCAAGCAATTAAGGGTTTCAATAATTTTGCTTATATGGTGTGTGAGCTAGGTTATCAGGGAGAGGGTTTATGCAATGTTCAACACATCAGGGGCTGCAGTGTTTTAACACTGGTTAACAATGCAATTTCAGCACATAGAACTCTCCTGACGGACACTCTCATAAGCGGACAGCTCTATTTACAGCAGCCTTCAGAAAACCCTTTTTTTCTCAGCTCCCATACGAATTCTGAATTTTTATATTCCTGTAAGTAGCCAGCTCCAGACATGGAAACCTTTTTCACTCTCCCAAGGGTGTCTGCTCACAACAGTTTCCAATGTAGTGATAAAACATGTGCTGTGAGTGTTTTGAACAGCTTCAAAAAGATCCCTGGAGTATTCCCATCAATGCACTTCTCTTTGTGTTGATTGAAAAATGTCACATAAAAGCGCCAAAATCACAGAGGTTGGTGAGATATAGTTATGCTGCAAATGCATTGTGCAACTGAAGTGTACACAGTCAGTGTATGCTTCTACCTGCTTTCGCAATGCAGCTATGTAAATGAATGAACTGTACATTAGTCCCAGTTTTTCCCCTGAACAGTCAAAGCCACACCCAGCTTTTCAGACTTTGAACTATAAATACCTGATGTAACAAAACCCTGAGTGTATATCAAAAACGTGGCATAATGAAAGACATTCTGCAACACCAGTTATAGCATATATAATGTTTGGTTTAGGAACCGGCAGTGATATAACTTACCCCCAATACAGCAACTGATTTTCCTGTCTCCATTGTATCTGGTTCTCAATTTTTAATATTATAGTTACAAACTTCACTGGGAAGATGTCATTTAGGGAGATTTATTGTTAAACCGAAAAATGTGTTACTGTTTACTAGGTATATACCCAGCTCTTCCACCCATCCAAGAAGTGGATTTCAGTCTTCTTCGTGATGAAGTAAGTTGCAGTAGCTTATTTCTTTACCTGTTGCAATGTGAGAGCACTATTCAAACGATGTATTTTTTGTATTTGCAAATATATTATCTTAACTTCCATATGAAGAAAAACAATGGCTATACAGTTAATGATACTTAGTCAAATTCATCTACCTTTTCCTGATAGAACAGGCACTTTCAACTCAGACACAACTTAACACATTCAATTGATGAAGACATAATAATCACTATTCCACCAATTTGCTTGTTTTGGCTGCCTGAATGGTAGTAACCCAGTTGTAGCCAACACCAAAAAGGCGGATTATTTTCCCTTTATGATTTTTCTTTACAATCTTTTACAGGATGAGTGGGAATTAATACTCAACTTTATTGTGACGTTTCCATCAGTTATCAAGAGCACGGTGCCTAAAATCACTTTGAAGTCGCATAATGTCATTATCCAAACCAATAAGGTAAATTTACATACCGAACTACACAACTTTCTACATAAATCGATTTTCTCATGACCTTGAAATGAAAACTCGCGAACGAAACAGAAACAACAAACGAACGGAAATAGAGCGATTTGATTGGTTTATCGAAGGGATACAAACGCGCGTGGCTTTGGTTGGTTAAGCGAACGCTCGGGTGAAAAAACTTCGTGCCCGAATCATTGGATACTTCGCTTTGATGCCATACTGCAACACGATTGGTCTATAGAACAATGGCTTCTCCATTTTAGGGTTTTCTTTGGTTTTGATCTTTTCATCCATTGGCTGATAAAAACAACTCATGAACACGTACCGAAACCATTTTTCAAGGTCATACGAAAATCGCTCTACAGTCTAACCTCTCCTTACGGACACCACTGTCTAATACGGACACCTCTCTATTACGGATAGTTCGTTTGGTCCCAGAAATGCCAAAAATCATACATTCCTTACCTCTATAATACGGACACCTCTGTAGAGCGGACACTTGGTTCTGTCCCTTTAGTGCTCGCATTAAAGAGGTTTGACTGTATCATGTTCCCTCAAGTACTGTAGTCTTTCAAATGAATAAGTGCAAATGAAATATAACTACTATGCAATTTTCCTGTACCCTAAAGGGCTTTTCAAGGATAATGAAATATACAATCTAAGTTGAATAGGCCGAAAATAATGTTAGAAATCCAAAATGGCAGGAGGAAACCAGTTGGTAACTTGGAGTGGTAATATAATATGAACCTCGCATTTAATGCCCTAGACCACTCAGCCATGCTGGGTGTAGGTTACTGGTGTGGTTGACCTGTGTTATGTTGCCATTTTATCCAAGCAAAGCATTGACAATTAGAATGAAACGTGAACAACAGCTCTGATGGCGATACTCACTGGTGAAGTCACGTTCATACGTGGCAACCAGAGTTTGTTTTTGTGTAACAATGGTGCATTTTATTCAAGGTTATTGCAAAGTTTAGTTTGACCGTTTGATTTATTTACAGATCTGTTCCTTTTTGTTCACTTTGAGCCATAAATTCAGTTCTTACTATGGACGGGTGCACATTCTTGGGGTAAGAACTAAAACCAATGGAAATAGTCTTTTTCACAGCAACCTTGCTCAGGTTTTTTGCAGCCCTCTCAAAGGTGACACCATGCAGCCTATTCAAAATGGTTACAATGTTCTTAATAATTTCGAAATGCGCACGGTATGATTTAGCCTGAATTTTATCCGATTGCTTCGAGTCGTTTTCTCCTCTCAGCAACGTCTACATCGACCGGCCGTTAATGCCAGGCAGTGATTTTGATTGGTTGATTGTCTAATCATTCGCATAATTATAAATGATTACGAGAAATTTTAGCGGGAATGTCTTTTGATATTCAGCGGATCGCATCCCCGGCATGCTTGTGTGGAGTTCAAACATTTCAATAATCTTTACCGTAAACAGCAAAATTGCCCTTGTCGTCGAAGCTGAATTGCTAAATTGGCTGCGAATGAAGAATCGTTGCGCAGAGTCGGCAGGTTTTTCATTTAGACCCGCTTTGTGGTTTTGGCAGTGATTTTGCTTATGCGAAGTTTCTGAGATTGAAGTTATAATTCGACCTTCTTGTCATTTCCACCGTCAAGTGTAATGATTCTGTTAGCTTTTCTTTGTTGTTTCTTTGTTTTCGTTTTTCTTCGTTAAAGAGCAGTTAGCTTCTTCTTGATTAAAGCAAATCGTCTGTTTTTGAACTAAGTGTTCCGTGTGTGTATTTATTTCATTGCGTAATTGCGATCAAGCTTGATTATTGAGTTACGACCGGTTCAGAGTTGACAGTTTGAACGTTAAACATGAATTACAATTGAAAAGAGTGAAGCATTTCTGTATCATGTGGACATTTCCAAACGATATTTCTTAGTTTGCTGCTTAAAAATCGCGTTTTACTTTTCGCATGAATTAAAGCACAGGAGTAGTGATATCACTGGACGACATTAACGGCCGGTCGATTCAGACGTTACTGAGGGAGTGAAAACGACTCGAAGTAATTGTCTTAAATTCAGGCTAGGTATGATTTAAAATCATCTCATTTTTGCTCAGAACGGTTATGAAATTTATGACTGGGTAAATTTCATTTCGTTTGTTCCCAGCTTTTCTTACACACATGTATGTGCTTTACTGTTAAATCATGCCTGCAGTCTTCTCATACGTTTAAATAAACTTCGTATTTCCAAAGCAAACAAGATTGCAAAGTTAGTTATGTTTAGCTGATGTTCTTTTGCTAAAAACATCACCACAATTATTGACAGCCTAGGAAAAAAGAGCAGGAGAAAGGTGACTGTTGGCTGTCTAACTTTTTCGATTACTTTGGGATGAGGCTCTTTGAAAGCATAGACACTGCGGAAACAAAACAAGTCGGCTGATTTCCGTTGAACGAGGCTCGTCATGAGCAATAGTCATCCTAGTCATCCTAGTCAATAGTCTCCTAACTAGTATATGTGGAATGCTACAATTGTAGGTCTGAGTGTTTCCCAGTCATTCAAGTCACCGTTCAACCAAATCAGCATAGTCACCCAAGTTACCCTAGTAAACTTTGTCTTCCTGGTCACCCTAGTCACCCATTCACCCCGGTAGCCCCAGTAGTAACTATTATCTTGGTTTAATATCTTTACCGATTTCTCTACAGGAATCGCGACATCATCTTTTCCCCACCATGTTTGCAAGACTTTATCTGATGAAAGCTCTTCAACAGGTAAGCTACGAATATTGGGCCGTCAAAGTGATGTCACAAACTTGTAGAGACTGCCTTTGTTTAATAAATTCTTCAGTACAAATCACTATGTCGAATCAACGAAAAATTGGAAAATTAAAAAATTTTAATGACAATAAAACATTTATGGAAGCTCACCAAATTGAGCTTATGACAGTGTTAATGAACCGGTACTCGTATATATGCTGTTATTTATCTTGTACTGTTTTTGGACCTGATAAGGGGGCAGCTTCGAAAACGTTTGGATTGCTTAACTTTCTGATTTGATCTTTTCCGTTTCGTTTAAGAAATCCTAACACAGTTATTTAATTCTGTTTTCAGATAATTTTGACCTGCCTAAAGCTTTTGAATATCAGCTCGCTGAACCAAATGTAATGAAAAGCAGCAGCTTAGTCTTGTGACAGAGAGCTAAGGACCATACATTCTATGATTTTGGGTCCCAGCGACGGAATAGATGATAACCAACGATGGTCTTTTATTGGAAAAGCAACAAAGTTAAACAAAACAGTTAACTTAATGCAGTTCCGCAGTATTTCTGTTTGGATAGAAAGTCATTCATCAGTACTGCTCTCTATAATAACATCAACAACAACAACAACAATAATAATAACAATAACAGTATGTCTATGTTGTGGTACAATCTTGTCCTCTGTTTTAAGTAACGAGAAAGTTAGACGAAGAGTTTGCAACAAAGGGAAATAAAATTTGATCCAACGATAGCATGGCATGAAAACAGCATTAACTGCCCGGGGTCATTGCTTGCTTTTCTTCGTTAACGATTTAGGTACAAGATGATACTTTCCTAGCAACAAAACTGGGCTTCTTGTCTCGGATGAATTGACGGGACTTTTTTCGAGCCTTGACGAAACTGAATAACACCATTATCTGTAAAGCAGATTTCAAAGTTTTTTTCTTTCTCTTGGTAGCATTACTTGAGTTGCCTCCGGCGATCCCTTCGGCGATCGCTTCTTTCGTGTTTCTTTCGTGCAGTATACGTCAAAGAAATTTATCAAAAAGTGTGGTTTTTCGACGTTTTCGTTTCCGTCGTCATCATTGTGCTCAAGCCCTCTACTAAGCAAGAGGAAACGCGTATTTAGCAATATTTGTTTTATCCAAGTTAATAGACCTCTTTAGCTTGTATGTGTTGTTTGCCTTATAGAGGTCGCAGGGGAACTTGGGCCTTTGTCTTTTCATAATTTATGCGTACACATGCACATGAATGAGACGAAATTTGAGAGAAAAAGTTCTCCAGAGTATTATCCCATAACCCGGAGCGCTTACCATTTGTAAGGAAATTTCGGTAAAAAATTTCTGACAAATGGTAGTGGACTTGAAAACGTTTTCGAAAAGAGAAATGGGTTAGAGTTGTACGTTTGCAAAACACCAAATGACGACTGGGCCAGGGTTAAAGCAAATCACCTTTTGCCTCAAGGGGAAACCTGGCACTGGTTAACCAGACAAATGGTACAAAAAATTTCGGCTGTTTCGGTAAAAACGGGAAAAAGGTAATACTTCGGAAAGTATTACTGTTTTTCCGGAAAATTTCCTTCGGAATGAACCGTTGCATTTGAATTCTCCCCGGAATTACCGGATTTTCCATACAAATGGTACGTAGGCGCCCCTGTTTTGAGAAAATAAAACTCTAAAGAGGTCTATTAGGGAGATTTAGCGAGGGGCAGTGTAAAATGAAGACTGCGGACTATTGTTTTTAGGGTTAGAAAACAATGGGACTATTGTTGTCACGTTTTCATTTGCATGGTGAAAACAATAGTCCGCAATCTGCGTTTTACACTGACCGGATTTAGCGACGACGGGCACGGCAGCAAAAACGTCACTATTAAAGTAAATTACCTTTTTTTCAAACTTTTACAGGGTTTATTCCAACTTGCATCAACGACAACCACGACGGCAGAGAGAACTTCCAAAAAAACAACAACAATAGCGCGTTAATAAGAAAAGCAACAATTTTGCACGTGGAGCACACCTCTTCGCGACTGCACGATCACAAAAAGAAATTTTCTTACGCTTTTTTTATGAAGGACGTAAAACACGACGACGAAATGGGAATTTTTCTCTCTCTTTCTGAACTCGAAGAGAACTTTTTACTTGTTACGCGTGGACATCGTAGTGCACATGGTATCTCTTAACAGTTACTGTTTGACGGACAAACACCAGACTGACGGAAACCCTTGTTCTGCACGTCTACATTAACACAAAGCAACCTTCTTTCAACTTTGGAGAGAAATGTAAAGCGTTCTCAAACGAAACCTTAGCAGAGTAGACGGCGTCATTAGGTTGTGGTTGCGGTCTTAACATAGCACAAAAAAGCGTGCAAAAATATAAAAAAATGGTGTTTTCGAAAGGGAGGTTACCAAAAAAAGAACCATTGTTCTTAATTAGATACAACAACTGCTCAAACAAACTATTGATCCTCGACTTAATTTAACTTGTGTTTTTCGAAACAATGACTGCACTTGATTGGTTTAATATGCAAGTAAACACAATTGCCCTCTCCAGAAAATATCATAACATACTATAATTTTCTTTGTTTGTCACCCCACAATTTTGCTTAAGCATTGTTTTCAGTTTCTCTTGGAGCCAATTTAACTCCCAAGTGAAACTGAAGACAATACTTTTGCAAAATTTTGGGGTGACAAACAAAGAGCATTATGGTGTGTTATGGTATTTTCTGGAGTGGGCAATACTGTACCGCTTTTTCATTACTATTATATATACAGTGGGGTTATTTTGTATCTATCAACGCTTGACGCTCCACGTTAAAATTCCTAGTCAACAATATTTCAAGCAACATTTTTCAAGTTACAACAATGTTCCCCAATGGAAGATTGTGGGTTTGGATTCTGGTTCTTTTTGAGCTTCTTTCTCAAGCAAATGGATCTAAAGAAGATTCTGCGACTTCAATTCTAGGTATCTCTATTTTTCCGCTTAAGGTGGCTCGACCCAGCATTTTTATAGGCACACCCTCCATCTTTGAATCTCTTATACTTAAAAAAATCTATCTGTATTGTAAAACGATTATGATATTATGATAATCTTTCCGGAATATGGTAATGCTGTAGAATGGGAGAAAAAAATAGGGAATAGATTTCAGAGGGCAACCAAGCGCGATAAATTCTCGCGTGCTGCTTGGGGATTTGATGTTGTGCTAAACTCGAGACAATAGGAAGTCCCAGAGCAAATACTTAGCCAGATATATGACATCACTTCAATATATTCTCACTTTTGCGCCCATGTTAGACAACTTAAGAAGTTTTCAATCGACACGAAATTCGGGGATGTAATAGTACAGTGATCAGTTAATGTAATAAAAAAGTTTTTAAAAAATCTATCGACGAATGTTGTTTTAATCGCTGTTTTCGTGAAAGTAGCCTTAGAAATTACAAAAAGAGCTCAGCATTGCGTTTCACCCTGATTCATACGTTTTCTTGTGTTTCGAAATCGCGCAAGACTACTTGCGTTCAGTGGCTTCTTCATTTGCAAAACGAATCAGTCATAAAACTTTTTTCGGAAACATCCAAAAAGTGGCAAATTTGTCTGCATTAAGTCCAGCATGCATAATTTAAACCCTTTTTTATAGAAATTCCAAGATATCTTGAAATCCCTCCTAAATATTTTTGTGAAACTTCGCACAGCAGAAGACATTTATCCAAAGAATACGTAGCGAAAAGGATTTTAAAAGAAAATGTCGAACAGGGCTGAAATTCGATTTAGAGCTAAAGCCATTGTGACTTCATTGCCGCGTGACATTTATTCTGATCGCCCAAAAAACTATACCATGATAAAGTTTAGTCTAAGTGTAATCCATGTATCATAATCATTTTACAATACAGATAGATTTGTATGAATAAGAAATTCAAAGATGGAGAGTGTGCCTACAAAAATACCGGGTCGAGCCACCTTAAGCTTTGCCACTCCTACTTATTTAGAGGTTTCTATATCGATTCTATAACCCGAAATACTTATTTCATAGAAGTCTTGTCAACTCAGATGAAATCTGTTAAGAACAGCATACATTCTCTGACTAAGTTCTACATAAAACGAGTTCAATCTTTCAGTCGAAAACGCACTGAAATGAATACGTAGGTGCCAGGTTTTTGCCTCTAGATTTGACAAAACCGTAAGGAAACTTAACCCTGGAAAACTATTTTAGCGTTTGTATAAGCTTTGTCGTTGGAGACCTGTGACAAGGTACAAAATTTCGTGCGCGCGCACACGTACAGAAGGTAGCGGGTATTTAAGTTTTATTCACAGGTTTCCAGCATGTCTTGTCAAATTTCATATGTTATAGTTGTTTCTTCTTTTTAAGGTGTGGCTAAAGATAAGTTGCTGTCAAAATTTAAGCTCAGGATAAAAAGAAAAAGGTTGATAAAAAGAAGTGATACTTCAGCGAGTCGTTGATAATTTTCGGTATGCAGTCAGTTTAACTTCTGCGAAATTTGCTTTTATTCTTAACTCCTTGGTACAACAGAAGTAGTGGGACAGAGTTCTCGAGAGCATTTTTCTATAAAAGATGGGTTCTATATTTTTTGTGCAGTCACTAACTTGACTAAGAAATAGAGGTAGCTAAGCACGCAGGACTCGGCCTTTGTGCCACCGTTTATTCGGCAGTGGCAATGCCAGGCTTTTCAACATACACAATTGCTATGATCTGTTAATCATCCATTTTATACTGTAAAACAAACAAACTGGATACGTTTTTATTTTACACAGATAGTAGACTGAACAGATAAGCGTCGCTCAAAATATTTCCAAAACTTGACTCGCAATAAGCACTATATAAGGACTGTGTTTCAATTAGCTTACTGCTGTTAAAAGCAGTCAAAGTCGTCAAACGGCTTGTTTTACTGCATTACGTTATATTTGACTGAAAGTCTTATACTATAGCTTGCGAGAACACAAGTGGGTACTGTGATTATTATAAAGACTGCTGTCAAAGTGGGAGTTACGAAGCCTTTCTGAGGAAAGAGTGTAAAAAGACTTGTGAATTCTGTGGAAAGGTCTCAACAGTAGACTGTAGTGACAGGCTCCAAAACTGTGAAAAGTACATGTTATACTGTGGCAACAAAGAGTATGAAGCATCAATGAAGTATTACTGTCCTGCTAAGTGCGGCTTCTGTCAAGGTAACGGTGTGCATTATATACCACTTATTAACCGAGAGTGAGGTCATTACAGGGATATCTTACACCGAGCGATAGCGAAGTCAGTAACATCAAGGCTGAGGTTTGAGATTTTCCTGTTATGACAGGGAGGTTAATAAGTTATTTATTTTATGGCCTTTTTAGCGCCTTTAAATTAAATACATTAAAAAACCACGGAAGTAATTTTTAACATCCGCGCGCAAGAGGTCATTTGAGGTCGTGTTCCCTTAACCAAAACGAACCCGGCGGTGCAACACAGTTTCTTCAATGGACAATGAGAATTTTGGACCTGAGACTTTTGCGAGTAATCAAAACAAATAACTTGTCAGCGGATAACTTTAAAAAAACACGTCACCGGACTAAATGTTACACTTGAGCCCGCGATACAGTCATGTGACACTGGTTAGCCGCTACCCTTTTTGACAACTGTCACTTAACCATAATATGGATGGTCCACTATCAAATTAAACACAGATTGTATACTAGTGACGCTAGTGACGCCCGGTCATTACAAGAAAATCTTGCCGGCTTAGCAGCCAATCAGAACACGCGTACTATTGTAGCCATATGACAATGCTTTGTAAACTAACCTTGGCCCTATTAATACAGTCGAAGCGCTCGTAAGCGACCACCTCGGAAATTCGAAAAAGTGGTCGTAAATAGAGCTGGTCGCTTTCGAGCGCTTCAGAAACTCAATTAATACATGGAAAAAAACAAACGAAATAAATCTTTACGTTCAATTCTTCAGACCGAAAAAACCCCAGATCTAAATTTTAGAACCATTAGCGCAGTGTGCAGTTTCATTAAAGTGTTGATTTACATGAATAAGACTCTGATTGGTCCGCTAAGAGAGCTAAAAAACAAAAAAAAAGTCAAGACGGGTAATCCAAAAGTGGTCGCGGTCGCTTACGGAACCAGCCGCTTAAGAGAGCTTCTTATTACAAAGTTTAAGTCACAGTTCAAACGGGGTTTCACAAAGGTGGTCGTATTAAAAACTAGAGTACGTCGCTTACGAGAGTGGTATAACAAGGACAGCTTCGCCTGTAGTGACCAATTATTAATGTCCTATGTAGTTGGCCAATGTTGGTTGTGCTCATACACAGCCACCCAACGACGTAGATTCATTGAACAATCAGAACAGGTTTCTGTTAGCCTGCAGAACAGGCGCTATTTTTGCGTGTTTGACTTGAATCGTGAGGCACCTGCAGGGAGAAAGGCGCGAAAAATATCTTATAACAAAACAATTTTTTTTTTGCCGCGCCTTCTTCCGTTACGCGTGACTAGCGATCCACGTTCGCTTCGTGCTCGCCTGTAAAATGCGAAAAAAACAGCGCTTGTTCTGCAGGCTAGGTTTATGTTTATATTTTTCCATCTATTACGGTAATGCATTAGTTTCAATATTTTTGCCCTTTTTTTGTTTCTGTAAACTTGTTTAATCTATGGAGAAGGAAATGACTACTACTACTAGCATGACTAGGCTAGGTTTCTGTCAGAGCTCGAATTTCCCAGTCAGGTATGACTGTTGTAGGTTTTGGATGTGCTTCATGCTCGGAGACACATGGGCAGTCACTCTGGTCGGGAGAGGATTTTAAGCAAGGAAGTGAGAAGTTTTATGGCGGAGTTTCTCCCTCTGACCAGACTGATTGCCCTGTCTGTCGGAGGATGGGTGTGTTCATAACGTTCAGTTTAAAAACAATGTTTAACAAAATTTTCCCCTTCGCTGTTTGTTTTAATTCCCATATATAGTAGCCTGTTCTAGGCTCGCAGATAGTGGGGAAGACGCGAAAGAAAAAGGCACGCGAAAGTTGGCGGGGCGAGAAAAAGCAAAAAGGATGGGCCGCCCCTTCTCTCCCCAGTTTCTTCCCGTTTTACTTTCGTCTTCGCGCTCTCTCAATTCAGCGGACCCGACTATCTCGGAACCTGGAACAGGCTACATATATAGCTGCTACGACAATTCCTCCAACTGACCAAACAATTAACCGTGGTAAGTTGGCTACTGTCAATATTTTTCCATATAGTAAATATGGCGATGACATTTCGCATGCAACTTCAAGTAAAATTCATTTTTCGGGGGTTGAATGTAATGGCCCGGAGAAGGTAGCTTATCGATTCACTTTGCAAAAACCCACCAATTAATTTGAAGTGATTGAATCACGCAAGTAGCTACGCAAGTGATGTACTTTTTGAAAATCCACGCTGAATGATTCTTTTGGACTCTATAACCCTTAGTTCAGTTTCTATCATCGTAAAGCTATTCGATATCCAATTCTTACTTATAGGTAATGTCGCGTGTGGAACCAGAGTACAAACTGCTAGAATCGTGGGAGGAACCATCGCCAAACCAGGAGCTTGGCCGTGGCAGGTGACTATGGATTACAAAAAACATAACGAGAAACCTCATTTGTGTGGAGGCTCAATTGTGAGTCCACAGTGGGTTGTTTCAGCGGCTCACTGTTTTGCATTTGGAGTTAATCCTCAGGAATACAAGATTGTAGCAGGTGAAGAAAAATCCCAGTAGTCAACGCTCCTTTAAAAAAAACCGACGCGAATTTAAATTAACAATGAGGAAGAGCGTACAAAGAAGAAGAGAGAGAAAAAACGCAATAAAGAAGGACTTATTAAATATAATTTTACAACGACTGCCTGAAAAAAAGAGAGAAAGCTCTCAAGCATCTTCAATGTTTCAGCGGGGCTTCTCTTTGCTTCTTTTGAATCAGCAAACCGCCATTGAAATTAATCAAAATGAGTAGAATATTAATAGCGACTGTTTAACATCCTTTCCTGATCGAGGTGGTTGAAAAATACTGGTCACTTTAATCCCGAAAAAAAGAAACAGTTTTGACCAAATCCTCCTTTTTGGACCGATGCGGGCGAATTTTGGTTGGCCTACTTTCCAGGAAAGGAAAAAGTTTAATCAGCAAAGAGTAGTAGGTGAATGGCACAATTTGTAGTGCATTTTCCCCAAATGTTGCTTGTATTTTTTTGTGTGTAACTCTACCAGGATTGGTCCAAATTTGCTAAATGAGGTACCTATGGACAGATGTACCCTTGTTGATTTTGCATACTAAACGGAAAGCTAAATAGGCCAGGAAAGAGGTCTATATGGACCCAATAGAGCCAATTAATACCAAGAAAATAAGCCTGATCAGTTGACACTTGGTTTGATATTTGCGATTGCACAGGTGAACATAAACTGAATGGAAAAGAAGGCTTCGAGCAGAACATCCCCATACAGAAAAACATTATTTAACCCAAATATGACGCTAATAAAAACCACGATTATGACTTGGCTCTTATCAAGCTCCAGTCTCCTCTAACCTACAATAATCGCGTGCGGCCTGTGTGCTGACCAAAGTTCGACTTTGCTGGTGGTACCAAATGTTATGTCACAGGGTGGGGTCACACTAAAGAGATCTAAAGAAGCAGGGGACATCCCCCAGGTAATAATTTAATAAGAAACTTTCTATTCTCCAGAGGCACCGAACTTCAGTATTTTGACTCTAAATTTTTGTTCCCAAAGCCCTGATTCAGTTCATATTAACTGAATGAACTATCAATACGAAAATTTCTGACCGAATAGACAGTCACAAAGGGTATGTCATTTATAAACTGATATATGTTAAAGATTACTACGCATGGATCAGTTTATTTGGTCGAGTTAATAACACAGTGTAAGGACAAAGGCTTAAAAATCGACGTGTCACTGTTTCTTTGTATGTTCAGATAACCTCATAAGATTATACCCCTGAAACAGCCTTTTAATTTCTTGGTTGCAAGTGAAATTTCTTTCTCTTTCATATATACACCTAATTGCAATAACGTTGTCATAGACAAATGCTAAAGGGAAAAAGGGACAATTGTAAGAGGCAAAATGGGAATTAATTAGACTTGCTTATAAACCACTCCGGCTAGGGTTCACCAATTTGTAACATACGCGTACAGCCGTTGCATTTGCATTTGTTTTTACGTTTCAAATCCCATGTGCTGCAAATTAATGCATTCTAGAGTGATTTATTAGTAAGCGTAATTCCTACTTGCGTTTTTCCTTTTTTTCGTTTTCTAAGACAACGTTAGTGCAATTAGGTATACATTAAAACCAAGGCCGGTCTTTTGTTTGATATGGCTCCATTCTAATTTGTGCAGTGAGTAACCAAATGCTATTTCTTTTTATAAAACGTCAGTTTCTACACCAAGCCAAAGTGCCATCACGTGCTACTTGTCAAGATGCCTACCATAATTTAGGTTACACCATTGACTGAGAAATGCGGGAACTTTTTCTACGCTTCCCTTGATGTAAGGAAATATTCCAGAGAGTTTCCTACCTCATCTGTTTCTTTCCATTATTGGTTATTGTTACCGACAAAGTCAATCTTTCTCGTTGTTTTTGAAAAGACCGACCGCCAACGGTCGTAGTCAGGGGCGTAGCCAGCTTTTCGACTGGTAGTAGGCCTGGCTGACTTTCATTTCCACATATCCTAAAAATTGCACGCATGACTAGTACGCACCGACCTAACCAACAATTTGAGCTCTTTTAAGAGCTAAAAAGCTTAAAAGCCTTTAAGCTCACCCCAATAACGCATAATTTATTACAAGCGGTAGAGTGATCAAACCAAGAATTTGTAGGCTTGGGCCTACAGGTCTATAGGCTGGCTACGTAGTTTTTCAAGCGCTCTCCGCCCTAGATCAATATATTTGAAATATATTCCTCTTATTTCTGAATTGGAATAACAAATCAAACAGAGCTAATTGGAATTCACTATAGAGGAGTACAAAAAAACTGGTTTTGGCAATTGAGAGGTGTAATTAAATTCTGTTCTCTTCTTTTCTTTTTTCTCTCTACACCCTCTTTACGCTCTCTCACCGTTTCGAGTGAATAAAATTAAGTTATTTTCCGTTTTTCACTCGTGCCCAGAAGCTAAGAGATGTTATTTTGTAGTTGCCATGTCGACGATGCAACAGCGACGCCACAAAACGTTTCTTATGTTTGTTTTGAGTACGAGTTCCAACAGGATTATCATTATTATTATTACTATTATTATTTAAATTATGTTTTAATGACCTACTGCTGATTCCCTACGAAATTGGGATGAGAATTGGACTAAGTTACACTGCGCTAATGACAGAGTGGTAAAGAAGAAGGCTTTTTCGTTCACCGATCTCACAGAATGGTCTGAAATAAATCTTTAGACTGAGTGATTTAAGATTGCTTTGACTTGCAACTGTTATTTTCATTGAGTTTAAATTTCTAGATTTTAATTCTGAAGAAATCTGTTATTGAGTGAATACTGATTAGACAACAATATACCACGCTAGGCTTGCATGCTAATGATCGGTAGTATTTATTGTTCGCCAGTCGAGACGTCAAAGTTCACTTTCCTATGCGATTTGATATATTTAGCTATATTTGGCTGCATTGACTGATGCTCTATAAGACAGAATTAATGGAAATGATTTTCTCATTCATTGACTACGGACGCTTTTTCACACAACGAAACATGTGATGATTTTCAACCTCGGACTCAGATCTCGCCTGTTCAAATAAACAGAAACTTACAGACATTTAAACACGTGGATTAATGTAGTGGCGGCTTCAAGAGTTGATTAGCTATGATCGCCAGAGAAGAAATTCGGTTATTTGCGTTAAGAATTATCTACTGAGATAATTGTTTAACGGATCATTTAGCTTGTCTATCTCTGTTGTATGTGGTCGTTATTATTACAGTGAGACTGCTCGAACCGGGGCACTTGGAAGACGATTATCCAATCACAACGGTTTTTGAAAACAAAAGATTCTCAACTTTTTTTGAGGGCTGTTTCCTGAGAGGTCAGGTAAGTTCAAACGGTTTTAAAGTTTTCAACGGTTGCATAGATGAACCTTGAATTTTATTGGTCCGTTTGCAAAAAACTTGAGAATCTTTTGTTTACAAAAAATGTTGTGATTGGATAATTTCCCAAGTGCCCTGTTTCGATTAGTCGCATCGTAAAACAGGATCTGATTATAATAACAAGTTGGTGAAATGAACAAAAGCCAATATCAGGCAACTAACTGAAATAATTCAAGTAGTCTTATGATTAATTAGTTGGCAGTAATCGGCTGTTCAGGTGACCAGTTTAAATTTCAGTGAGACGGAAAACACGGAACGCAGCTGATTGTAGAAAAAGTAAGTAACTGAACATTAAACCGACTGAACTGTTTTGGACTCAGATAAAAATGACATGCTCCTGTGGTAAATGAATTGAACCAAGCTCTCTTTTATTAGTTGCGTACAATAAGAAGAAATTGTTTTTCTTCCAAGAGTCAAATCTTCGTCAGTGGTTACTGCAATGCTTGGCGTAGAAAGCCATTTCTTGCTGAATTTCCAAGAATACTGTCTGAATTGTGAAAATCTCTTAAGTAAACTTCAGACTGAAGCCAGACTCAGTTTGGAATAGACGAGGAAAAATAACTTAATTTATAAATATCAGAGGTTATTTCTGGAACTTTATATTCTTACAATTAATCGAAGATTCAACCGATGCAGAAGTAGTTTTCTGATGTTTTCTGTAGTTTCCCTAGCAAAAAGAAAAATGGTTGAAATTAAACTCAGACGCACACATGAATCAGTAGTATTAATGCATCAGTCAATTCCACCTGCGCCCAGCTCCCCCCGGGCAACTGCGGGGCATTTGCCCGCCTTGTCAGTCCCGGGGGTGGGGCATTTGCAAATTTTACACTGCCCGGGGGCCGGGCATTTGCCAACCCCCGGGCCATTTCCGAGCTTTTGACACGCACGCGGTTTTCCATCAGAATATAACTACACAGAAGGTTTTACTGGAAAAAAAGCAGATTGGCTCATCTGTCAAGGACAGGAATAAATTGCAGAGGGTTGTAAAGGCATGTTCTCGATTTTACATGTATGTATGCATTTCTTCATTGCTTATCAAGCCTGAGAATTACGTAGCGAAATTGGAGCTATCGATGTGACTCAACGTTTTTTGGTTATTGAATCAAATTTCTGTTGATATTATTTGAAGAACATCCTTTCATATTTATAAAACTATTCATAACATATAACTTTACAGCTGTCTATTAATTTTGATGTCAATAATTTCATATCAATACTAAAACCGTAAACTGGTGCATGTCGTCGCAGCGTGAAGTCTTTAGAATCCTCGCGCTATTACAAAGGAAGACGTCAATTGAAACAAAAAATCGCATATTAAAATGCTTAAAATGGCACTATTTGACTGTGCGAGCAATGAAAAATGTTGCAGTGTTGACGTAGGACGGGGCATTTGCCCTCTTTTTTCGTCCCCACCCCGGGGGGGTTTGACAGCTCAAGAGTCCCTACCCCCGGGAATTTGCCATCCAAGGCAAAAAAGATGCTAATGCCCGGGGGTCAGCCCGGGGGGGCGCTGGGCGCAGGTGGAATTGACTGATGCATAAATCAAGGAAAAAAATTGTTTTTGACAATTGGCAACTCCATCTCAAGGAAAAAGAAATAGAGAAGTATTCACCTATAGACGTGAGTGTTTTTGTCTTCCTCCGAATTCTGTTTGCTAAGCAATTATGTTTTCTCGAAACATGATTCAAGGAGTTTCAGAGTTTGTTGTTAGAATGGACCTAAATAAGCTTAAATAAACGAGAATCTTGTTTTCAGATATTAAGGAAAAGCAAATATTTTCTAAAACCAGCAATCTCTATGGTGACAAGCATAGCCGTGAACTGAACTAGTTTCGCTGCAGACTGTGACGACCATCAACAGTACACTGGCAGGAAATAACAACATCAAACGGTTCAAGATATTTAACAAATCGATTAGTTCTTTTACTGCTACCTTAAGAGGACTTAAAATAGTATTATAATTGACTAATAAGAAGATATGAACAAACGCAATATCGCGTCATCCAAAAAAATGAAAGTAAAGCTGACACAATTAATTATCACTTAGCTGCTGTCAGATCGGCCTGAATTTCAGACGATTACTTCGAGTCGTTTTCACCTCTCAGAGAGTAAAAACGAGTCGACTGTAATCGTCTGAAATTCAGATTTCTGTCAAGTTGCATCATTCATAGTTTTGTTTGATAAAGCGCAACAAAAAGGAAACATTCAGAAATGCAAGAGTTTCACTTTTTTAAAATTATGATGCGTGTAAGCTAGTGTCACAAATTTAGGTATTTTTCTTGTGGATTATCTAGGTATAACCTTCTGTTTGCTGTCTATTGCTCCTAAGATGAGGACCATGAAGTTATGGTCAACTGTGTTTGTCCTGCTTATTCGACACCAGGCTTTACTCGTTCAAAGGTAAGAAACTAACTAACAAAAACTAATTCTGGAAAGTCTATATTTTTTGATAACTCGGCAACATGGGAAAGGACTATAGGGCAATGCTTTTAATCAAAGTTAGTGTGCTTCATTACTGTAAATAATTAGAGGCTATGCGGTCACTTTGAAGACTCTAGCATTTACACCTAAAAAGCTAACCAAGCGTTTTTGACACACCTCCTTTTTTCTGTCGTCTTTGTTAGATGGAATTTGCAAGAAGCCGGCAATTAACACTCTAAAACCTTACCACTGTCTCCTCCACACCCCTGGGCTGTGTTGAAATACACAACCTGAGTAAAATGTATAAAGTATTGGCTTCTGACGCCTAATATTGTCCAGGGGGAGGGCCGGGTAAAATGAATTGCAATTTAACGACAGTGTCACAAACGTTTTAACCAAAGGATGGTAGCCTGATTTGACGTTGAATTTACTCATAGTTAAAATTTTAATGTGAACAAAATTAATTAATTTCTTGCTTGCTTACCTGGCATATTTCAACGTTTCGTATCAGTACTCTGTGTTTTTTCATTTCTTAGCTACAAGGTTGTCTCTGTTACTCCTGTAGTGGAAGCTCACTTACAGATCTTGAGTCAACTGGAAGAGCAGAACGAAATCGAGGTACTGAACATATTTATAAGTTGTTCTGCATGTCTAATATGATAGATCACACGAAACGGTAATGACACTCACAGTGACGATGACAATAGGGATTTGTCTCAAATTTAATTTTGGACGACTGCGATGATCTTGACAACAAATTACTTCGTCGAAGCGATATTAGCAGTTTGGGCTTCGCTTAGCTACTCAGGCTGGTCAACATGACATAACAGGATTAAAAACAGCAACTGGCTGGAGACAAACACTTAACTTTACACAAGCCTAGACGAAAATTTGAATTTGGAACGACCACGATGGTCCAACAAAAGAAAAACAGCGGACACTTTTTGATTTCGAGACGCCACTACCCCGCGAAATGACGACTGATCGGAGGAACGAGCGCTGAAATTCTATACTGACAATATATTACTTCTAAAGCACTATATTACTTCTAAAGCACGTTGACTTAAATAATATACTTCACAAGTCTCAAATTGGTTTTCTAGCAAATAATAGAACAGCAGATCATGTCTTCACACTTCGAACATTAATAGACAAATATGCCCATTGTCACAAGGAGAAAATATATGCGTGTTTTGTTGACTTTAGGAAAGCCTTTGATTCGGTTTGGCATGATGGGCTTCTCTATAAGTTATCTAAGATCAATGTCCAAGGAAAGTTTTATAGTCTAATTAAGAGTCTATACTCGAAGTCTACCTGCTCTGTCAGGATTGGAAATAACAAAACGCGCTCTTTTCAATACGCAAGAGGAGTGCGGCAAGGCTGCATTTTAAGCCCTCTGCTCTTTAACTTATACCTTAACGATCTAGCGTTCTCATTTGACAATGTTTTATCAGACCCCTTCGTGTTACCAAATGGCACCAGACTCAACTCTCTCCTTTACGCAGATGACTTGATAATATTATCGCGATCCAAACTTGGTCTACAAAACTGCCTTAACGTACTATCTTCATATTGCAACTCATGGATGCTTAGAATAAATCCTAAGAAAACCAAAATAATGATTTTTCAACGATGCACACGAAAATGTGAACATAACTTCCGCATAGGCAATGAAGTAATCGAAGTTGTCCAAAACTATACTTACTTAGGAACTCGAATTACATCTTCCGGAAATTTTACACTTTCGCTTGAACATCTCCGACAAAAAGCTCTTCACGCGCTCTTCAGCCTCAGGCGACACACGGATTTGAATAATCTTAAGCCCTCACTTGCGTGTAAAATTTTTGACTCTATGATTTCACCAATTCTAACCTACAACAGCGAAGTTTGGGGTGCTTTTGTTAAATCAGATTTTAAGTCCTGGGACAGCTCTGCAATTGAAAAAACCCATTTGCAATTCTGTAAACGTTATTTACAAGTACATAACAAGGCATCCAACATTGCTTGTAGAGCTGAACTCGGTAAATTTCCCATGATCATTGATATAAATAAAAAGATTCTAAATTACTTAGACTATCTGAGAGGTAAGGATGAAGATTCTATAGTTAAACAGGCCTTACAAATTTCAATTGACCTTCATCATAACGGAAAAACTAGCTTTTACTCTAATCTCATGAAAATGGTTGACTACTATGATCTAAACTTTGACTTTTCTTGTAATTCATTGAGTGACTCAATAGTTAATAGGTATATCGGCATAATGAAAAATAAATACGTCTCTTACTGGAATCAGACACTTCAACAATCACAAAAACTCAGTTTTTATTGTACAATCAAAGACGACTATAGCCCCTCGCCGTACCTAGTTTTAACAAGAAAAAAAACCTTCGAGAAAAAAACATTAGTTAGATTTAGAATAAGTAGTCATCAACTTAGAATTGAAACAGGTAGATACGAAAACATTCCTCGCAATGAAAGGATATGTCACTTTTGTACAAGTAAGAAAATCGAAGATGAAAATCATTTCTTACTAGATTGCAAGGCTTATTCTCAGATCAGAGACATATTTTTCTCGAAACTAGAAACTAAAATACCTGACTTCAAATCACTTTCACACGATACTTTAATATCTCTTCTTATGAATTCTTCTGATTATTTAATTAACTGTCAATTAGTTTCATTTATCTCGCAATGCTTTGAATTAAGGACCAAATTAATATCAATGAATGAATGAATGAGAACTGTCACGTTTTGTAATGTTTTGCACGTACTAATTAGTTGAATTAGTACTTAAATTTAGACTAATAGCTTTTGCAATACTGTAATTCCTTTATGGTCATGCAAATAAAGCTTTTGTTGTTGTTGTTGTTACTTCCCAGATCGGCATAGCGCTTTTGATCGGTTGAAGCAAGTTTCCCTCGCGGCACGTCCAATCCGAGGCACCAAGAGCCATTATGCTGATTATGGCTCTTGGAGGCACTAATCAGATCTGTGTTTCAAGGATAGGGCATCATTAGGGAATTTCTGCGCTTGTTCCTCAAGCGTCATTCTGTTAGGAAACCAGTGGTGGTCTCACGTAATGTTGGGTATTTTCTTAGGCTACGACCAAGAAGGGAATCCAGCAAGCGGTAAGACCGAAACTAAAACGAGAAACCCCATGCGCAACGTTACGGTTCCGACGCGCTGACCGACCGGCCCTCGGTTACGCTGCCCCAGGGTGCTCTTGCCGTCTGAAATATAGCGCAATGACCTCCGCTTGTTGGACATATGACTGACCTAGGATAAGTGAAACGACCTTTATTGTATATTCGTTTTTTCAATGTTTGAAGATGTGGTACTTCTTAAACAGATTGATTTCTGGACGAGACCCGGTCAACTAAATCAAACTGTTGACATTGAAGTGTCTGATGAAGACTTCGAGAAACTCTCGTTGGTTTTGAAAGAACATGCAGGAATGGAACTCACAATTCAAATTGACAATTTACAGCAGCTGATCAATGAACAATTGGAACAAAATAAAGCAAGTGCAAGAAATGGTAACTGGCACGCCAGCTATCACCCGCTTAATGAGGTGGGGCTTAAGGAAGTTATATTTTAGATATGTCCCCATGTCACAAACTAAGCCAGTCGAAACCGGAACAATGTAGTAATTATTCAGGACCGTCAGTTTATTGGTGGATTTTCTTTTAGACCTTTTAAAAGCAGAACAGGTAAAAAAATCTTATTAACAGGCAAAAAAGGGTAGGGTATAAATCATGATAGACTTACCAGAAATGACACAAGAATGAGTGACTTTCCCCTAAATCGTCTTCCGTTGAAGTACCCTACTGGTACCTAAATTCGCGATATTGGTGAGACAGTATCTTGCCGGGTTTTGTTTTCGCGATCTCAACAGCCAAATATGAAAAAGAGCATTAAATTTCGCAATTTCGCGTTCTCAACTTCACTTAAGTCTGAACTTATTAAAATTTCTAGATAAACAGGAACAGCAATGTGTGAAATCTTCGCAAATTAACGTTATTTTACAACTAAAGATACAAAATAGAACGTAGGAGTAAAACCAGTGTCTGTCTGTGTTTTGAATTTTCTACATGGGTATTGCGTGCTTACATTTCGCGAGGATTTAAATTCGCGAGTCTTTAATTCCGCGAATTTTTTACAATCGCGACAAAGCCGAAATTAAGTACCAGTAAGGTGTAACAAGTTTGCAGTGCATCACTAGCTATTAGCTATTAGTAAAATCCAACTAGTGGTCTATTATCAATGCTACGTTCTGATTGGTTAAGCTACTACTCGGCTACATGTTATAGCCCACAAGTAGCGAAAAGCGCCGGCGTTGAAAACCAAAACAATGGCGGCTGAATCGCGTTTTGCTAGCTAAAGTTGTTTTGTCTCGATATTTTTAACCAACTAGTTGGATTTTACTCAAACAATTATTCCTCTCACCCTCATGGTCTCTGAGTCAATAGCTCATTAGGCTGAAGGCTTCATGGGCTATTGACTCAGAGCCCATTCGGGTGCGAGGAATAATAATATTGTTAATTATTGTTCTTCCCCTGGCTAGTAAGGAAGGTAAAGACCTGGATGTTGCCGATTATGAAGAATCCTCCTCTGCCATTTTGTCTCTTTTTTCCCCCTTTCTTGTTTGTTTTCTTTTACTATCAACATCAGCAGTCAGCTGCTGCCCATTAACAAGTCTTAAGTTTGATACAGATTGAAGGAGAGCTACTTCGTCTTCATATATAAATCCTCATTCATGATATTCCCAAATTGATGACTCACATATAGCTGAAAAAAGGAGCTACCAGCTGCTGTCTCGTCTGTTTTGTCGATCCAAGGCATAAGCTAGTTACTTAGTGAGGGACGTTATTTTATTATAGATTACCGACAAACTGGAAGAAATGAGAAGATCAAGTGGAGGATTGGCAGAAATCTTTGAACTTGGAAAAAAAGGAAAAGGAAGAAAAAGAGTGAAAAGGGGAAAGGGAAAGAAGAAGACATTGCGGGCTATTAAGGTACCAACTATTCACGTTCAATGTGCCTTATTCCAAATCCCACTTTTACGTTCGGACAGGAGCACTTTCTTAACAAAATGATTTTTAATGAAAATTTGGTTTATTTTTATTGATATCTTTTTTTCTCCTTTAGATCAGCATCGATGATGACAAGCCAGTGTTTTTTATTCAATGTGGTATTCATGCCAGAGAGTGGATCTCTCCAGCAACCTGCATGTATATCATTGACCAGGTAAGAACACATACAGAAACCACCACCACCACCACCACCATTACCATCATCAGTACATCATCATCTTCATGAAAACGTTACAGTCAAGAAGACTTTAGCAGGGACTGATCAAACAACGTGAAATAGAGTTTAGTTGCGATATTTCGACTGGCCAATACCAGTCTTCATCATGATCAGGTTTATTGAGATATCACGAATTTAATATGAAGTAAAATGATGACCGTACACGGTTTTTGCAGTGATTTTTACCTTAATTAAACATCATCATCATCATCAGCAGCAGCAGCAGCATCATTGTCATTTTCTTGTTCATTACGTGGGAAAACCTTCAGTTGTAACAATTCTTTTCAAAATTGAAATATTCAGTAATCTATCCTCTTTCGCTTTGTACGCGACAACGCATATTACTGCTTTTCAGATTAGTTTTACTACTGTCTTGTGTTTCAATTTCTTCGATACGCAGATGATCCAGAAGAGCGCTTCCGATGCATCAGCGATGTTGAACAAGATGAGCTTCGTTATATTGCCTGTTTTTAATCCGGACGGATACGAATACACTTGGACGGTCAGGATGATATCTATCATTATTTATTTATTAAAATCATTATTTTCTTCATCCTTATTTTGTAACTTCGAAGCTCACTTAAATGTAATCACGGAGAAAGGCATACGTGGTCACCTTCTCATCCTCGATGGTAGAACTTGTGGTCAGATTAAATGAGTTGGATTGAATTATTTCTTGTTAAATATCTATCGTGCTTACTCTATCTATACGATAGCAAAGTATCAACTAACCTGCTCAGCGACTCCCTGTCCGGCTGACCAATAGTCAAATTGACTTAATGTTTAAAAGAATTTAAGTGTTTTAAAAGTGAATCAGTTGCTTCTGAATTACTGAATAGGTACCGACCCGTTATGATTGGATGACTGATTGCGTGTAAACGAATGGCTAGTTTATAAATGGTAACTCCTGCTGAGGTCCTGGATAGATTACGTACAGAGACATTGTTATAGTTTCTCCGTTAATCTGCGCTATAATAAGTTTCCCACAGCAAATCCGCTTCTTAATACTGTTTTTATCTTTCACGGAACAGAACGATGGACGAATGTGGAGGAAGAATCGCAGAAAGAACAAGAAAAGCAGCCGTTGTGTTGGCGTCGATCTAAACCGAAACTGGAGCTATAAATGGGGAGGTTATATGGTTCATTTTTACATAGAATTTTGCTGGAAATAAATAGTTTAAAAATATTTAATTATTATATTTCCACATAAATCTGGAAATGTGGACCTCACAAGGAAAAGGACAGATCTCCTGTAGAAGAATCTATGTTGATATTGACTGCATTCTTGAACAGGCTTCACAATTAGGATTCGACTTAATTAAGGGTAAAAGCTCGACATGTAAGCTTTTGAATCTTAACCTCTGGAAATATCATTATCGACGTCAATTCAGTTTGTTTTTATCATTAGGTGAAGGAGCTAGCCCAAATGAATGTGATCAAACGTACAGGGGCAAAAAAGCATTCTCTGAAAAAGAAACCAAGAGTGTCAGTAAATATCTAGAAGGACTAAACAAGCAAGGAAGACTGAAGGGTTTTATTGACTTCCATGCGTTCAGTCAAATGTGGTTTATTCCCTGGGGATACACTTCTACAAAGACTAACGATCACGAAGAACAGGTCAGTGAGCAATATGAATAGACTGAACTCAGTGCAGGGCACTTTTTAACTGTATCCCATAAGGAAACTGAAACTACAGTTATCGCCAAAAACCTTTGGGACACAACGAAAAAATGCCTTCATCGAGAAATCTCGGTCTCACTAGTATCCTTGTCCTTTGTTGCAGAGCGGTCAGTTTCATGTTCGCTCAGATGTAGTTCTATTTTTGCTTTTTGGGGGCTTCTTTTTCGAAGGAGAGGGTAAAGACGTAGTTTAGCTGTTGTGGGGGGAGAGGGAATAGCCTGGTAACCTAATAAACTCGAACTATGTATTACTGAGGAACTTTAGTCATTCTGATGTCAACGAAGATATGAAAACTTCAGTTAGAAGAAACCGTTTTCTTTGTTTTGCTTTTTTTGCTACCTATTTTCTTTAACGCTTTAGAGAACAAACGATGCTGATGCACAGAACCATCATGCGCATGCGCAAAACTATATCTCTCGGCGCGGCTTGGCGCGGCAGGGAAGTTTTATAACAAGCTTCATATAGCTTATGGTCTTTATACCTTGAAGCCTTAAGTCCCTCTACAAAATCGATATTTCAAGGTTAATAACTTTAGTGAGGAGTTTGCTCTGCTTTTATTTTCCGTAAAATAATCTTGAGTAGTATCTGGGAGTAGTACCGGCAATATTTCAGAATTACCAATTAAACTGTAAATAAATCTTCAGTTTAAATCGTTAATTTTAGTGAACATTTACTAAGGCTTAGTGACCAAGCAACTAGTTGACTGAAATGTTTTAAATTAATTTTCTTTTGTCTCCAGATGAGGGTTGCTAAGATAGCCGTCGAAGCAATCAGAAGAAAGCATGGAAAAAGCTATAAATACGGATCTTCTGCAGTTTTACTTTGTAAGTACTTGTTTATTATATTAAGACCATTGTGACTCCAGTTGGTAAGCAACAATTCTCATGCTCGTTTCAGTTATGTGATCATCACTTTCCGCTCGATTAGCTCTTTAAACTATTAATGATAGGTCATGATAGAAAGTAGATTCCTTTCGCAAACTTTTTCATTTGTCTAACTTACTGATACGATTCCCTGGGGGGTACTCCCATACATTACCTATACGGGTATGTGCCGCCCAAAGGGGTCGTGATTTTGAAGCTCCTGATTTAGAACGGGGTATCCATTTCAGAGGCGTTTTCTAAGAACGGGGTATAATATTTCGAACGCACGAAAGCTCCAGTTTTGTAAGCAGCCATTTGAAAGTATTCAAGGACAGATTGCTTTTAAGAATACGGTTCAATTCGTTAACGAGCAAACTGTTGTACTCTTGTCACCCTAGAACGGAGTATAAATAATTGGCCCATTTCTAGAACAGGGTATCAGTTTTAGGGCGAATTTTAGGACGGGGTAAAAAAAATTGGCCCATTTCTAGAACGGGGTGTCAATTTTAGGGGAAATTTTTTCTAGAACGGGGTGCCAATTTGGAGTCCCGGGCGGAACATACACACCCTAAAAGTATCCAAGTGCCCCCTCCCGGGTACGATTCTAGGAATGTTAGGAAAATTCCTCTCGCCTGGATAGGTTTCTTTCTTGTAGAGAACCGACCACCACCATCATCATCGTCATCATCATCTTAATTATCTGGTCGAAAAAGAGAAATACTGTATCTCCAAATGAAAAAGAAGACAAATGAGATACTTATCAGTAATAATGGCAGGAATGTTTTGGCTCAAGTTGTCGGCAAAGCTGGTTTACATGTTTTTCTTTTGGGCACATGATGTCTCTGGCCCGATTGATTGAATTGCTAATTAAGCGATCAGTTGTAGAGAAAAAAGGCGAAAAATGTCTGCAATACTCACTTCACTTGGGTTAGACGTTTCCGGTTTATGTTTATAAATAGAATATTGTCCAAGCTAATGCAGTGTTTACTCTTACGAAGATGCCTGATACATATTAACTACTGTATAAACATATCCCTGGATGCACTATGCAAGCCATTACGTCCTTTTTTCTTTAAAAACAGACAAGGCAGCCGGCGGCTCAGAAGACTGGACTTACGGTTCACTGGGAGTCAAGTACTCATTTACAGTTGAACTGCCCCCTAGAGGTGCAAACCCAGGCTTCATTCTTCCTCCAAGTCAAATCATCACGACAGGAGAAGAGATATTTGAGGGCTTGAAAGCCTTAGTTACAGCAATGAGAATATAAGCCGGTATTAGCTGGTCGAAACTGAGTGGAATGCCAATGTAGTTATTAGACAGTTTATCAGACCGGCAGCATGGGGGGCTTCGTCAAAACGCTCGCGTGAATAATTATTCAGAGTTGAGGCAAAATAAAGGATAAAGCAACGTACTGATGGCTGATATTTTTTTGCATTAATGGCGAAAGTTTTACAACAGACAAAACGAATAGGAAGGTTGAATGTGTAATGTTAGTCGGGCTTCCCTTAGGGACCAGTCATAATTTAAGTTGGAGGGGGGAGTGGAGGAGAAATTGTTTTTTATTCCAAATTTTTTCCAGACCCCCTCTAATAGCACCCATGTTTTTTAGGTACCCCCCCTTCAATCATGTTAAAAGATTTAAGGGCCCCCCTTTCTTATACATAATACCCAAATGGTAATAACAAATAACATTTTCTTTACTTTACCGTTCTTACTCACTATCACTTCCGAATGTGCCAACTAACAACAGAGAAGCACTTCACACTAAACTGAGAAAGAGATTTCACCTAGAGCCTCTCAAACAGCTTATAGAGCAAGGATATATCAGTGATTGTGTTATAATTGAGATAAGACAAGCCATCGAAAGGTGATAGGCCGACAGGACCGCTTCAAGGAAGAAAGAAGATAATCAGCCAAAGCTTACTGCTTTTTATATGAGCAGTACATACTCTCATAGCGAAAAACTTGACGGTGACACAGACAGTGAGTCCGCATCAACCTCATCTACAAATAATGATTCGGATAGTGAGATTGCATAACATGACTTTATGCATGTAATCATTTGTTAAAATGCCGATGAAATTGTTTCAGTGTTACACAATAATGGATGTTGTGTTGATGCACCTACTTTTTGAGCATTAAATCTTTTTGTAAAAATGCTGATTAAATTGTTTTAGTATTACACAATATAGGACTTTGTGTAAAACTGAATCAAAATCAGGTCCTTTAATACTCAAACATCATCCTGCTCAGTAGGGATGCTACTTAAAAGAAACTTGAAGACCCGCCAAGGTCATCTTTTGGCATTTTAAGGCCCCCCATATTCCATCCAAAAAAATTTGAAGGCCCCCCAATTTCTCCTCCACCCCCCCCCACCACCTCCAACTTAAATTATGACTGGTCCCTTAATGATCAAGTATCTCATACGGATAAAAGAGGATAAAATACGCACATGCGCACTATAGGGTTACGAAAAAAATGACCTGCATTTCCCTTTCAACTTTTTTAGTTCACAATTTTATTGATCAATATATTTTTTATTGGTGAATCGAGAACAATCTAAAGGATCCGTGACAACAACAAAAATCATTTTTCTTACATCGACTTTTTCATTTCGATTGAATTCGGTTACCTTTCCGACAGTAGTCTGCGAGCATAGCTCCGACGGTATTTGCAGTCAGTGACAAAGCTGGCTTCATGTAGCAGCTCTCCTAAGGCCGTAAGAGCCAATTGGTTCGACACCCTAACCGTGAAACAATGGGAAATAATGATAAACAATGATGTGTTATTGTTTTCTCCACCCAATGGGGAAACATCTTACCAAAAGCACTTACCCGAGGGGGCGGGGGTACTGCTATATATGGTTATATAGGTATGTGTCACTGTGAAGGGTATGGTTTTCAAGCTGTTTTACTCATTTTCCAGGAAACTGATCAATTGGTTGAAGACTTTAGGGTCTTTTAGTCTAGACTAGGAAAACCGGGAATTACCACTCCAAATTATGAAAAAGTTAAATCGGTTTCGTTTTGGCTGGACTGTGCTAGTGACCTCAGTAGTTTCTGGAAAACAGCTACGGCAGGATAGGGGGGATTTGGAGAGTTAAGTCTTGTATAGAGTAGCAGAATTCAGCTGAACCAGCTCTGGAATAGGCTAAGGGTTCCAGGCTCCCAGCGGCACATCCCCACCCAAAAATTCCTAAAGTAACCCCTCCCCCCGGGGGCTCCTAGATCACTGGCAAAGTTGGCCGAGGGTCAAAGACAAGAGTTCCTAGTAAGCTACAGTGATCTCCTTTGCGGACACAGATCCTTTCCAGGGCGATGAAAAGCGTTTACTTATCGGGAATGTTCTACCGCATTTGTGAGTTGCTGTTGTCATGACCAATAACAGGTGCCAGTAAACCTTGTGTTTTTCTCCTGAAGTGATGGATACCCCAAATTACTTTCGACGGGTTAACGTGAACTTGAGGCATCTTCAGCCAAACTTTGTTACAATGTGAAATAAATTGTGTGTAGGTTTTCCTTCCTTTCTCTCCTTCTCCAATTACTGCCTTCTCTTGAAAAAGCGTCCACCCATCGGCCAAGCTACCAAATGAACTCCTCATTCATCCCCCTCACTTATCAGGGGAGCTCCTCTGCTCACTTACGTAAAATGGTAGAGAGCGAGTAGAGAGTTTCTCTTTTATTTCTTCTTTGAAGAATAACGCTGACACACAAAATAAAAACAAAAATATATACCTGTGAGAAAAAACAGTACACCTAGTCAATGATCAATCGATGCTTTACCTTCGCTCGTGACTTCGGCCCTTCTTCGGCCCTTACAGTTAGGCTCGGCAATTGGCTCGACACCGAAGTATCAAGTTGGAGCCCAGTTTCTCTCTGCTTCATCTAATTTGCATAGCTTGTTGCTCTTGGAGTTTGTTGTGTTTTGACGAACAAAGAGTTCCAGTAGTCCTATTGGAGGGAGTGAATAGTAAAAGGGACGTCCCAGGATCGTTTAACAAACTAGCTCAGTAATCAGCGAGTCATTTTCTTGCAACTTATGCCGATACTGAGGGACGGATCTAGTTTATCGGCTGCACGAGGCCAGGCGGCTAGGAGACAAGTGATCCGTCCGTTTGTGTGTTCGACATTTCAAGACTTTCATGTAGAAAGAGACTTTCTACAAGAACAAGTATTCCCGAGACTAAACAAGCTTTGTCAGGAGCGGGGGACATCTTTTCTTCCTGTAGATCTGCGATGGAACAAAAGCCAGTCTCAACAAAACAGCGAACATGTTCTTCGCATGTGTTTAGACAGTATTGGCCGCTGTGCTCCGTTTTTCATTTGCCTCTTGGGGGACAGGTATGGTGTACATCGTGCAGCTGAATCCGAGATTACGGATCCTGCTACTGAAGAGTGGCTTGACAAGAACTTTGAAACAGCTGCTGCTTGTGGATACGATTGGGTGCTGGAAGACGACAACAGGTTAGTATGGTTAAATAGAAGTTAATAGGGAGCTTAAGCAGCAACGTTTTTGAGCGATGCACGTCAACCGGAAGTGAGGTATTTTCCCTCTTAACATGCCTTGATGATATAAAATTTGTATTCCTTAGCTTCTTTACTGTTATAGAGGCGATTTGACTGAAAATTTGCGCGAAACCACCGTCAAAAAATGAAAAAAGGCCACTTCCGGTTGACGTGCGTCGCTCAAAAACGTTGTTGCTTAAGCTCCCTAATATGTTTTTTCAACTTTTGACATGGACCAGTTGAGGGCACAATCCCATCACTGGAGAGAGTGCCTTAAAATTAGTACAGTTGCTAAAACGAGCAAAGATATAGCTCCGCAAAGAAGTGAAAAATTACAGACTTTTTATTGTTGGGCGGCAAGTTTGTACCCCCTACCATTCAAACATTTTGTAAAATTTTGCGACTTTGAGGATGTATATCCTCCTTAATTTTCAACAAATCACTTTTAAACTTGGCAATGTCACTAATGTTGGGCATTTGCCATTTTCTTTTGGAAAAGCTGCAAAAAGCCCCACGGTGGGGCTGAGCAGTTCATCCAAAACTCCACAGAGTGTGCAAATGCCTTACCCCCAGTCAACACCAAAATTGCAATTTCCTGTAAATAAGCTGTAAATGCTGTATTTATAGAAAATCTGTAATATTCTGATCAAAATTATTATTGCAAAAAAGATCAAATTGATCTGACTAGTATCAACAGAGGGTAAAGGTGCACATGAGCCAAAGGCCCAAATGGCTGGAGCTTGTCCTGGTTTCCATAGCATGAAGCATGCTTAGGAGTATTGCTACTCCCCCTGGACGTTATGCTAGTTCATTGCAGATAGTTTGAGGTGTTAACTGCTCAGCTACACACCAATGATTATGATAGAACTGTAAACTAGAATTTAAACAGTACCTTTCTTATTTTCGAAGGCATTTAACACAGTGGATGATAAAAAAACAAGTGACAAGCTTAACATGAGTATTTTCTCATCATGATCAAACTGTTCCATCAACATTTAACCATCGCATTGATCACACAGACCACAAAGTTTATACTAGCATTCAAATATCTCGCTGAGTTTTTCTAGGCCTTTCTGCCTCAACCATTTGCTCACAAAGAAAGTGTCTTTTCATTTAAACTCTTCAAACAATGCCATGATTGTTTTTTCTCCACGTGCAAACTGAGCCAGTAGAATGTGTGACACTCTTGTTTGTTTCTTAACTTCAAATGCAAGTAATTTTTATGTATCTCTTTATATAAACTTGAGAGGGCCACTGGTGCCACTCAAAAACTATACACCAAAAGTAATGTTTTCATTTTTGATGTGGCAAATGAACCAAGAATCAAGTTGGACCCCTGTGTTTTAAATGTGACCATTGATTGGCTTATTAACGTAAGCCCCAAGAGTGACCAACATCAAGTTTCTCCAAACAATATCAATGCATAATCTTGTAGAAAGGTTACAAGAATAAATGATGTAAACAAAAAAATTATGATTTATTTATTCCAAATTGCCCGCGAAATTATGTGATTACCTATACTTAACATGCTCTAATCTTTTAACAAATTCTCTCATCTAATTTTTCAAGAAACGTAAAAGAGATCAGTTGGGAGAATTTGTGTGTGGATATTATTGGGACTTAAAGGGTTAATGTTTGGTTCCAAAAAATATCCATACCTCCCCCACGGAAGGGATTTTTCCTTAGACCCCCACTGGCCCACCTCTCTGGAAATTCCAGTAAAGCTTTGTACATTAACTTAAGATTTTGGGCCTTTGAGAACCCCCCACCCCCCAGGAATTTCCAATCGCTTCTTTGTGGGTGGTATGGATATTTTCTGGAACCACACAACACTAGAAACAACAATATTATTTCCAAATCTCAGAGCAAAAAAGGTGTAAAGAGGTGAGGGACTAGACCTCTGGGCCATTAACAATCCTCTCTTGAGAATGTGTAACAGCTTTTCTGTTAAAATGTAATCAAACCTCATTTTACTTTGCTGATAAAGTCTGAGCAATTCAAACAAATATTTAATTTGTTTTAACCCCCTTTTTTGCTCTGAGTTTTGGAATTTGTTTTTTTATAATATGACTTTAAGTATGGCTTATTAACGTTTGGGTGAATTTGGTTGAGTTCCATGCAATGTTACTCCCAGGGTATTCAATCAATGGTAATTGTTCCCCTGAAAGGTAAATTTTGATCAATGAAAATTAATCAATAGAATAAGTTAATAATTAACTATTGACAGGGCTGTCATTAAGAGGTGGGGGCTGGAGATTTCCCCAGCTAACTATGAATGTGGTCCCGGGCTACTTTCATAGGAAAATAGAAGAAAAATAGAGCTAGAAGAAATCCCTACATGTAACTGTTTGATTCCTCGCCTACTTATTGACCCGGCAACTTGAAATCTTAGTGACATCCCTGATTGATATTGATTGGTATTGATTAACCAGTGATTGACCAAAAAATCAAAAGTCTTGCATGAATTGCCATGCCTATTAATTCTTAACAAGTACATGTACATTGTGATCAATGACAACCATTGGAATATCATTAAAATCAACAGTAATATTTGATTAATTAACAAAGGCTCCTCCTCTCTAAAACTTTTCACATGTCAGTCAACAATATGTTTTTTGTTTCTGCTCTGTACATAGGTATAACAGTATCACTGAGTTGGAGATTGTGCAGGCTTCTTTCCGTAAAAAATATGACTATGGCTACTTTTACTTCCGGGGCTCTTCTCATGTTGAAGAGAAGCTTCAAGGCGTTGAATCATCCCGCAAGGACAGCATTTTGTCTCTTTACAAACCTGAGAGTGACTATGCTGCCAGGAAACTGAGAGAACTTAAACAACAGACAATTGATACAGGTTTGTCGGAGCTTGTTACAGTTTTAAGAGTTACATGTATTATTTACTGGGTCACTGAAGACTGTTTTTTAGTGGACAAAGGCATCAGTGAGCCTTGCACTACATTTTGTATCTCCTTATATTTTCTTTAAAGTGAACCTGTATCTCTATCAACCCATTGATGGCCGTGCTGGCCAAAACTGGCTGTACAAGACTCCATTGCTTTAAAACATTGCAACTTTCTCAATCGAGCAAACATTGCCTTAACTATCAGTTGTGAGAATTGAATAGAAAGTCCTTCAAGTTGGGATATCCAATAAGTGCAAAGAAGTCAGCACTCTTTGCAGAATATCACCTTTTGAATTAGGACAGGAACAAAAATGACGGGTTTTAACGTCATGGAAAAACAACAAAAATCACGTTTTTTGACTTCAGGTTTTTATTGAGACCATCAATTTATTGCAAAACCAAAAGTTAACATTCACAGTAAAATTCAGTCCTTGTCCCAGCCTAGAAGTGATTTTTTTCTTCTTATTCATTTCCTGGGCCGAGCCACAGCTGTTTGTTCTAGGGCATCCTGGCCTTGTCTCAATTTTCAACATCACAACTGCATTGCATGCTGAGAGAATTACATGCCAGAATTTTTGACAGTGTTCGTTTCTTCCCCCCTCTTTTTTTCATATTTGTACTTGTACTTGTCCACAGCCACTCCAACCTCCCATGGAAATTTTGCGCTTGTTGTGATAATTTTTTCAGTTGTAGCCCCGGGCTAGCGTACTCGACTTTCTTTGCACGCTGATCACCACTTTCCATGCTAACCCCAGAGTCACTAAATCCTGTGGATTGTTTACAATTTTTATATACAGAAAATCACTTGAAACTGTAAAATGTTTCGGTCGTCGATGGGTTAATTTGAAACTGCTTGGAGTCTTGCTAGTAAAGGTTTCACTGTTTTATCAGAACTTACCAGACATGGAATTCTGAACTCTAACAAGTACAGGTACAGTAGCTTGCTTTGCGACACTGCTTCAGAGCCTCCACATCACAGTATGGCTTCCTTGTTTGTCTCCAATGTACTGCTGTAAATTCTGAACATCCCTTCGTGTACCATAGTACATGAATACAAATTATTGCCAAAATGGCTGATAATGATACACACCTTTAGCCCTCCTGCTGGATGTGGGACAGTGTTTGATGAAGATGACAGTTGACATTGACAACTTTTCTGTTACATGTTGTGCTTTCAGAGTTGCCAGTCCGTCATTTTACTACTGTTGCTGAGCTTGGAGATCTGCTACTAAAAGACTGGATTGCAGTCATTGACCTCTATTACCCACCAATTAGCCCCCTTATATTCCCAAGTGTATACTCTGAGGTATTCCGTCAGTGGTCTGCTCATGAGGCTTTTGCTATGGCTCGACGCCAGGTGTTTGTCAGAACACCAAGAATTAGAGAGATGACTGAGGTATTGAACCTCCATGCTGAAGTCGAACAGGGGATCAAGAGAAGATCCAGTATGGTGGTGCCAACTGCAGTGTTAGGGACATTTATGACCAGTCTACCTGGCAGTGAGAAGGAATCTCTTCCCCCAATATTAGTGTTGGCAGGTAGGTATATTTCCAGTTATTGAGGTGAGCACAGAGGAGGTAAGCAAAAGAACATGCATGGCACAAGTTGCAGGACCAGGACGGGTGTGGGATGGATGGGGGGGTGGGGAGGGGGCGTGACTCCCATTCCTCATGACTCTGGCCTCATGCTCTTCCCATTCTTGCTTCCATTCTTGTGAAAAACACAAAACGAAAATCATGTCTTTTTAGGAACCCTAGCCTTCTTTACCTGAAAGTAACAATCCTATTAACATAGCAAACCTCGAAGACTGTGTGTTTATCGTCCGTATTTTGAATTTCTGCAGGTCAGAGTGGATGTGGAAAATCCACAGTGGTAGCTCAATGGCTAAAGCAGTTTACTGCCGTTCATGGTCAGGTAGTCACCATTCCTCATTTTGTTGGCTGTGATTCAGCCAGTACTGATGTCACCAACTTCATGCGCCGCTGTACAAGCGAACTACGGCTTCATTATCTTGACTCTGATTTTGATGACCTCATAGACAACCAAGACCTTTCTGATGTCACGCGTATAACACAGGCGTTTAGAGCAGCTCTGTCTCTAGGTGAGGTGAAAATAGTGGATCTTTAGATCCAATGTTCTACACGTTTTTCAATAATTGCAAGTGTATGAGTGAGTTTGTAACAAGCTGTCACACACCTGTCTACTGTCTTCTGTTTTTCTTACTACTAATGATTAATGGCAAATAGTGAAAAGTGTTTGGGCTAAACCCATCCTTGCATTAAACCACGTGCATGCTTTCAAATGACTAAAGTTTACACAGGTTGGTTGTCCGTGTAGATCTTAGGGAAGGGGGATAGGAATTAGCCCCACGCGCTCTCGTGTGCCCAAATTCCCCCTTCCCCTTCTAACGCCTGGCACTCAGGCTATGTAGACCTGCGCGTTCTTTTAGCCGTTAGTACATCTCTCTGTATCCCAGTTCGCCAAGTGGTTTCAATGCTTTTTTCACTTTCAAAATGGCCAGGGGAGAAACCAGCTGGAATGCTCCAATGAGTCCTGGAGTATTCTGTCTAGTAAGACGTACGGTGCTTTCTTTCATGGCCATGTGAATGGCGTGAAAGCGTTATTTGTCGCATGGAGCATTACGGCAGTTTTTTTATTTGTTTCTCAGCTGGTTACTTTAAACGCTGGTTTTGGTTCTTAATAGCCATTTCGTGACGCCGTTACTGATTTCCCCGCGAAAGGATGTCTGAGGAACAAGCGCAGAAATTCCGTTCTGATGACGTGTCACTACCTAGATCTGGGTAGTGCGTGTGATTGGTTGAAACAACTTTCCCAAGCGGCACAACCAGTCAGACGTACTACCTAGACCTGGGTACTGACACGCCGTCAATATGCAATTTCTGCGCTCATTCCTCGGACATCATTTCGCGGGGAAACTAGTGATGGCGTCAGGAGATGTCGGCTGTTTTGTAAAGCTAGGTTATTAATCGAATCCGTTGTTTATATACCCATCAATTTCTCTAGGCCCGTCAGTTATCGTTTTGGATGGAGCAAATCACTTAGGCCACGCCTTAGACCTTGCAGCGTTTACAGTAAAGGAGATGCAATGGCTGCCCTCCTATGTTCCAGTCTCCTGTAGATTCATAATCACCACAACAAAGTCTGATATAACATACAGAGCGCTCTCACAGAGGAAGGACGCTTACTGTGTTGATATGCCACGACTGTTTGACGTCCGGGGGAAGAATGACTTACTCAGAGAATATGTGGGTTCAAACTGCAAGTACCTAGATGCAGCTCGAACTTCTAAGATTATATCCTCCACTCTAGCACATTTACCTCTGTTTTATGTCGCACTCGCCTGTGAATTACGGATTTTGGCCGCCCATAAGAATGCAGAAAGATCTTTCGATTCCTATGTACATGCATCAACATTATTTGATTTGTGGAGTTTGATATTTCGCCGTTGGACGCACGACTACGGCTGGCTACGGCCAGCGGTTTCCCGCAGTCCTGTACCTGCTATCAAGACCCAAGTGTCACGTGATCGTATGAACAGTGGTTGGGTTGCTGATGTTCTCAGGCTTTTTGCCCTGTCACGTGAAGGGTTATCCGAAAACGAGTCTCTAGGTGCTTTAAAAGTCATGGGTTATTCAAAGAACCACGAGGTTACTAAGGCACACTGGGAAATGTTTCGTTTGATCGCAGAGCACGCGCTGATTGAAATGCCATCTGGGCTAATTACCTTCTCTTATCAGTCTGCCCGTAGTTCGGTTGAAATCGCGTTACTTGGCAACCTAACATCTCCGTCCCAAGAGCGCGCGATATCGCCTTTTCAAGAGACCTGGGAACGACAGAAGCAACAGGGTCATACTGTACTTTCCAGCTTCTTTTCCGTTCAACTCTCTTCTGAACGTATGGTTGATGAGTTTCCATGGCAACTTTATATGAGCGGTAACATGGCTACACTAAGCAAAACTGTGTGTGACCCGAAAGTGTTCGTAAGGTTAGTCAGCTCACGGAGCGAACAACGAAGACAAATCGATTTACTCCTCTACTGGAAAAAGTTGAATCTGAAGGGTTATAAGCTTCACGAGGGTCTCTATGAAATGGCAATCAAGGCCCAGGAGAGACTATGCGAGGAGGCAAATGACTTGAAACACAGAGATGTGAAATCCCCGTCTTCAAAGGCAACAGAAAGTTCAGCTGTTGACGAGCTTTGTCGAAAAGAGAAAGATGAGCAGCTATCTCAGTTGGAAGTTGCCCTCATTTGTTATTTCGCGGGAAAATTTCTCTTAGATAACGGGCACGATATGATGGCGCAGAATCTTCTTTTAAACGCTTATAAGATGGCGTACCCAGTGGTTTCAGTAGATGATATTTACTTTCTGTGCGATATACAGGAATCACTGGGGAATTTATATGTCAAATCTGATTTGAGCAAAGCCGTGTTTTGGTTCAACGGTGCCGTGAAGTCTGCTGGAGAAGTAACGCGTGTTTCAGATACGGTGAGGTTTTGCTCTCTTTTCACACTCATGTGTCCAAGACAGATGATCATCAAAGATGATCATATCGCTAAGATCAACACTTGTCACAAAACTAAAAAGTTTTCAGAGTCGCATTCTCTAGATTGGCTTCTGCCACGGTATACACGTCAGCAGCTTATTTGATTGTAACTAAGTGAACGTCCTCTTGTAGACGGTCAGTTTGAGCGGGCTTCAGTTCGCTATCTATCTTTAAGGTGTCCGTCGAAATAACTGCTCGGCTACTTACACTAATTTGCCTTTTAGGTTCAACACTCAACTATGATCGGCCGCCTTCTGAATCAAATCGCCTTCTGTCACCTGCCAAATCACGTGACTCTCCCACCAGAAGTGCAAGGTCGATCACGTGCCTCTACGCGGACTGGAAGAGTTAAGACGCCGAATGTGACAGGGAAAGAAACAGGGGATGACACAGGACAAGTTAATGTTGGCGCAATTTTGGACGAGGCAATGAGGCACATGAAGCTGTCTCAAGTGTATCCAGGTACGATGATGTTATTTGAAATTTTTTCACTTCCCTAAACATCTGGTTAAAGAAATCACCGTCATATTTTACCACATGTTAGGGGTAAATCTACGCACTTAAGGTAAATTGTGGAGTATGACTTGAGCTCTCCCGGTTGTCTTGAAAATGGGCAAGGCTAATTTCCGGACCATCCATGAGTGCAGTTTGTTTTGATCTTACAAAGTGGGCTAAAGTTGGTAAAAGATGTTCACCTCTACCACGACTAAGGTTGTGTTTTTTCCTTTACTCGCTTGAAATCTTCCAGGTCAGAGCTGTGTCTATTTCCACATGGGTTTGTTAGCAGCTAAACATCGACGTTCAGCAGATGCCGAGGCGCTGTTTCGCAAATCTCTTAAAATGCGAGAGGAATGGTACGGCTCGTCCCACCCTTTGGTAGCCGAGATTTTCGACGCGCTAGCCTCACTTGCGTGCTCAGATGCATCAGATTCCCCGGATGTAGCTGTGGCAGAGGAACTGTTTCGGCGAGCTCTATACATGCAAGAGGATCTCTTGGGGTGTTCACATTTGGTGGTAGCAAACACTCTGTTCAAACTAGGTGGGTATCAGCTTGGATCACGTACGAAGGTCTTCGGCTTCGCCTTACACTGTATTTCAGATCTTTCAATATCGGAGATTAAGAATAATGTATAAAACATTTTTTTCTCGGCTTTTGTCATTTATGGATTTAATCAGCCTAATAATTGGGAGACTACAGCTGATAAAGACGTATTAAAACTAGCGAGTAACTAAGAATGGTCACGTCTCTCAGATAAAACTTGAGAAACGTCACTTTGCCTGTTTATTTTAATTTATATTATAATTTTTGTAAACACGCAGTGATTTTGTTACAAATAGTTATGGTGAGTCGTGGGACTCATCTTGTGAAAAATCATGAGTCCCAGTTAAAGAAAAACGAGTCCGAAATTAAAAATGCTTGGGCCTTTATGTAACCAGACAGTTAATCTGAAGACAGACTCTAAAACTCTGTATTAAAGTATACTGAAATTAAAACACAGTCCTTCTAATCTATTTTAAAGCCGGCACAACAAAGGTTAAAAGAATTATGCAGAAATTACATGAACGGCATGTTACTACAAATACACATGTTCGATCGATCGATCTTTGCGTCCTACGGAACGTATGCCATAAATTATTTTGCGTCGTTGGTGATTTTTATGGGTCAGGGACGCTGGACGCAGAGGTAACAAAATCACTGCACGCATCAGTTAAGCAAGTGGTCTGTGAGAAGGGGATCTTACATTTTAAGGTAATAGTTTCATCAGCAAAGCTGAATGGTGTAAAACCGCGCGTTTTACAGCAACACAAACAACTTAATCTTGTTGGGTACTGTATCAAGTCCAGTCGCGCATGTTGTGTGCTCTGGAATGATATATTACGCGTGATTTCAGTAGAAAGTGCCTGAGGGCGCCAACTTTACTTGTCTCTGGCTTGTTGAATGAATCTTGTGACGGATGATTTTTCAGTCAGTGAAACAGGCGGCTCGGAAGAAAAAAATCCGAGCACTCCAAAAAGGAGTCGAACCTATGAGCTTCTGGTTACTAGTCCAGATGCTCTACCGCTAAGCTACAGGAGACTCGAGGGAGTGAAGGCCAATGAACTAGGTTATATGAATCTTGATCGTGAATAGGAACCTACCTCTTACCCTATAGGAAGATAGAAGGGTGGGTACATACCCCAATATTGGTGATTTCCATAGAAAAACAAGTTATTCTTATCCGACACTGCGTTACGACTTTTAACGTCCATTGTAGAGGTGGTGCTTGAAATTGTCGATGTAAATCCTCACTTCATTTTACAGGCAGGCTTCTTCAAGCTAAGAGCAAAAAAGATGCAACAAGGGAAGCAAAGCAGTTATTCCAGAGGGCGCTAGACATACGTACAGCAAAACAGGGAGTGTATCACGTGGAAACCAAACTTATCAGGCGTGCGCTTATGTCACTGGAAACAGTGGACGTGTCTGCGAAATTCAGCGGTAAAGGAACCGCGATAGAGAAAGAGTTACGTGCGTTAGATGACGTGACGAGTCGCCCATTGACCAAGTCATCTTCAAGGAATCTTGACTTTCGCCAAGCAAGTGGATCGTAAACACTGGCTAGAAAGTATCCACATCCTTGGTCGCCCTTTAGGCTTGACGCGCGAGGATACACTGGGAATGTTCATTACACTACACTGGTTCACAGTACGTACGTAACTACCAGTACCCCCAACAAGAAAAAGAGAAGTACTGTGAAGTAAGCCTTTATCCAACTGTCAGAAAGCTGCCAAACCCTGACATATTTTGACCTGCATCCTCTGTATAACTTGAACTATGCCGACATTTTCTTTCAAGAAACCTGAAATTGTCTCAACATTTTTTGTTAACGATGGACTTGGAGCTTTTTCTGTTTACTAAGGGAGCAACAATTCGCACAGAATCGTTACTACTTCGGTGCATTTTACTCTGAATTCCATTTCACTTTTCCTGCAAACAAGCTGAATAATTGTAGACAAGACAAGGCGAGTCCTTCTTATGATCTTTTATACACTGAGATCGTAGCCTGGGACCAGGCCGCGCTTTGGGGGACAAAGGAGAAAAAAAATCGGCGAGCGAAGGGAGCCGAGAGGTAGTCTGGGGAGGGGAAAGGGTGGCAACTTATTTGACCCCGTTTATTGCCTTTTTCCCCTACTGCGGAGCCTGGTCCCAGGCTACTCAGTTCGGGGCAACATGCAATAACCACGAGATGCAAATCAAGTTCAGATTTGGAAATGAGTAATGCATTAGTTAAGTGGAAATCAAGCAAAAGGCTTTTTGCCGTCTTATCAGCTTTGGTTAAAAGTCATTGTCAAAGTTAGGGCTGAAATAGCAAGTAAGAAAAAAAGTAGGAAAATGGTTTTGTGATAAGAACTCTTCACTATGGTTGTGTTCCATGTATCAGAGGCCTGTTGCGATTGGGCGATTGGGATCAGTCGTTTCAACCCAAAGCATTTTTGTGGAAAGTACACAAGAAATTTATGTACAACCACCAGTGGCTCAGGCTCGAAATATGACCGTTGGTATTGTTGCATAACGTTCAAATTATAAAGATTTGTGTGCGGAAAATATGATTGTTTCTGCAACTTAAAAATTTGAAAGGATTTGAATAAAAATTGAAACCGGTTTGTTCTCTCTCTAAGGATTGAAACCGTGGGTCACTTGTGGCAAAACTAAAAAATGATGACTGTTTGTATATCAACGGCACTACCCATTGTTTCCAACTTTTTCACCCAAGTTTTGAGGTCAGGCGGATGAAAGAGTGGATAGGCACAAAAAGCGACGTAATTAACTGCAAGCCAAAAAAGTGATCCCAATAAAGCGCAACAGCTTTACTGGTAGAAAAAAGAGGCAATTTCGTAATAAAACAATTTTTTATTAACATCGCCTAAAACTATTCCTTAGAAGAATCCAATTCACTGGACAGCCACTTTGGAGAGGTAGACATGCATCAACGAAGGCAAGAATCCAAATTTATTATGATAATATAAACTTCCAAAAACAATTCTGTTCTCATTGATCCTTGCTGCTTTTCGTTTTCAAGACTTGAGTGAAAAAAGGAGTAAAACAGAAAGCAGCTTTCCAAAATGGCACTTTCCAGTGTATTCTATCCTTGGCTGTTGGTATTGCATCTTTGTTATAAATACGCCTCACTTGACAAGGACCTCTCTCTCTCTCGACTGTCTTACTTTTACTGCGCACAACCAGTGAAAGCTGTAGTGAATATCAAAGCGGGCACTGTAATATAAAGTCTTTCAAAACTCTACAACATTCCTCAGATGTTAAAGTTCATCTTTTGGTTCAGCTGGTGCTTCTTTTGATTCTCCCTGAAAAAGAAATGAAAAAACCCGTTGGTTTCCAAAGAATAATAGCCCCCCGCCCCCCATCTTCACAACCTAACTTCACAGGCCAAAGAAAAAAAACAAAACAAAACAAAAATGTAATAAATTATTTCTTTTCATAAAATCCTCAGGAAAAAATTCTACTACACAACAGTGAAGAGATTTCACTTGAATTCGTCTTGCCATAATGTGGTTAAGAAGTAAAAAGTTCTCGTAGCACTATCGTCAGTTCAGTAATACAAAATAAATGTAGACAACTCTTTACCTCCACTTCATCTTCTTTCTCCTCAGTCTTGGTTTCCTCTTCAGATCCTGTTGCTTCTGCAGCAGCTTCATCTGTGGACGCAGACTCTTCCGTTTTCTCTTCATCCTTGTCTCCCTCTGCCTCTACCTCTTCTCCTTCTTTCTCTTCTTCCTCTTTCTCCTCAGGTTCTTCCTCCTCGGGTTCCACGGTAGCTTCCAAGTCCACTCCCATGCTTAGACGCAGCATGCGTTCAATGCGACCAGCAAAATCTTGAGAGTCCTGTTAACAGCAACACCAGCAAAAGGAAATTGATTTTTGAAATCTTATAATTGAACTACTACCCTTGTTAATGTGAAAATCTTTTACACTCGGAACCTCTTTAAAAGCTAGTGTAACCCTTCAAAGCAATTCCCTGATTGAATATAAAGAAGTGCTTTGGAAAGGAATTTTCCTTACATTGAGAAGCTTTCACCTGAAATCCCAACAAACAATAACATTCTGCTACTTTGCATGTAAAGATTTGACTGGAAAAATTATTATTCATCCAAAATGTTTCAGTTTCCGATTGGCCTGAATTCCCCAGTTAATTCTCCATCACCAATGATGTCAATTAAAAGAATATCGAAAGAAAGAGATGCCAAACCGAGAATCCCCCAGGGAAGAGGTGGCCAATTTTGGATTCAGCCTTTGTAAGCTATGAGGAATAGACCCTTCTGTAGCAAAAGAACCCCTTAAAATTTGCAAAGATGCAGAGTTTGAATGTGATTTGTTGAAAACTAATGAAGATATAGCTCTTTTGTATGGTAGGGGGAGGGGGTAACAGGGTTTGAGCTAGGATTTGATCACTGGGGGACAATTTGTCCCCTTGGCTAAAATTTTGGGGGACATTTTCATTTTTAGGGGGACAGAAATTTGTACACCCTTCCTTCTTAGCAGGGCTTCTGATAGGTCTCGGACGAAAAAGTCAAATTTCGCGGGATTTTTAGGGACAAATTCGCGGAAAAATCGGCCGATTTCGCGGGAGTTTTCGGGGCAAACTTCACCGAAAAGCAATCGGTAAAAAACGGCCGATTTTGTGGTTATTTTCAAGGCAAATTTCGCTAGAAATTGATCGGTTTTGCGCTGATCAGACCAGCCTTTTTAACGTTTTTCTAACAGAGGTCATCATTTGCTCTTTCAACAACAGTACGCTCCAGAAATGAACCAATGGCAAAGCCTTTAACATGATGGCTAGTACCCAGTTTTTCGCAACATAATCTGTTTGCACGTTTCAGTAACGAAGTTCCAAGACAAATTTGCAAGTTTACGGCAAGTAAATAGCCCCTATAGCTGAATTAAGTTTCAAATATGTTGTACAGACATGTATTTGATAAGATTTCTACCGAATTTCGCGGCTCCGCGACCGCGCGAAAAATCAGAAGCCCTGTCTTAGATTTCCGACAAAAATAGCAGTAGAGCGTGACTGAAACGTAACTTTGGAATGAACTTTAAAGGTGCGATAAAATATACTTTCCACGTTCTGTTTCAGCTTGCAACTTCTCTACCGAAATAAATCTCTTCGTGTGTGTTTCCTTTCGAGTTTTTTCCCTAAATTTTGAAGGGGACAAATTGTCCCCTAGGCCGTTTTTTAAAGGGACAATTCCAATTGCACTGCGGGATTGGCGCAATGGCGCGGCCTGGCTCAAACCCTGGGATAAGTTTGTGCCCCCCCCTTCCACCACATAAACTTCTGTACATTTTTTCCACTTTTGGAGCAATAATATCTGCAGTGACTTTTAATGTCTTAACTTTAAACTTGGTGAGTTGCCTAATTTTAAGGCACTTTTTCTAGCAATGTCAATGTTGAAAAATCCGTGAAAGGGTCTATGGGGCAGATCTCAGAGGGCGTTATCTCCCACGGCAGAGTGGATAAAACCCTCCTCAATCTGCCTTATTCTTCATATTGTACTCTCGCTCATCCAATAATAATGCTAAATATTCAGTCTTTTTCTTACCTTGATCATAAAGCCTGATCTGAGAGTGGCAGTTTCAAACAAGACGCGAGCAAGATCCTTAGCTGTCTTGTCTTCTTTATCAGTTTCCACTCGCTTCAGAAGTTCTTTGACCAATGGATGTCTGGGGTTGACCTCTAATGTCTTTTTCTGGTTAGCATAGTACCTACAAAAATAAACAAATTTGTTTGTCATGTAAAACCTAGAACAACTTGCGTGCTTGGTATATGGTGGCTGATTAAAAGAACTAAAGTTTAGTGTGAATTTTACGACAAGGCACACTCCAGCTTCCTAGAATTATTAAACCTTTTGGTCTGGAATAAAGTGAACTTTGCAACCGGGCTTAGCTCTCAAGTGTAGCTCATTAAATGCACTGGGAAGGGGTTGCTGTAGGGGAGCGTTGGGGTACAATAGTAATTCACAATATACCAGTATAGAGGAAAAATAAAAATATAACACTGTGGGCAGCAGCAAGTAAACAAACTCAACTAATGCAAGTTGTTTCTCATGGATGCTGCCTGCCACCAGTTTCATTTTGCTACCTTAAAACTAACATGAGCCAAGATGGTTTCTTAGCCATGGGAAAGGGTAGTAGCTTCAAATCTAACTTCACACATTTGCAAACAAATGCAACGATAACATTTTGAGGAGAAGAAGAATAAAGCATGCATTCAGCCTTTAAAAACATGTTCCTAGCATTAAACCAAAAACCATCAAAAGATCCAGGAAAGAAGCCTAAGAACAGTATACAGGTGTAAAGGAATTTTTCAACATAAACTAGAACTGCCAAGGTTTGGGAGGGGTTTTACTGAAAACAACAAAATTGAAGGTGGTATTATCACTTTCCAACCAATACAGTGTACTTATTCAGTTACTATGGAATGCTCGGATAGAACAATGTTATCTTACTCATTGCTAGGGTCATCTCTCTTGGCATAGGCTTGTGATCTCATGATTCTTTCCATGTTACCAGACCAACCATAGGAGCTTGCTACAAGCGCGCAAGGTGAATCATGCAAACGCTCAGAGACAGCTGCTTTCTCAATCAGATCCTTGAGGGCATCATCCTTCAGCCATTTAAGTAGAGGCTCATATGTACTCTCGAGCTCCTCTTGTTTCTTTTTCTTTTTTTCAGAGTCTTCTCCAAACTTCAGTCCTTCTTTGGCAACATTCTGGAATTTCTTTCCTTCAAATTCTGGCAAACTTTGAATGCAGTACTCATCTACTGGCTCTATAAGGTACAGCACCTCATAACCCTTCTTTAGAAGTTTTTCCACAAATGGAGAGCTCTCAACCTACAAGAAAAAAGATTAGAATTATTTTATCACTGACTTTTACAAAGTGGGAAATAAGAACAGCAGCTCTCAGTTTTGCCCCACCTTATCTAACAATACTCACCTCTTTGCGGCTTGTTCCTGCCATAAAGTAAATAGCATCTTGCTTCTCTTTCATTCTCTCAACATACTCAGTCAAGCTTGTCAATTCTTTCTCAGAGTTTGAAGAGAAGAATCGCAGGAGTTTTGCCAATCTGGTTCTGTTTGAGTGGTCTTCCATAACACCAAGCTTAATACTAAATAAAATAACCAGATAAATTACAAAAGTGAGCTTTAAAAAAAAAGACTTTGTAGGGTCGGTTTCCGACGAGCCACAAGACAAGCATTTGACCTGAAAGAGCACACAACATGAACAAGTAACCATACAATGTAAATGATGCAGATGTGTCACTCAACCTCATTTAATTGTTAACAAATGAAGGAGGAAGGGGGAGGAAACATAATAACTTCTCATGTTCTGGGAATACCTTGTGCTGAATTCCTTCCAGAATTTATCGATGTACTCATCCTTGGGGATCTTTTTGATCATGTCCAAAGCCTTGCGGACAAGCTTTTTCCTGATGACCTTCAAGAGCTTGTGCTGCTGGAGGGTTTCACGACTTACATTCAGAGGCAGGTCATCAGAGTCAACAACACCACGGATGAATGACAGGTACTTAGGCATCATGTCTTCAAAGTTGTCAGTGATGAAGACGCGACGTACATACAGCTTGATCTGGTCCATTTTCTTCCCGTACTCAGAGAAGAGGTTGTGAGGAGCTGTCTTTGGCACATACAGAATAGAACGGAATGTCACTTCACCTTCAGCAACAAAATGAGTCTTGGCCAAAGGATCGTCACTCTCCTAAACCAATGAAAACAATAAATAAACCTCATTTTAAGGAACTCTGACAAACCTTTACATAGCTCATGTAAACTTAAGTGTCTGTAGTAGCAGACAAGGGATGAATTTGTAAGCAAGAACTACAGCGTAACCACTTGAAGTTTTACATGCTTGCCTCTGATAATAATTATAACAACAACAAAAAACAGTACAAATTATTAAATGCTATTTTATTGACACAATCAAAAAAAGCAGGAAAACTACAATTTTCATCAGGACCAATAATAAACAATTCCGAGGAAGCAAAATAAATAAAGAAAACAAGGAGTCTCAGGATACAAAATGTTTTCCCCCCTTTTTTTTATGTCTGTTTAATATAAACTGACGATCAAAACAAATGAAAATGACACCATTGTACTTACAAAAAAACTCCCTTCAACTTACAGATTTTTCTTTATCTTTCTTAGTATCAAAGTTAAACGACTGTTCATGATCATATTCAAGAAAAAAATAACCCATAAATAAGATTAGATATAAAAAAGGGCATCTAAAAACAATAGCCTAACAATCAAAAGTAATATTATTTCTAAGATATTGCCAACATGTGCCTTCATATAATTGATACTACATGTAAAAACAAGAAAATGATAAACAAACAACAGAACAACTATTGATTTTCCTGAGAAACCTCTGGAGATCTTCAAACAATAACAAAACATCAGTAAAAAAAACCCATGAATTGGGAGAGTCAGCCCCACACCTTACTCAGATTGAGGGTCATAAGTTTGTGTGACTTTTTTTTTTTAATATTATGGGTCATCTGACCAGCAACTTCAAAGTTTACACGAAAGAAAGAATTTTACCTTGGTAAAGGATTTGTAGAATTCATTGTATTCCTCATCTTTCACATCTTTGGGTTTTCTGGTCCAGATAGGTTTGTTGGTATTAACAAGCTCCCAATCCCAGACTGTCTTCTCCACCTAGAGTAAGCAGTCAAAAGAGTACAAATGTTTCTTTAATCAACTGAAAAAATGCTTGGCAAAGTGCCCCCAGTAATTTCTGATGAACTGCAAGATTCTCCTTGGGATCACCTTTTCACATGAACCCCTTCAATGAAGAGTAACATAGCTGAGACCAAACATTGGCTTCTTGAGTTAAGCTGGCTGAACACAGTTTCTCTGACATAGAGTTGTAGGCACTAAGAAATTTCACTGATGCAATTAATTCTGTGTGTGCAAAAGACTGATGTGATCTAACAGAATAATAACACTTTTGAAGTTTTCACCCCTAGAAATGCTTTATACCTCCACTGTTAACATCTTTATCATGATAAGATATGCAGCTCAAGGGATTTTCAAGAAAAAATGTAATGAAAAGGTGAGGAAAATGCTCAGAAGTTGTCTGTAGAAATTTATTCTGTTTTTGTCACATTTGTCATATCAAGTGACCCCACTACACGCTTTTTAGGGTCCGAATACAATAGCTACCTGTACACTTGTAAAAGTTTTATTAAAATATTGATCCCTAGATTTTGCATAAACCTCCTGAATTAATAATTTTAGACCTGTTTTAAACCATCCATGATGCCATGGCATTGATCAAAATCTTACGTTTAGCCTAATAAAAATGTCTTCTTAATATATTTTGTCTGTACCAAATTTCAGCTTAAAACCTGCAACGAGTCTTAAATAACACCCCAATGAATAGTTATGACTCACAACCTACCAAACTGTGTTCAGCCACCTTAAAGAATAGTAAAAACAACAACAACAACAAAGCTGTGAATGAAGGAGGGTTAATGTTACCTTTTTAGTCTTGGGTTTCTTCTCTTTCTCTTCAGATTCTTCCTCCACTTCTGCTTCATCATCTTTGTCTTCTTTTTCTTTGTCCTCATCCTTCTTCTCTTCTTCCTTCTCCTCTTCTTTCTTATCTTCATCAGCTCCTTCAGTCTTCTTGTCTTCAGCAGCCTCCTCTTCTATTGGTTCCTCCACTTCTTCTGTCTTGCTTGTCCACAGGTAAATGTTGAAGTTAATAAACTGACTGTACTTCTTGACAAGATCTTTGATTGTGTGTGGTTCTAGGAAGTCACGGGCTTCCTCCTTCAGGTGAACACTACAAAGACAACAGTTTAATAATTATCAGTAATGTAATATTCTAGGGTATTTTCACCAATAAATCTGGCTTAAAACTATAGCTGCCTTCCATTATGCCAAAATTAGAAATGTTTGGTCAACACAACATTATTAATGACACTGTTTGGTCGAGGGAGGAATTTTGCAAAAAAAGTTGTCCACCATAAGTGTAAGTCATCAGTGTTATCTTTCATTCAGAACATGAGGGACGTGTTAGTTGCAAGCAACAGTTAAGTCATCGAAGGATCGTTAATGCTAGAGTTTATAGAGCGGGACAAGAGGTATGCCATCTTGTTTACTTTCGTATTTACCAATAATATAAAACTTGATTATATTATATTTGACTGCGAGGAGCAGATTTGTTACAGTTACCGTATTTATTCAATTAAACGCAGCAGCGTTTATTCGAGGGGGGCATTTATTACGAAATCACTTTTTTTAAATCTAAATATTATGTAATTTAAAGGTTTCAATGTCTCTCATGTTTTGCTGAGGTAAAATCGTAAATGTCTGGATGGTGTAAATTACCAAGTTGTACCAAGGTTTTTCTTATTATCCTCCAGTAAACGCTGCATTCTTCTGATTAGGTGCAGCGTTTATTCAAGAGCGTCATTATTAGTAATTTTGCTTCCATCTGCGGCGTTTAATCAAGGGTGGCGTTTATTCCAATAAATACGGTAAGTACATTTGTTGTTTAGATTCTTAGATATTCACACCCCAGGTGCTCAAGTTAAGACCATTTAAATTGCCTTAGATGTTTTGGTAATAGTTTAATTTTTTGCCTGTTGTATTTCAGTTTTTGCGAGAGTTTCAAGTTTATTAAATAGTTGGTGCTGGATCGATGCTTGGGGTCTGTTTATGATACATTTCTCCATCGCAATGTTACGTTACGCAGTGTTAAATCACGAGATGGCAAAATCTTAGCTGGTAATTGCTGTTGTTTTACCTGACTGTTGTTCCTCTTTTCAGTGTGTCACCTCTTGGGTCCTCTGTGATACTGAACGACACAGCATCAGATTCCCAGATGTACTGTTTGTCATCATTATGCTTTGATGTCACAATTACACGGTCAGCGACAAGGAATGATGAGTAGAAACCTACACCAAACTGACCAATCAGATCACTTGCTTGGTCTGATGACTGGGCCTCCTAAAAAAAAAACCTTTTTTAGCAGTTAACAACAGGATACTGTACCTGAAATGGGTCACTGCCACCTTAAGACAGCAAGATTTTTACCACATGGGAGATTTCTTTCAGGTTCACTCTGGGTAATTTTCAAGCACAATTAGTTATTATAGAATCAATTCATAGGACTTTTAAGTTATTCAACAACTGTTCTTACCGTCATTTTCTGAAAAAATTCACTAGTGCCTGACTTAGCAATGGTGCCCAAGTTTTTGATGAGGTCGTCCTTTGTCATGCCGATACCAGTGTCAGTTACATGAAGAATATTGTTCTCTTTATCAGCCTTGATCTTGATGGACAACTCATCTGTAGCAGCAAGGGCTGACTTGTCTGTAAGACTCATAAACCTTATCTTATCCAAGGCATCAGATGAGTTGGAAATAAGCTCCCTCAAGAAAATCTGTAAATTAAACAATTGGTTAGACAACAGTAACATGTACATAACTCTATTTGTATAGAGTTATTATGCATACATGTATGATATTAACTATAAGAATCTCTAAGGAGTTGGGTAGATTATACTGACTTAGTATTAACAACTGGTCGATCACGGCAATTAAGGTACAGCTGTACTGCAACAGGTGATGTTTTGAGTGCTAGCCTTTCACCAGAGTTAATCACCTGAAACTTCAGCTTATGAATATCTCGGTACTTATTCAATCACCTTATCACCTTAGTTGATAGCACTTGTAAGATTTTTTTATTCTATTTTTAACCAACAACATTCTGTTTATTACCTTACATGTAGGTATCATTCACACACGTTTAAAAACAGTAATGGTGACAGCAGTAAAACAAAACATCTTGTACGAAAGAAATCTAATGCAGTTATATAATCTCAACAGTACTAACCTCTTTGTTTCTGTACAGAGAGTTGATAATAAGCTTCATCATACGACTAACTTCAGCCTGGAAGGCAAACTTTTCAGCTTTTTCTCTAAGTTCCTTCATCTGTGCTACATTAAGGCCATCAAGTTTAATTGCTTCTTCCTCTCTTTCAACAGCTTCATCATCTGTCTTTGAAGCATCTCTGCTTTTTCCAACATCTTCATCTACTTTTGGTGGTTCTGTTTCTGTTTTCTCTTCAGCCTTTTCTTCTTCAGCCAAACAAAGAGCTAAGCAAGAGCCACAGAAAACACCACTTTATCATTACATTTGCCAATCCAAAAAGATTGTTGTGGACACTTTAGCAGCTACAATGGGTACACTGTTCAGGCCCCATGTAACTTTGGGTGCAATGATAAAATTAATACACCCTTTTGTTACAGGACAATGTATGAAAACTTTTATTAGGAGCTTTGTTCCAGGCACCCCTCAGGGTGCAAAGAGAGTCAGTTTTACAGCTTGCCATATAGGCAAGCTCTAGCTAGTATGCACAAGCCCTGCCCCAATTTTGATGAGCAGAATTGTTCTTAGTTCTTCTGTAATTAGAATTTCCCCCAAAAAACTTTACTGGCCCATCTAGCAAGTTAAGAACAGAATCCAATAGCCCAATCCTAAAATCTACTAGCCTCAGACTATCGGATAAGACGTTCTTTGCATGCAGCCCCTTATATTAGGACCTCTTCTTTTCAATAAATTTTACAATAAAAAAGTGTTGATGACAGGGTGTTTCACAGGGACCTCTTTTCTCTCTTAAATTTAAAACAGGAGAACTAAATTTGCATTATTCCACTAACTCAATACCTGGCATTTTCAACATGAATATAAAAACAGCTTATTTTTACTGGTTGAATAATTGTATGTTTATGCACCCGTTTTGTTAAAATGCCTGTACCTGATTAAAATGTGACACTCTGGGGAACAAAAATTTGTTCTTATGTGATTTACCTTCAAAGAAAGACCATGACTTTAAAGGAGATTAAAAGTTCCCATCTTAAAATATCATTGTTATATATACTGGTCACTATTTAAAAGTTTGCTCTTTCTTTATCTGAACAAAAAAATAAATATTTTATGCTTTAGTGGCATAAACATCTGCACTGAAACTCAAATTCTTTGAAAGCTGTTTAAATAACAGGTTAAAGACTCTATTGTGCTAAACTACCTGCTAAAATTATGAGCTTTTTCACTATCGTAACGAAAAGATGTAATCTCAACTGTAATTCATATATCGTAGCCATTCTACACAAACTGATAAAATTCACTGCTATGGATATTTTTCTTGTGAAAAGTAACTCAGCTTTGTTTTCAAACAGGGTCAAATTCTTGTTACTATAGGGAATTGGTATCTGGCCTTTTCCCATTGGTTGAGGAAAAGTAACCAATCACATCTTGACATATAACATTGCCCAATTTTAAAAATTTTAAGTGTCTAGTCGTACATTTTTGGATTAAATCGCCCTTTTGACTAAAAAAAATACATACAAAACACTAATCAAATCAAAATGAATGGCAACCATGAATGAGTTGATTTTAATGGACATATTTAAGGTTCACAAATGAATTAGAAAAAAGGAAAAATTCAAACAGACATAAACCCTTGTTATGATTTATATATCAAGCTTTCCATGAAAAGCTTGACTGCTCTCCATTCTACCTTACGTTAACTACCTAGATTTTTATGAAGTGACGAAAGAAAAAGTGCTACTGAGACGTTTAAATGGACACTATAAGTAAACAAAGACCTACATCAGCAACGTCCTAGAATAGACTTAAAAAGATTTGTAAGGCAATCTCAGTCTAGAATTTCAATTCGCTGAATAAGAGTTTTGACTGAAAGTACACCAAACCCAAGAAAGGAAAAACCATCCCGATAGAAAAACACTGACCGAAAGACGAAAGTGGACTTCATAAGAGGCCGGAACTCAACACCTCACTGATGCCAGTAGCAATCAGGAAAATCTGTACAAAGCTCATCGCCTTCTAAGACTTAAATTGTATCAGAAAAAATTCACACAAAACGGAAAAAATCCATTTCAGCCACACATAAAAGTGTGTTAAGCGAGTTTACATTCTGTCACGACAGCTTTGTGCAAGTAGTTCATAATCGTCTCTCCGCGCGAGACAGCTAAAAAAGCAAAAAGACTGCTCTGGTTACGCTTACTTGAAATAAGAAGAAGGCCTAACAGGCTCCAAAGAAACGTTCTTTTCCCCATGTCTTGAAAACCAGCCGTAAACAGCTTCAGATGACAGCAAAAATACCTCAATCTGTGCAAAACTTTGAAAGCAAGGAAGTTTTGGCAGATTTTGGTGCATTCAAACACCAACCAGCACTTTCCACGGCCGGAGCTCGTGTCTCACCCTTATTGGCTTATTTTGATCACGTGCTTAACGTGGAGCATGTTCATTGGTTAAAATCTGGCACCAAACTTAGTTATTCGCGCGAGTGAGCCCTCGTTTTTTCTTGAAGTATGCAACAGTTGGGAGAATTCAGGTTGAGAATACTGAGAAGTTTAAAGAAGTTATCACCTTTTCTCTGAGCTTGAAATCTACATTTAAGTAAGAAAGACAACTTTTCTTATTCCTCCTTCCGTTTAAAAGATAATATTTTCGTTGAGTTATCGTATCGAAAGGATACTTGAAACAAGGACCAAGTTGATCAACCTTAAATTCTCCTAATTTCCGGAAATGGTTTTCCCTGACTCCCCAGCGGTTTTGTCATGAGACTACAATTGACCCGGCGAAATTTCCACGTCTGTTTTTCAAAAGAGAATACCACTTTTTACTCCATTTGCTTGCTATGCAAGTTGTTATAGTATGTGGTAGATATTTTTCTTTTGTAGTGGTATTTTTCGCACTGGTCGCCTTCCAGCCCGACTTTTCTTTATGATTTACTGTGTTGCACTTTACAAGTGAAAAGCTTCATGAAAATTTCTTTGAACATGTCAAAAAAGTTCTTGGTACACATCCTCCTAGTTGTAAACATTTTAGTGTGTAGCGGACTTAGATCAGCTGCAAGAGAAAAGAAGGCGAAATGTCCAACGTGTAGTGATATAGTGGAAGCTTTTAAGAAGGTAAACACTTTTGCTTTGTTATCTGTGTCAAAGTCACGTAAAGTAGAAAATGAGTTAACGTAGTGATTTCTATGTAAGAATGTAAGGTTTTAAAATCTACTTGTCTTATCATCATATTTATATGTCATCTGCAAAGTGGATAGATTTGACAGATTTGTTACATTTCGGTAATTTAATGTTACTTACAAATAGTACAGCAATCATACTAATGAATCTATTTAAATATGAATTTGACCCCCTAAAAAACAATTTTTTTTTTTGATGATGCTTTTCATAAATGAAGCGGGTAAGAATAGACGGCCGGAGAGGTACATGGAGGGAGAACGGTAGAGAGTTGGGGAGAAAATATGTAGCAATGCTCAGTAGTTTGCAATTGAAAAGGGCTTAATGCATCAGTCAATTACACCTGTGCCCAGCCCCCCCGGGCTACTGCGGGGCATTTGCCCACCTTGTCAGTCCCGGGGGTGGGGCATTGGCAAATTTTGCACTGCCTGGGGGCCGGGCATTTGCCAACCCCCAGGCCATCCCCAAGCTTTTGACACGCACATGGTTTCCTATCAGAATATAACTGCACAGAAGGTTTTACTGGAATAAATTGTAGAGAGTTGTAAAGGCATATTCTCCAAAATAACATGTATGTATGCATTTCTTCATTGCTTATCAAGCCAGAATAACAGCAAAATTGGAGCTATGGATGTGAATCAACGTTTTTTGGTTACTGAATCAAATTTCTATTGATTTTATTTGAAGAACATCCTTTCATATTCATAAAACTATTCATAACATATAACTTTACAGTGCTCTATTAATTTTAATGCCAATAATTTTATATCAATACTAAGACCATAAACTGGTGCATGTCATCGCGGCGTGAAGTCTTAATTAGAATCCTCATGCTATTAAAAAATCGCACATTAACATGCTTAAAATGCTTAAAATGTCACTATTTGAATGGCTGTAAATGGCACTATTTGACAGTGCGATCAATGACAAATGTTGCAGTGTTGACGGAGGACGGGGCATTTGCCCTCTTTTTTCGTTCCCACCCCTGGGGATTTGACAGCTCAAGAGTCCCCACCTCCGGGAATTTGCTATCCAAGGCAAAAAGAATGCCAGTGCTCGGGGGTCAGCCCGGGGCGGGGCTAGGCACAGGTAGAATTGACTGATGCATAAGTTAGGAAGCCAAGAAAAAAAGGATGGGAGCTAGAAATGCACGGTATGGGCGGTTGAAGGTTTAGACCCCCTACTCCCCTCCCCCCCCCCATCTGTAGAAGAAGGTTTAGTGTGATACAAGTGTATGTTTTCTAGAGACTGTGGGTTTTTATTTTGTTTTCTCTAAGACATCTTAGAAGCTTTAGAAAGTGAACTGTCTTGTCAACGTAGTTTTTGTGGTCATACAGCTTTAGTATTTTTTCTCCACAAAATAAATGTTTTGTTTGAAGGTGCATTAAGAACTGAACAAATCTAGAAGCTAGGTAACTGTATTTGCTATAATAATGTGGCTGCCCTTGTTGACAATTTTCTTTGTGTCTTGTTTAAGGGTAAAGATAAAACAGAAAAATCAAACTTTGGTGGTGGTAACACAGCTTGGGAAGAAAGAGCACTTGGAAGTTGGGCACAAAGGTGAGGTGGTTTCTTAGAGATCTTCCCCCTGGGGGGGGGAGTAGGGGGGACTCCTATTACATTAGATAAAAGTATGTGCTATAGAGATAACTGAAAACTACAGTTAATCCACTTTTTTCCTATTTACTACGTTACGTTTTTTTTTAATTATTATTTTTAGTGAGTTGTAATGCTTTAATGGAAATACCGTCTCTGTATATGGGAATGCTAATAAAGTCGTCATTGTTGTTGACTGCCATATAAAAGTGACAGGATCGCTGTTGGAAAATTAGAATGGAGTCCTTGAAGGAGACCAATCTGGGTGTGGCTCAGGCTCTGTTGACTCCTAAAGGAGACCATACTCAAACAAATGTCTTAACAGTATTTGCCTCTTCATAATATATAGATTTAGCCAGGGCGTTAATATACTTATAGTTTACTCATCAAAAATTTAAATGGTATCATGCTAAATGGCAATGGCAACAAAAATGGCAAAAAATAATCAATTGCTCTAAAGGTGTGATAAAACAGGCCACAAAAAACTTGCAACTTGTTTAGCAACACTGCTGCAAAGCGAGTTGAATAGCATGGCAATGTTAAGAGTTTTACCACCTACGAAATGAAAAGCCTTCCAGCCATATTTGTTGGAAGACAAGTTCAAAAGGTGGTGGTAAAATGCGCAACATCGCTATTCAACCAACTCGTTTTTTAGCGATGCTTGAACTAAACAAGTTTGAATGTCTTTTGTTGCCTGTTTTACTGTTGCTTAATTAGCAAAAAACAACTTGGCATGTGCAGCACACTTTTTTGTACATTTCTTTGCGGTTGTTTTGCATGACCACAAGGTGAAATTTCCTAGTTACATGTTTTATGAAGGAATTGCTATATGTGTTCCTTTTCGCTTCTTTTTTTACTGCTGCTTATTTTCACCTTGGAGGCCACAGGCATTTCTCATTTTCTCACTGCCGCTACAAAAATGTTCACATTTTTGTTGCAATGAAATTTGTTTCCTTTGTTTTTTACCTCTCTCTGTTATCCATGTTGGTGTAGACATTAAAATTTAGCCACAAAAAAAATACTTGGCTTCAACAGCTGTCAATTGATCTTCATATAGATGTTTATGGGCTCCTGCCATCCCTTACTATAGTGCTGGTAGTAAATGTAAGATTCGACATTGGCTTAACATGTACTGGGTGAACGGACATACAGATGGTCACAGATTACCAAAATTTTTCACATCCATTGCTTACCATTTTTTCTACCTATGGTGCTCTTCTGTGCACACTTCATGCGCGCAAGAGCTCCACTATGAATGTATCTCTGGACACAACCCTTAGTGATACCTTAATGGCTACAAAATTGGCATTCCTTCCTGAATGCCCCAAGTAAAGAAAGAATTATTTTAAGTATTTATTAATAGTCACACTGTTATTTCATCACTGTCTGGAGACAAAGAAGCTTGTCTTTCCTGAATGGCAAAATTACCGAATGCTACTTTCGGGCATTTCCTGTGCTGTATGTTACATGTAACTCTATTAAGAGGCTCACACCCCAGAAGCTGTGTCTCAATATAAATATGCAATAAAAGGTACTTAGTCACATCTTTAGTTAATGTTGATTTATTCTTTGTTAAGCTGTGTAAAAAATGTTCCCTTAGCCCCTCCCTTTGGATTTTTACCCTTCAATTCATTAACTCAATCATTGTTATATAACTATATGCTTTGGTTAAGTCTGCTAAGCAACTTGTCCAAGCTCAGTTATCTTGTTTATTTCACTTAATTTTCCCCAATAACAACCTCACAAGTTCCAACCCAGCAGTCCAGTAGTGTAGCAAGATATGTGAGTGACATGTGGTCATTCAGTCCATAATAGGTTTTTGGGTTGGTGGCCTTTAGCCAGGGGCACCCAATGACCGAATGTTTCCAAATACCCCAAAAGTGTCTCAGGTGTATTTTTTCTGTGCTTTAGAAACCTGTTTGGTTAATTTGGAGTTGCCCTAAAAACTATCAGTCTGTTTGGATGTCTAAGGGGAACTTTGGTTGTTATGGACATTTTAGGTGGCTTTTTCGTCTCATCTGAAAGTGTTAGCTGCCCTTATGGGTCCGGTCGAAAGTTTGAGGACGTGAAGTTGTCTTGCATGCTTTCATTAGTAAATTATAGGGGACGTTTTGACTTCATACCGAAAGTTTTAGGAGACCTTTTTTTTAACAATAATCGCAATATCTTGGTATTAAAATATGAATAACACAACCTCCGAAAATTGTAGCTAAGCTATTAGAAAACCTCCAAACATTTTAGATGAATGGAACGGTTATCCAGAAATTTTTAGCTTTTCTCAAGCTTTAGAAATTTTTCGGCAATATTTGCTCCTTCAAACAGTTATTTTATAGAAAAAAGACGCTAGGTGCCCCTGTTTGGCTTGTAGTGTTGCCACTGCAGAGCATTGTTGTTTATTGTTGTTTGCATAGACCTCAGCTCAAAGTGCCTGAAGAAGAGAGGCCTAAAAGGTGTCATGCAATAGAAGTTGATAGTGATGTCAATGCTGGGAGCAGTCTCCGTCAAATTAAACCCAGTGGTCTACTCTTTTTTATACTTCTTTTCTGTTTGGATATATACTCTTAACAGCTAACAATTGACATTTTCAATCCATTGTGGTAGTGATCTAATTGTATCTCAAATACATAATATTATTTATATATTATTATTTTGGTCATAATGCATTTATCGTTGTTTTACTGTTCAATCAAGAGGTTAATGAGTCTAATGAGGAAATAAATCAATTTGGGATTTACATTGTCTTGTATCCTGATTTTCAGTGAAACCAGATTAGTTGAAGTTATGGAAGGACTTTGTGATGATAGTGCTTCAGAGGTAGGAAGATACTAAAATTTTTGGCATCATTTTGGGTTTCTTGCTAAAATGCTACCTGTTTATAGCTAAAACAGTAAAATGCCTGCAAAGTGTTCACTTATATAAATGTGGAAATTTTGCGTATCTTGTATTGTTCTAAAATAATGATATTACCAACCCAGCTCAGGAGAATTATTTACTTAACTCAGATGCCTGATGTGGTTATGTGTGGCCTAATACTGCCTCATATATCCAGAAAATCTCAGCCAGCAAAATAAATAATTATCTGTAAAACTGTGAAAATTATCTGTGAAATTATCCGTAAGTTGGTCCACTTTTAGGACAAAAAAAAAAAGGTGTCATTTTGAAAATATAATCGTGGTGAAATAGGGACCAAATTTGAGCTCTAACCCAGGGGGCACATACCGAGGGGGGGTACTCCCATACATTACCTATTCAGGTATGTGCCACCCAACGGGGTCGTGATTTTGAAGCTCCTGATTTACAACGGGGTATCCATTTCAGAGGCGTTTTCTAGAACGGGGTATAAAAATTTGTGGATCAGGGCTTTATATTCTGCTTAAGATTGTTGCTGATTATGAAGAAGCGTTTATTTGATGTATAAGTTGAACAACTAAAGAAATATCTTTAAAAAAAAAAAAAACAGGGCTATTTCAATTTACAAACTTTCTTGAACGGAGTATAAAAAATTGGCTCATTTCTAGAACGGGGTATCAGTTTTAGGGCGAATTCTAGAACGGGGTATAAAAAATTGGCCCATTTCTAGAACGGGGTATCAATTTTAGGGGAAATTTTTTTTAGAACGGGGTGCCAATTTGGAGTCCCTGGCGGCACATATTCACCCGAAAAATACCCCCCGGGGCACATACCCAGTAGGAGACATTTTGCAGCTCACACCTTGTTAAGGTTGCACTGATCAGGACATAATCTAAAGATTGATCTGGGGGGTAGTTTTTATCGACTAATCAATTCCAGTAGTCTGCTATATTTCCATGTGTGTAAAGTTACAGTACATTTGGTTTGATTTTTCAGTGCCATGCAATGGTAGAAGAGCAAGAGGAAACTTTAGAAGAATGGTGGTTTAAACAGTGAGTGTCCAATCATGATTGAATGCTGTATCATTTGAAGAACTGATTGATCGAATCTTGACTAAAGCAGTGACAATGCTGAGCTAAGAATTTAGATGTTTCCATCCTCCCCAGAACAGAGACAATATGTTTTTAAAAGCCTCATTGCCATATAAAATGGGATGTTCAGTTTTGAGTTCAATGAATTGAAGTTTTGTGTATGTTACAGCCCATCATACTCAATTAGGTCGAGTTATAAAGAAACCTGTAAGACTGGACTTATGAACAATTTCCTTTAACCCTACCCTAGTATGTAGATTTTAGTGTCTCGTGACTTTGTTCCCGTGTACTCGGTTGAAGATTGTAAGTTGTAGAATTCCCTGTACTTCCAGTTGAAAATCTGTGTATTTGAGCCTTGTTGAGCAGTTGTGCTTCTTCACTTTTTCAGCAGTGCGTGAATGACAATTTGTTCGTAACTTGTACATTTATTTATTAAAGTCAGTGGCCCCACTTCTTCATAAGGTGTGATCCTGATCATGAATTTCTTCCATGATCAAAATTCTGGCTAACAACTTCCTTTTCAAGAGATATTTCTTTAATGATATTTTTTCTTACAGCCAGTTTAAAGATGAAAATATTGATATGAAGAAATGGTTTTGCATTGACACATTAGAAGGTAAGAGATCAATTTCAAGCATGTAAGTTTTAAACCATGAAGACATCATTCAACCAAAACAAGTCTTTCAAACAAAGAGAATTATTTCCAGTTTTTTAACTACCAGCTTTTCTAACACTGTCTCTTACTGAGTGCCACTCAGGCATTAATATAATGCTGGTAAGCATAGCAATATCATGACTATCTTCTGTGTTAATGAAAATATGATAGAAGTTTGTAGTAAAGCTCTGCAGTGCTGGATCCCACTGAGTAACTGTAGGAAAACTAGATAATCATGTACAGTTACCTTATCATCACAGCACCATTGCAAGAACACTGCATGCATTGTGTTAATTCAATGACACCCTTTTCTTTCAGTTTGTTGTCCTGAGGGCACTTATGGTCCTGACTGTACAGGTAAGCAAACACCCCTCTACCTTCCTAAGTTTGATGCCCTTGCCTAATCTTCATTTGATAACCAACAACAATGTTTGTGAAGAAGCAACAAGAGGAAAGCAGTGAGCTTGTTGATGTTAAGCTTAGAACTGAGGAATAAGTACCAAGAAAGTTGGTAAAACCAGCCACAGAGTTATCATTTTTGTTTGTGTTGCAGAATGTGCAGGTGGTAAAGATAGTCCTTGTAATAGTCACGGAAAATGTGAGGTACGTATCTGAGATGTCAGACAAAGGAACTCTTGTAACAAGCAAAGTTCTCCATCCTTCGATTTTATTCCTCGTGACTTGATAAATACACAATAATCTTAGGCCAATTCATACTTGTTCATTACAAAGTAAGGGTGTGGCAGGACCCATTGCACCTACCCAGCGCAAGGGTTATTCTGTGTTTTGTATTTCCTCTTTGTTACAACACAGGGCGATGGTACCAGAGAGGGATCAGGCAAATGTTCATGTGACTCTGGATATGAAGGAGAGTTGTGTGATGAGTGTGCCGACTTGTTCTTTGAAGAGGCGGGTGAAGATTCTAAACCTAAATGTACTGGTAAGTCAATGAAAGTTGGAATGTAATTATGTAAAATTCTGTGTTATTTGGTAAATACACCTGCAAGTGAGCTTATTCAAGAGCAGATACAAATTCCAAGGTTAAAATAATTACTATGATGAGCATCCACTGAAAAAAAGAGTAGTTTACCTCATCATCCCTGTCCTCTACCCCACCCTTTTTGCCCCACCTTACATTTACAATTCCACTTGATGATAGTCCTTACTAGTCTTCAAAGCTGGTGGCCATTTTGTTTGGTGAGTGTGCAAATGAGCAGCAAAGCTGTGAATGCATTGGTGAATCAAAATCTGGGCAAGCAGTTTTCCCACCCTGTTTTCCTGCCCCTTTCTCTTTACAACTTTGGTATTCACTCTTGATCCCCTCTGTTGCCTCCCTCCCCTCCCCATCAAAACCATGAGCTTCACGCAGGCAGGCTAGTTTCTTACTTTAGATGTACATGCTTCTGTTTCCCCAGTGAGAGGCTATTTTTATTTTGGAATTAATGTGCCTCCTTGAAGGGAAGTACATGTAGATGTACCTGTTCATGTTAGTGATTGTTAACATGCCATACTTTGCATGTGTCAACAGCCTGTCATGAGTCCTGTGCAGAAAGTTGTAGTGGCAGCTCACCCAAAGACTGTGAGAAATGCAAAGAAGGTTGGGACATGACAGAAGATGAAGGCTGTAAAGGTGTCTATTATTTTGTGTTGAATTTGCCATAAAGCCATGTTAAGTAGAGTACCTTGTTTTATGGTGGTTACTCATACCATTACGCATTAGACTGACAAACCCGAGGCTGACATGTGCACTCATTTTACCTGCCTCACTCCATCAGTGCTCTATCTTAGGGGTATCTTAAACTACCTTAATCTATAAATCTACGTGGAGGCATGTGTGGCTAAGTAGTCAAGGTGGCTGAACACAGTTTTGTGGGCGGTCAGCGGTAACGCGCGTGACGGCAAGTGTTTTGAATTAAGCTAACAAACATGGCGGCGAAAAAGCAATGGTACGCAGAAAACAATTTCTCAAATCTTATCAAAATTTTGTGATATTTGGCAGAATTTTAACTTTTATCGTATTTTAAATAATTAGAACTTTAAAAAGGAAGTTGAACAGACAAATTTTGTAACATATTTAATAATTACAGTACAATTATATTATTATCTGAAAACCCATCTGTTAGCATTTGGTCAGATAAGTTTCAAATGGTAATGATTAATTATAGTAAACTGTGTTAAAGTTTATAGGAAAATCTAATGAGTGAATTTTATGCAAACTGAGCAAAAGTAAAATTTTAAGGTTGTATTCAATCGTTTATGTTGCCATGGAAACTACGAAAACGTCAAATTTTACCTGTCAATCAAACTCTTTCATCAGTATATTTTTCACTTGCCAAATTTCAGCTTGTGAGCTGTAACCTTTCTCTTACCATAATTTGGCAAATGACATATACGTACAAACTGCCAGAACTGAGTTCAGCCACCTTAACACCACGAACTCTGAATCTGGAGGTTGGGGATTCAAGCCTTGCCCATCACATTTCCTTAAACAAGGAACTTTACTCCACTTTGTCTCTCTTCCCCCAGGTGTATAAATGGGCACCGGTGACATACTGGTGGGGGGTAACCCTGAAATGGACTAGTATCCCGTAAAGGTGTCAGTAGCAGTACTCCTATTTATACTTCATAGTACAGAAACCAGGATAAGCTCCAGCCGTGTGGGCCTTTGGCTTGTGTGTACCTTTACCTTAATCTATAGTATACAGCTTAAAAAACATAAAAACTTACAAAATACTTTTAATAAAAGCATATACCGGTAAACAATCCGATACTCTTACTTATTGCATTGTTGTTTTTCCTTAAGATCAATTTGTAGGTTTTTCATCCTTATAAGAAATAATTTGTATCAATAGTTGGTAGTTGTTCCAAATAATAAAATGCAGATGTAATGCATGCATCGTCAAGGGTTTCATTTTTAATGTCTGGTCACTACCTAATTAAGTGCCATGGACAATTACTGAATAACCAGTCTTCTGTTCTGATTATGAATCATTTTTGTCTCAGACAAGAATGAATGCGAAGAAGAGGACAAGTGTACAGAAGGCAAATATTGTATCAATAACCCTGGTTCTTATAGATGTGAAGGTAGGTACATGTAAACTTTCCAGATATTATCTTAATTCAGTGTTACCCACAATACAGTACTCATAGGTAATCCAGGCATAAGGAGTAAAAGTAATCACTTTTGTTTTATTGTCAGAATGCCATGAATCGTGTGAAGGTAACTGTACTGCTGAGGGACCCAAGGGATGTATTGAATGTGCCAAAGGTTATACCAAGACTGACGATGAAGGTTGTAAAGGTAGGTAAAAGTGGGTATACTGTGAAAAAGGCTGGTGTTCTGTGAATTTTAAAGGAACAAAAATATTTCATTCCCCGCTCCTCCCCCAGCTCCCTTTTTTTAGTTTTTTAGTTCCTTGCGTCTTGTTTATTCTAATGTTCTGCTACAATCTAAACGAAAATGTCTGCTTCAGATGCGATGTCAAAGTATGTGAAATTTATGTAGAAGTTGAAAAACTGGTGATTTCAAACTACTTTCTCCGAATAGTAAAGAGGAACTTAACAACGAAAAATTGAATTGAATAAATGTCAAGGGAATGGATGACATAGCACGAAAGACTGTTAACTGTGTCCATCTGCGTCTGCAATCACACCAGGGGTCTGTTTCTCGAAATTCCCCGGTAACGTTTATCCTCGGAGACCTGGGGGTAACTTTTCGGGCCCAGAAAGTTGTTTCGTGTTTGCTGTGTTTGCATTCAAGATCAAAGTTTCAATAATTTTGAATTAATAGACTCTTCCAGTTGGCAGTGGTTTTGCATAAAGTTACTATGCTGGGTACCACACGGAAAACACACAAAAAGTAATGGGCAAAATTCTGGTGGCAGGAAAGCGCTTAAATCTAGGGGTAAGGGAACCAGGAGAGAAGTCCTGCTCGGGGGAGACAAGATCGAGTGGAACCGGGGTAGAAAATATACTATGCTAAGTTACAGTGGACTTGCCAAAGGTGAAGGATACTTTGTAATCGAACAACTAGTTACTGTTCATTGTTCTTTCTTGTACTTTGGACTAGTATCTACTGTTACTTAGTACAAAAGCTTATTCAAATGTTGAACATTGTGTGACAAAAGAACTGCTTTTGTCGCACAAAAGTGTGCTTTGATAGGGCATAATTTCAGGTTCATTAATATCAGTTTATGCTACCATAAACTTTAACCAGTAGTGTTTGCTGTTGATGTTTTTTAATGTAAGAAGAAATAACGGCACTAAGCTATTTTTAATGAAAACGAAAGAGAAACCGTAAAACCTAGACTGCGAGTCTTTTGAGTCACAGTAGATCGCGAGCTATTTTGCTGGCCGCGCGTTGGTCTGAGAAGAGAAGGACGACCGCTCGCGGTCTACGTAAAACTTAACCTGTTCACATGATATTTCAGATGTTGATGAGTGTTCGGAAAATTCAACTATCTGTGAAAACGGAAAGTTCTGTGACAACACGCCTGGATCGTTCGCTTGTCGAGGTAAATAGCTATTGTTTTCTATTAATTTTTACTTACTAGGCCTTGACTGTCTGCAATGGTAAATAGAAAAACAACAGGTAATTACTCAACTTCAACTTCAACTTCAACTTTATTTCATAAGACTATTGGTTACAATAGACTGGCCCGCAAAATAGCAATTGCTAATCTAGGCGGACCAGTTTAAAGAAAAATAAATTGAAAGGAAAAGAAAGGAAGGAAAAGGAAGGAAAACTACAATTTTAAGTTACAATAAATAATATTCTATCACAGTTTTATTTTAATTACATTAAATCTGAACAAGCAAACAAACAAATACTTTAATACAGAAATCACTAAACTATTAATCGAACTTTTTCACCTATTAAGGGCGTCTCAATATATTCATCTTCTCTTTTTAAGATATCCGAAAGCAATCTGTGAGGTACTTTCCTAAATTTCTTTTTAGGAAGATCTCTCTCTCTATTACTTCTATAGAGAAGAGAAGTGTGACGTCACGAAAATTCAAATTTGTGAAATTATGGGATTGGTTAGCATATTCAGAAAGCATATTCAGCATATTCAGAAAGAGGAAGATGAAAAATGGCCCCTCGCCAAAAATCAGCCTGTTAGTGCAAGTTGGTGAGGATATGAGCACTGGTTTGCTCTGATGACTCCGCACAAATCCTTCTAACATTGGCTCAGATCATAACGTTAACGATGGAGACATCGGAGCATAACGTTGCGTATATCTCCTGACCAAATTGCACCAACAGGCTGATTTTTGGCAAGGGGGCTTTTTTAATCTTGTTCTTTTTGGATATGCTAACCAATCCCATAATTTCACAAATTTTGTTTTTGTTTTCTTTATCTTTCATTTCCTTTTAGTTCAGTTTTGTTGTTTCCTTAAACACCTCACGAGAAAGGTAACTGCGCAAAAGACTTCTCTCAAAGACTTCTCTTGGCTGAACTACAATAACTACTAAAAGTTCTCGCGAAAAGTAACCAATCAGCATCGTGGCAGTTACTATGCTTAAAAAAAGCCAAGCGTCTTAAACCAATCGAACCATTCTAATCAAACCGTTTCTGTACTTGATAATACAGGGTTGAAATTAAGAAACCTCCTTGAAGCTTCTGAGAAATGGTTACTTGATTTTACTTAACTGGTATAAGGGTTTTCGTCCTTTTCATTAAGCAATTGAAGAGCTAACTGTGATCAGCTATAATCGTTTGCTAGTTCAAGGGAGCAAAGACAGCCATAGTTACAAACATCATAAAGGTTCTCGGAAATTCCCTCTTGCGCAATTTTGGTTGATACTGTAACGACGGTGGTGTACATCATGACTTCCTCGGAAGAAATGAAAGACATTCTTCAGTAAAACTGGAAATTGAGATAGCCCAGCACGTCGATGACAAAATCAACGGAATTGAAGGGCACTACAAAGGCAAGATACTGGAAGAAACCAAGGGAAATTTCGTTACCGGAAAATCTCAAGATACTGTGGTCCTGATCGCCTACAAGTGTATGTCACGTTATGGATCTAAAGCCTGAAAATTTTCCGGACACAGAAGAATTCAAGCAAATCACTTTCTGACTCTTGAATTGTTCCCCACCAGAACAGTGGTTTTGCGTTTTAGAGCTATTGTGAACATTGAATTTTGCGAAGAATCTCTTGTAATTGTGATCTTGATGTTTTTGGTAATTTTCAATACCTCTCAAATTTGAGGTAGCAAGAATTATTGTAAAGTTTTTCCATCGACAGCCAAGTCTATTAGCGTCTCTCCCCAGTCTCGCTCTCTGTTTTCACCCTCGTTCCAGACCTTTTGTTTGACTGCTCGCGCGTACTTGAATACGCAAAAATACGGACTGTTTTGCAGTCTAATTCCAGATAGTCAAACGGCTTAAAAACGTTTTATACTGAAAGCGGAACTTCATTTTACATCAGGGCCTCCTTATTCCTGCTCACTTGACTCCCTGGTCAAAACACTGAAGTTATTTTACGACCATTAGAATAAAAGCTGTTTAGCACTACTTTCTTTCGGTACTTATTGTTGACAGGGGAGTGGTGGCACTGACTTAAGCGTCCATGGATGAAATCCTTGACTATTGTTTCTCTCTAGTGCTTTCCTTTGGGTTACTTTTAATACTTTGCGATTTAGTCATGATAGCTGCTTTTGGGATTGCCGAAAAAATCATTCAGCGGTAAGAAACGGCGCGCGTCGTAGACTTGGCTCAATCCTTCCTGTTTTACCTTCATGATGATTTCATACATTTTTTTCACGCCGGAATTATGGTAAATTTAGTGTCTAGTGTATTTTGTCGGCAGTGGTTTCCCTTCTTTCTCGGAAAGAGGCGGTAAAGTCTTCTAATACAGTCTTGTCGGGTGGGAGCAATGACGTCTGGCAACTGGGAATTAATCCCGGCGGGGTTAGCTTGTAAGTTCGGTTGAGTGGTAGAGCAATAACATCAGAGAAAGTTTAGTAATAGTATTTTCCTTTCTTTGCAGTTTGTCATTCTGCCTGTGAAACTTGCATTGGAGAGGGTGCAAGCGGATGCACAAAATGCAGCTCGGGATACAAAATGGCCGACAATGAATGCAAAGGTAGCGTTTATTATTTCGGGCATTAAGAGTGTCTGGGCTTTTAACAACCTCGAGTTCATTGCAGATGTTAAGTCATACGGACAGCTAGCTGTGTTTTCCCTAGTCCGCAACAGTCGTCCTTCTTTCCTCAAAGCCGCGCAGGGCAGTTATTCAACAAAGCGGTAGAAAAGTGGAGGTATTTTGGCCGAGAGATTGCGACCCCTTTTCTCGCCACTTCACCGTTCACACCTCGTAAGGGCGTACTCACTGTTTCAATAGAAAAAACTAGACACTGCTCGCGGTCTATGGTTTCCCACGCTGCGACTTGCATTCGTGGACTCCTGGTAGCATTTCATGTAACCTATCGGAAGCATTTTATCTGAGAGCGTCAAAGCAATCCATGTCTTGCAAAATGAATGTAGAAGAAACCGTGGCGCTGCATCGGTGAGGTAATGATATATCCCGGGTGATAGACAAAAATTTGATTTTGAAAACGGTAATAAAGTCAACTTCCCACGTGCAACGAGGTTGAACAGAAAACGTATCGAGCGCTAGCCCATTGTCAGAGCAAATCCAAAACTAAGTGATGGAAACTTGAGCTTTCATTTTTTTTTCGGTTGGGCGTTACTTGACCAATCAGCATATCTTGGCAATATGGAAGGGATTACCTACGTCACTGACCATATGGGCATGTGATACGTCAGTACTTTTCTAGTCTCGTATCCAGATCTCTTTTTGGCGAATCCGGCAAGAGATCTGGTTACGAGATTAGGACCTTGCTTTAGCTCCCAATGAGCTGTAAACACAAACAGTAGCCAGTCGGGGTGGGGGCATTATCAAGAATGCGGAAGGCACGAGCCTTGTAAGCGGGACTGGGGTTATCCTCCCTCAGAAAATTTTCAAGTTTGGAGGCTCCGAAACGCTATTTCAGCACTTGTAATGAGATATGTCTCCGAAAAATCGACCTCGAATCATGAAAACTACAAACAATTGCAAATCACTATAATCAAAATAACTGAGTCTAAAGAAAATAAGTCCATCCACCGGCTTGATTTGTCTGGCTCAACAGGTCTAGGGGGGAGCAGCTGCCCCCCTCGCCCCCCGCTAGCTACGGCTCTGAGAACTCTTTGCTAGGGTATGAAGCAAATTTACACTTCGGCGAGGTCTGACTTCCGCATGTCGTGAGAATTACCTCACATCAGCCAACTGTAAGGTTTTTAATAAACTATATGCTACCCTTGGACTTAGACAGTCTGCTCTGTTGATTGGTTTATGAGACACCAGTCTAAGATAATTGAAGGTAACGGTTTTGGTGGCCACTGAAATGGTGTGACAGAGCGGGTTTCATGTTTCTGTTCCCTTTCCTTCAGTTTTAGATTTATTTTCCGTTAATTGATTTATTCATTATTCACAGATGTAGACGAATGTTCCGCAGAAGAACACGATTGTAACAAAGACTCACAGAAATGTCGAAACATGCCTGGTAGCTTTACCTGCGATTGCAAGAAGGGCTTCAAACGCGATGGAGACCAGTGCGTAAAGAACGGAAAGAAAGGTAAAAAGAAGACAAAAAAAACAAAGACAGAGGAGCAACAAATAGAAGAGGATCTTGCCAAAGGCAACTACTACACTGACCTTCACATGAAACTTGGCTCTATCCTATATGCCGTGTTTTTTGCTTGTGTGGTTACCGCTGTCATGAAGCGTAGCTGGACCGCTATTGTGGTACTTACACTTGTGTACGCTTGCATATTGTGGTCCTTGAGGAGTTAGTAGACAAAGAGGCCCTACCCCTTTTCTTTGACGTCAAGTGTGTTAACGGCTCTAACTTTTCGTTGAAAGGACGAAATCCGAAGTGGTTGCTAATTGTGCTTGTAAAGCGTGGAATGTAACTTGTAATATCACTCTGAAAAAATCTCCTAAGCTATGACGGAAATAATACCTCTAAATGGACATGACGAAGTTCTTCCTCTGTGATGCTGTTTGATGCTTTACAAGGTAGCTAATGTGTTGCTATTCGTGGAAAAGCTGTTTGGGTGAGCGGCGTCACTTCGTTTACCGTGGCTGAAATGTTAGAGGGGCGTAACACCACCCAAGGCTAGCCTGTGAACTGTTCATAAAAAATCACATCAGTGAATATTGATAACAACAGAAAGCCTCGAAACAAAATCATCTCTTAGGAAAAAAAAGGCGATAGATGATAGAGCTTTTGCCAGTCAACTGGCTGGGAATATATATGATTTGCGATAAAAACCGTTTAGTTTTGAGCCGGCACAGTATGCCGGTTTGTAAACGAGTAGATTCCATGTTGCCGTGGGTCTGTTCAGTAATAGATCACAGAGGAGGTCAAAATTTGTTAAAAGCATCGTGACACACTCGCCTGCGGCTCGTGGTTTGATCTTTAGATTTCCAGTTAAAAGCTCAGTGTGCCTGTTCGACTGAGGTTTCACAAAAGATACTATACTAAATCAAGCCTCTTGTAAAGTAAATGCTCCACTGGCTGTAAAAGTGCACTTAGGACAGTGTGAATAGGTGGTTAACAAATGGCTAGTGTCGTGCATCATAAAACTCTGAATTGTGACTATCTTATTTCTGTTTTACACTTTACACTTCTAACTCTGCCAGTTCTGGTGTCACTTTTGCTATTGTTTTCCTCTGCTTCTCTCATGGACTTTTTATAAAGCAACTGTGTACAGCCCTTTGCATTTGTTTATTTTGTTTTCTGTTATTAACTGTAGAAGTTGTGAAAGACGATGATGATGACAGGGTTGATGATGATGATGATGACGATGATGACGAAGATGAAGATAATGATAAGGAAGAGAAAACCGGGGACAATAGCAAAAGTGACTCCACTGGACGCGAGGAGTTATGATAAACCACCTTTGTAAAAATATTCTCAATGAAATTTTAATAAATTATTTGTTCGTAAAAAACGTTTCACGTCTTTTAGTTAAACTTGTTCCCTCAGTTAACATGTATATCAAATATTTTAGCACGAGCTCTGCGATTCTGACATAGCGAAAGTGGGCGTTTGTTATACGCGGTACCTGGTAAATCGACCGAACAGGCCCTTGTCTATCTTTTACACCTGGCTTTAGAAGCCCTGGACAGGGGAGGTTGCTATCTATGGTTATTTTTTGCTGATTTTAAAAATGGTTTTGACCTTATTGATCACCTTATATTAATGGAGAAGCTTTCTACACAGTACAACCTCCACTGGAGCTTGCTCAGGTGGGTCGCATCCATTTTGTAAGGGCGGGCTCAGGTCACGCGTTGGCGCCTTGGTTTCTGCTCCTTTATATCTAAATGGAGGCATTCCTCAGGGCACAAAATTGGGTCCTGTGTTGTTTGCTGTTATGGTCAATGACCCTGTTCAAAGTTGGGGCGCCCGCATTAAATTCGTGGATGGTCTGACGGTTTTGGAGGTTGTACCTTGCAATTCGCCATCCTTATTGAATGTAGTAGTTGATGACATCCACGCTTTCGCTGTTAACAACAATATGCGCTTATACCTCCGTAAATGCAAGTCCATGACTGTTGACTTTCTTCACTACAATTGTTGCCTTCCGCGCCCTATCGCGGTTGGTGGGTCCAATATTGAACAGGTCTCTACATTTAAGCTCCTCGGTATCCATCTTTCTGAGGACTTCACTTGGGCAGTGCACTGCGAATACATAGTGAAGAAGGCCAACAGACGGCTTTATACACTGAGACAACTCAAGAAGTGCAAAGTTCCGTGGGCTAATACTGTTCATATCTACTGCGCGCTAATTCGCACGCCTCCGCTGTGTTTGCTGACTTGCCTAAGTATATTTCTTGCTATCTTGAGAACGTGCAAAAAGGGGCCCTTTCCATCATTTGACCTGGTATTTCGTATGAAACAGCACTTGACAAAGCTGCATTATCCACTCTCTCAGACCGTCGGGCAATCTCGTGTATTAACACTAGGTAAGGTTCGGCCAGGTAACCCATTATACCCACTAATACACAACAGAGTGGTACCTATATCTACCAGTGTGTGTCTTAAGATCAGGGAGTTCTAGAAGGCCCATGGCCACAAGGACTGAACGTTTCTAAAATTTTGTTAGTGTTAAATATTAATCTTGTCAATAAATGTATCGTATTAGTATAGGTATCTCAGCTTGTAAGGTATCCTACAATTTAGTTTTCCAACTGCAAAAGGGACAATAAACCAGTGATTTGATTTGATTTGATTTGATTTATACGAAGAGCAGAGAAGCAGAGTTAAGAGGGTATACAGCAACCTAGGCTCCGTATATATGGAGGTGAGTGGAAGGGTCACCCCCCTATCTGAGCTACCCTGAGCAAGCCAACTTTTCAAACATTTCCTTACAAAACGTGGTGAGCCGTTTACACGAGAGACAAAAACTTTACTCGGCCAGAATGGTGACCCGCTTAACCTCTTCATCCTTTTCTGATGGTAGGTTCACCCTTAGCCCTTAGCCAGGCCAACGTTTCACCAACACTTTGGCTCCCCATGCCGAGTCAACTAGGTCAAAACGAGACAATCAGAGCATTGGTGAGTGCTGTTGACTCAGCAGAGGGGTCAACTTTTTCTCTCATGTAACCGCTCGCTAAAATTGACTCGGCTGCAAGGGTGATCCTTCTACCCGGAAAAAGTTTCCTCCATACAAACGGGGCCTCAGTATAAAAAACATGTCCATAATTTTCGAGGTGTGGATATGAGGAGAGGTGGATGAAGAAACGAGGCTTTCATAGACGGGCCACGTTCCAAGACTAGACTAACTAGAGGAAAAAATACCAAAGGGCATTTGGAAATATTTCTCCAAGTATGCCAACTAAGTGTACTTGAAATTAATCATCCTTTATTCCACTACATTTGAAGACAAATGATTTTAAAAGTTTCTTTGTTCCTTTTATATCTTAAAGGATATACAGACATTGCTTTTTCTGTTTTATTTACTACTTCGTGTAAACACCCCAAATGAGTGATGTCAGCATACTAAAATCATGTGATAAGGAAACTTAAGCTGATTGGCTGCTAATCAGGTGACGTAGTCTTTTGTCGAGCACGTACAAAAGAGCGGGCTTTTTCAGTCGCCATCTAAAACGGAAAAAACTTTCTATAGCGCAAAGGATAACTTTTTCGGATTTTTTCCTTCAAAACTTGTAGAGAAACTAACTGGTAAGCCTATTAGGATTAGCGGTTGCTCCAATTATAGTAATTTTGTAATTAGTGTTATTGTTCTAATTGACTAATTAGTTAGTGAATCTGTTCCACTAGTAAAAGAGTAACTTGGCGTGTAACTTCTGTACATCGCAAAACTTTTTTGACCGTTTATAAGCTTAAAAAACCTGTAACGTTTTGGTCGACGTCAGTTCAAAATGGTATGTGTTAGGCCTTTATAATTTCTGTAAGGTACTTTTAATGTAAACCAGTTTTGAAAATGGCTATTATTTGTTTAACTGTTTGTACAAAAAGCAATGGAAATTTCGTTAATGCGAATGGATTCTCAGTACGTTGCTTGAGCCTAAGCCGTTTGAAAATATGTGTCTAGTCAAGCTCAAGAGTATTCAAATATGAAAAATGAACTCAAAAAGCTGGGACAGAGAAGCATTTTTTTTTATTTCAACCTTATAATATGAATTCTCTGAATCAAATCGACGTCTGTGTTTAGCATAAAAATGTGACTCCACTTCTCGTTTTCTATGTTTGTTCAGTTTTTAAAGCTTATTTTAATTTACATTGTTTTTTTTTGTTTAAGCGAGAGTGTATTTCATTGCACATTGGCCAAGCTGGAGTTCAGATCGGTAATGCTTGTTGGGAGTTGTATTGCCTTGAACATGGCATTTTGGCAAATGGACACATGAACGTTGGTGTAACTGAAGGTCAAGATGACTCGTTTACCACATTTTTCAACGAGTCCGTTGCTGGAAAGTATGTTCCGCGATCAATTTTTGTCGACTTGGAGCCGACTGTTGTTGGTAAGTACTAAAAGTGTAGACACATACAGGCCCGGTTCCTGAAAGGCCGATTAGTACTAATCAATTAAAAGATTAAAATTGTGTACCGTAATTGTATTCTACCTTCCTGTGCATGGCTTAGGGTGACATTTTGAGTTATCATTATCGTATTTTGTAGTAAAAGCTCAATAGTATTTTGTAATCTCGAGTTGCATGTTCCTAGACGAGAAATCCTTGCTTGACTTGGGTTAAAGTTAACCATCTTTTGAGGAACCAGGCCTGGGGCGTCTTTTAATTTTAGTGGTCCAAGTGGGGCCGTTTAATAGATAGGAGGCGTTTATTCTCAAAACTGTAACAAGCTCTACAAAGCTAATATGCATTTCGTCGAAAATTTTAAGTAATATATCAAGCATGAGAGAGAGTTGAACATACGACACGCAACGGAGTATTTTTTGACGAACTTCGAGGTGATTCATCTGGTGATGAAACACTGCCGCTCATGCTTGCTATTACTTCTCATACAAAATAGCTCAAAATGATTTTAGAAGGAGAAATTAAGGATGCAAAAATGAGCGGTTCAGTTTTCATCTGATTTCAAACACTCATTAAACATTAATTTTCTTTGTATTTCCTTGATGAGTTTGCGAAGAGAGTTAAAAAATAGCGGAATATCCACCTCATCAATTGATACTTTCTAGGCCGTCTAGAGATCCATATGTCTCTTTCAAATCTCAACATCGACGTCAGAATCATTGCTCAGGGTTATTGTTTTGCCGTCGTTAGTCTATCATCGACTTAAACTTGACATTGAACAAGATGAAATACTCAAACCGTATCAATGCTGAATGAACTGAACAACTTTTCTCCTTTTTGGTAATTCCTAGTACTTTGGAGTAATTCTCATAGGGGGGCGTCTACTGGAGAGGGGAGTCTAATCAATTTTTAAAAGCATAGAAGGGGCGTTTATTGGTCGAAGAGGTGTTTCTTTGGAAGTGGGCGCGTATTAGGTCATTTACGGTAGCTAATATAAGCTTAGTAATATCTTCAGTGTTTTCGCTTATATATGGAAAAGAAGGTTTTCTTTGGAAACAGTCTAACAAACCACTTCCAGTACTGATCATGCCAGGAGCCTATCAAATCATGCTTAACAGGTATTACTTACTTTCACCATGTTAACCATTATTTTTTTAGTCTTGTTTCTTCCACTTTGGAATTTTTAATTACTGGATTTATAACCCCCCAAAGTTACTGTTCACCTTAAAAATTATTTTAGTGTAAAAAAAGTTCTTTCCGACTTCAGCTTCAATTCCTACTCGGCGTGCGTCATGATCGATTAGGTTTTAAGAATGATCGTTGTTGAGAGCAAAAAAAAGTACTAAACAGTAAAAAGATTATAACAAGTTAACGATTCGCTTTGTGTGATCTGTCCTTAGACGAAGCTCGCACGGGAGTCTACCGTGACCTGTACCATCCTGAACAGATGATCTGTGGCAAAGAGGATGCTGCTAACAATTATGCTCGAGGTCATTACACTATCGGCAAGGAAATCATTGATTTGG